CTGTGGTTCTGTTACCCTAGGACGTCCAGAACGGACCTTCTATGGTAGGACCCAGTTTCTCGAAACATCTGATGTAGAGAGAGTTTCGTAGGTAACTCCGATGCTGATAGCCGCATACCTTATTGGAACGTCCAACGCGCAACATCCTCAGCACTTTAAGTTTAAAAATTGACATTAAGAAGACAAAGATGAAAACTAAACAGTTTATTGCTTCACAATTCAAATGAGACAATAAACATTTTAAATTTCGTAAAATGTAAACATTGAAAAATCTTTTATCCTTGTTTTGGATCAAGGATTAAGTGTGTTTACCTCTAATTGATATTCCCAATTTAAAACAGCATAAACAAATATTTATTGATAAAAAAAATGAGTCAAATTAAGGGCAGAATTTTCTTTTATCGAGAAAATTAAAAAAAAATCAAGTGGGTGAAAAATAAGTCCTATGCAATTTTTTTGTCGTTTTACTCATTTATATATACTTATACTATTTGTATACATTTGTATGTCCTGGTTGCGACCATGCCTAAGACGGCCCTGAGAAAGGAAGGACCTTGGGCGTAAGACATCTCCCCAGACGCCGACCTAGATTATTTTACTAGAGACCAGAGTTGAGAAAGGAAGGACGGGCTGTGATGAGTCAGTTCCAACGGATTTCCATAAATGGAACTGTATTTAAATTAAACCTTTGGCGTTAGATTGTTTCACCTCGATCATAGAAATCTTTAAGTAATTTTAAAAAAAATAATCAATGAAGGTTAAAATACCATTTCGCTAGATCAACAAGTTCAGAAAGTACTAAAATTTGTTTTGCACATTACACTCTAGCTCTCCCCTTAACTAATAGGTCTATTTAATTACTGTAATCTCGTTTTTCTTTCTCTTTTTATATATATTGTTATAATGTGTGTGGGATCTGGTTTCTGGTCACGTAGAGAAAGAAGTAGACTCTGTGATCACTTGTCAAGCTTTCGGCCTTAATAAGACCATCATCAGGGCCTGAATAAATATTACAACATTATATTATTTCATTGTAATATTTATTCAGGCCCTGATGATGGTCTTATAAAGGCCGAAAGCTTGACAAATGATCACGGAGTCTACTTCTTTCTCTACCTGACCAGAAACCAGAACCTAAACACGTTAGTCGTCGTGGTCGATTTTATCTTCATCAGTATATTGTTATATATAAATATTTCACGAGGTTATATGAACCCTCGGTTTTTTGGTGAAAAGCCCGTTTGTAACTTGAGTTCAAATGCAGGGCCGCTGGATTCGAACCCGGGACCTTTACCTTACAGTATCAATATCTACCTCTCTATGCCTGTTTCTATTCTCTCTTCCTTTTACTCTTGTTTTAATTTTTTCTTTTCTCTATTTTCGCTATATTTTTGTTTTCCTTTCTATCTTTTGCTGTTTTTCGATCCCTGTCACTCGCAAAAACAACACCCGCACAACTTTTTCTTTAGCACTTTTCCGACCACAAACAAAAAAACACAAAAATAAAAAACTCTCATAACTCAAAAAAATAATTAAATAATTAATAAATGCTTTATCTGAATTGTATTTATCGTTCATCAATGGATTAGGTGTATTAAAAAAAGAAGCACTAAATTATGCCTATTTGCATATATATAAAATAATGTGTGCAGGTGAAAAACAATTTTTTTATATGTTTACAATGATTAATTTGAAAATAGATTAACAATTTAAATTATTATTTATGTTAAAAAATTGTTAAATATATGAAATCCTAGTAAGCAACCTTTTCCGTTTTATTTTTTTATTTTTATTTTCCGATCAATTAACTTGCAAGGAAAACAAAAGGATATACAGCCTATTAATTTGTGCTCTGTTTAAAAAATGATTTTCCCATATCGTAGTAAAAAAGTTGATTATGTTATTTTGCTTTAGAAATTATTGTGAATCACTGCCGATGGTTTGTTGGTTCTTGAACACGCACGAACTGACCACTCGTTTAATCTACTTATTATTCTTTTCAGTTAATTAATCTTTAATTAAGGTATTGATTGAGATAAAGAAGTCAGTGCCGCGAGCGGGATTCGAACCCACGACCTTCGGCTAAATACGCCGCTGCTCTACACGAGCTATCGATCCACTCGGACACTTCCCATCTCAACCTCGCTTTTTTGAAATTTCCCTCCTTTTGCCATTTTTCATTTTATCTCAACCAATACCTTATTTAAAGATTAATTAATTGAAAAGATTTTAATTGGTCAATCGGACCACGAAACCTAATATATTTATTATTGTTAACTGTACTCTTATTATGCACAAGCATTCTTCCATGAGAACAGAAACACCTACTCATTTGGTGCCGATGGCAATCTTAAGATCCGTAAGGTCAGTTCTAACTCTCAATTATGCAGATGCGCGGCTCCACCAGAGCAACAGCCCCTATTGTTCGCCCATTTTTTCCGAGTTTGAAAGCATCCCCGTGCGTTGCACATGTGCAGCGCACGTTTTTCACTTGGAGTGCTGCCCTTTGGAGGGGTGGTTTTTAAAGATAGCTGCTCCTAGAATGGATCGTGAAAGGCGATCCGTTGGCATGGACCAGAAATAGTCCCGAAACCCCCACCGTGTCCCTCGGCCCGGTGAGATTCCATGTCAGGAAAACGACTATTGATGAGGACGAGATAAATATTTACGTGAAAAGGAAAATTTCAAATTTATTTTTGTACTTATCGAGTATCGAAAACGAGCCAATGAGAGAGAAAAAGTAACCATTTTACTTTTAAAAACCTGGGGAATGGTGAAAAGTAGCAATTTAACACAGCATTTTTAAATTCTGGATAACTAAATACCCCCAAAAAATTATATTTTGAAAATAAAAGTTAATTACGTTCATATTTTGGTCGAAACAATTAATTTAACAATCAATTTTAAAACTTATTACATAACTTGAACATTTTGTATTTTTTAAAGTATTTTCTTTTTATGCACAAAAGGTTGGATCATGATAAATACCAACAATCCAAAACAAAATTTTTACTTTCTTTAATGAAAATTAATTTTATTTATTAACCATTTAGATAACTAAATACCCCCCCCCCCAAAAAAAAATAAATAAAAGAAAAAAAAAATATTTTGGAAATAAAAGTTAATTGCTTTCATATTTTGGTTGAACCAAGAGATTAATTAATATTACTATTATCAGGGAACTGTATTTCTTAAAAATCAAATAATAATCAATAATCAATTTTAAAACTTATTACATAACTTCAATATTTTGTCATTTTTTAAGATTTTCTTTTTATGCACAAAAGGTTGGATCATGATAGATACCAACCAACAAAAAAAAATTACTTTCTCTAATAAAAATTAATTTTATTTATTAACCATTTGGATAACTGAATACCCCCCAAAAAAATCTAAAAAAATTATATTTTGAAAATAAAAGTTAATTACGTTTATATTTTGGTCGAAACAAGAGTTTAATTTAAAATAATCTATTTTAAAACTTATTACATATTGAAAAATGGCAAAAAGGAGAGAAAACTCAAAAGGTGGGGTTGAGTTGGTGTCCGAGTGGATCGAGGTCACGATAGCTCATGATAGATACCAACCATTCAAAAAAAAAAAAAAAGTTTAATTTAAAATAATCTATTTTAAAACTTATTACATATTGAAAAATGGCAAAAAGGAGAGAAAATTCAAAAGGTGGGGTTGAGTTGGTGTCCGAGTGGATCGAAATCACGATAGCTCAAGTGGTAGAGTAGCGGCGTGTCTAGCCGAAGGTCGTGGGTTCGAATCCCGCTCGTGACACTGACTTTTTTATCTCAACTAAAATCCTTAATTAATTGTAAAGAAAAATATGAATGTGGTTATTTATTTGAACTAAACAAACCATGTATTTTTTATGCAATATATTTCAGTTGTTAATGCATTTNCCAAAAATTATATTTTGAAAATAAAAGTTAATTACGTTCATATTTTGGTCGAACCAAGATCAAGTAACAATCAATAATCAATTTTAAAACTTATTACATAACTTGAACATTTTGTAATTTTTTAGGTATTTTCTTTTTATGCACAAAAGGTTGGATCATGATAGATATGAACCATTAAAAAAAAAAAAAAAAACTAATAAAAATCAATTTTAGTTATTAACCATTTGGATAACTAAAAACCCCCCAAAAATTATATTTTGACATTAAAAGTTAATTACATTCATAATTGGTCGAACCAAGAGATTAATTAATATTATTAATATCAGGGGACTGTATTTCTTAAAAATCAAGTACATAACTTGAAAATTTCGTAATTTTTTAAATATTTTCTTAAAAAAAAAAAACTTCCCCTAATGGAAATTAATTTTATTTATTAAAAATTTAAACTACTGGGCGAAGTTTTTTAAAAACTATAATTGATAATAAAGCAGTAAAATATTAAGGTAATATTATTACTTTGTGAGAATTTTTCTTGATCAGAGATGGTGCTACAATACTGATTGTTACTCGTTAATTTATTCAATATGGATTATTTTTTTATTCAGCAAAGAGATTGACAAGCCACATTAATTTAACATAATGCATTTGTAATTCATCTTGTGAAGTTTCTTTGAGGTCTACAAATGAAGAAGCTGAAGTTTGGCACTTAACACACATTCCTTTGTTAAAAGCAGCTAGGATGATGACCAGGAAGATCAAAATTGGCCAAACTATAGATTTGTGTTTTTAATTAATAATGGTATTATACATAACATTAAAAGGCAACATTCCTTTTAAAATTTTCAGTGGAAAATTTAAAATTAATAAAATACTTTTATACCTTATGCCATTTGTGTCGTGGTTTATATGTTACATGCAATAGTTCCTTGAATGAATTTGGCTTCCATTATCACATCTTTTCTAGATAAAATCTCAGTCCTTTATCTCGAATGATTCAGATTAAACTTGGGCAAAATTGTTTACTTTTTATAACACTCTGAGTACTTTCTAGCTTTGACAAAATTTAAAATGGCATTTTTCTGTTTGCAGTTCAAGGCATGATAGTACAAGAGGGGATGCTAGCTCCAAGTTTGTAAGTATCATTACTATATATTACCAATGATAAGGTTTTTATGTATTGGGTTTTATTATTCCATCTGTAGCTTCACACTTTTATGTTCTTTTCATATTTAATTTAATTTCAGCCCCGATGGAACACCTCCTATTTTTGAAAAGGTGTTCAGCAATGCTAGATTCGCCCAAGGCGGCGATGCTTTGTTTGAAGGAAGGGTTACCGGACAACCCCGACCAGTAGTCTCCTGGACGAGAAAAGGAGGGCCACTCCTTGGTAATTCGTTTATATCTAATCTGATTTGAAAATTTAAAATTGTAATAAACAACAATCTAAATTTAATACACTGTGTGCAGATTCACAAAAACATAGACTGAGCTATGAGGAACAGACAGGGAATGTTTCTCTATGCATCACTCGAATTGGACCAGGAGATGAAGGCGAATATACGTGCACTGCTAGAAATCAATTCGGAGAAGCTACTTGCTCCGTATATATACAGCCTGAAGGTATTTGAAAAAAATTTTCATCGGATTTTGAACATTATTTACAAATCATTGTTACCTTAGGACTTGCAATGCCAGTACAGCCCCAAGGCATGAGAAAAGAAACCCAAATGAGACAACAGACCCAACAAATGACGCAGTCTGGTATGCAGCAGATGCAGACCACACAATCAATGCAACGCACGCAAACGATGCAGTATACCAATGGATTTTCATCCGTTGAAGAAGTCAGTACAAACAGCATCGGCTTCATTTTAAGGGATTTAAATTTGACTGTTTAACCTTAATTTGTAATTTTCAATACAGGACTTTAAAGTAGACACTTTTGAATATCGGCTCCTAAGGGAAGTATCATTCCGAGAATCACTCACAAGGCGATATGCAGGCGAGAGTGACATGTCGCTATCCACAGTGGTTGAAAGGCATCTTGGACCACCAGCTCCTCCACAGGTTCAGGCCAAGCCACGAAACTCGAAACTCAATGAAGGCTCTGATGCCGTTTTCACTGCTGTCGTACCTGCTAATCCAAAACCGAGGGTGAGTAACTTAACCAACTAATAAGTTTAAAAAAATTAGATTTAGATAAGAAATTACATTTTTCCTTTTTTAGTTGACATGGTTTAAAAATGGAAAACGATTAGCATCATCACAAAAGCACCAGACCACTTATTCAAATCAACAAGCAAGTTTACGAATTAACCAGGTTTCAGCTCAGGATAGTGGTCATTATACGCTATTAGCCGAAAACCCTCAAGGTACTGAAAAATTATTACAACTTAATACAGATTTTTTAATTTCTACGTATCCTTTAATTGTCGAGTTTTTTAGTGAATTTCTTTTATTTAATTAGGATACATAAATGTAATAAATCAAGTGAATCTTTGTCTACTGCTAAAAAAGCGTTTGTTTGAAACTACATATAAGCTAAATAACATTCTTTTTTTCAGGATGTGTTGTAACCTCAGCTTACTTAGCAGTTGAACCCTCAGCTCAGCAAGAGCAAGTTTATGAAAGGTATGACAAATATATAATTTATTGTTAAATATTAAGGTACTATTTTGGAGAAAATATTCCTCCTGTTGTAGAAATACTAATTAATAATACTAATAACTAATTTCAGGGAGATGTTGAGTCAGAAAAGTTTTGTAGAAACAGAGTCAGTTGAAGGAAAGATGATTGCTCCAAATTTTGCGAGAGGTTGTACAGACAGAGATGTAACGGAAGGTAAGATGACCAGATTCGACTGCAGAGTCACTGGGCGGCCCTATCCAGAGGTCACTTGGTTTATCAATGGAAGACAAGTTATTGATGATGCCACTCATAAAGTTCTTGTCAACGAAAGTGGAAATCATGCACTAATGATTACAAATGTGTCAAGACATGATTCAGGCACAGTGACCTGTGTTGCTAAAAACAAGGCTGGCGAGACTTCATTTGAAGTAAATACTAAATACTATTCTAATGCTTACATTTTTTATAAACTTAATTTACTGTGCAGTGCAAACTGAACGTGATTGAGAAGGAGCTTGTTGTTTCACCGAAATTCGTACAGAGATTTAGTGCAGTGAGTGTAAAAGAAGGAGAACCGGTTAGTCTAACTGCACGGGCTGTTGGAACTCCTGTCCCCAACATCACATGGCAAAAGGTAAAAAAAATTGATATTTGTGTGTCACAAAATGACTGATGTAATGTTTGTAATATACAGGACGGAGTACCAATAATAAGCAATAATGATGTATCGATAATGACATCTGGAGGCGGGAGCACCTTAGAAATTTTTGCCTGCAAACCTCAAGATGCAGGATGGTATCAGTGTATGGCACAGAATATGGCTGGCTCTACTGCAACAAGGGCAAGAGTTCATGTGCAGAAAATCGTAAAACAAGATCTTTACCAACCTTCAAGGCTGCATCTACCAACGCCGACCACAGTTATCCAGCCTGAGTAATAATTTCTTTACACCCCCAAGTTGTTGTAATTAGTTTTAATGTATAAATGACTTTACAGACCTGCACCAGAACCAGAAATTATATATTTGAGACATGTTGAGAGATCTGCACCAAAATCACCAAGAGGTGAACAGGATAAGGTATACCCACCACCGCAATTTATCATCCCACTGAGTGACCAGTCACAGACTGAAGGTGCAAGAGTACATTTTGAAGCAAGAGTAGAGCCAGTAGGTGACCCGTCGATGAACGTTCAATGGTACCACAACGGAAAACCATTGCCAGCCAGTTCAAGAATGACAACAACATTCAGATTTGGTTTCATTGCTTTGGATATGCTGAGTATTGTTCCAGAAGACGCTGGAGAATATACCTGTGTTGTTACATCAAATACTGGAACAGTACAGTCTGTAGCAAGATTCACAGTAACAAGTAAGTTCACTTTTCAGTTGATGGAAATTAAACAGCTTAATTAAATTTATTTATTTAGGTCGTGCAAGTATAGATCAAAAGAGTCAGTATCCAGATAGCTTGCAGTACATTTCACAGCTTGAGGACTATTCTAAATATCAGAGAACAGATAGCTTTGAGGAAATATCACCCGTAAGGCCCACATTTATTAGGCCTTTGAAGGATCTTGGACAATTACAGGAAGGAAGGAATGCCCATTTTGAAGCACAGCTTACACCAGTAAGCGATCCAACCATGAGAGTTGACTGGTTTAAAGATGGTCGCCCAATAACTGCCAGTATGTATTTAAATTTAACTAAATTAACATAAAACATGCCCTGATTGTCTTCCTATTAACTTTTAAGGTTCAAGAATCACAAACATATTTAATTTTGGATATGTTTCTCTGAACATTTTACATCTGAGAGCAGAAGATTCTGGTGTGTACACTGTCAGAGCTGTTAACAGGTGGGGAGAGGCAGTATCACAATCATCCGTTCAAGTAATTTGTAAGTATTGCTTTTAATTTTTTGAACAATTATAATATACTAATGAAAAATTTAATTTTCAGCTCGTAGTAGTGTTACGGGAGACTTGGGCATACCTGAACAGCAAAGGTACATTGACAGTGTCGAAGCTCTTGAAGCTTACAGCCAACAGGCCCTTAAGAAGGCAATGTATGAACCACCAGAAAGCACATCACCCCCTGTTTTCCAAACTCAAGTTCAAGATCAACTTGGTATCAAAGAAGGTGGATTTGCTCATTTTGAAGCAAGGCTGGAACCTGTTGGTGACTCCACATTAAGAGTCGAATGGCTGAAAGACGGAAGACCAGTTGAAGCTAGTAAGTCAAATTTTAGTGAATTTATTAAATTGTTTTTTGTTAATGTATATTAACATTGTTGCTTTTGAAGGTTCCAGAATCACGTCTTTCTTCAATTTTGGATATGTAGCTCTAACAATAAAACACGTAGCTACACATGACTCTGGCCGATACACCTGCAGAGCATACAACCAACTCGGTGAAGCCACAACATCAGCCAATCTTGGTGTTGTTAGCCGTCAAGATGTTATAATGGATAGCCAACATTCATCGAGCCTTCAGAAAATTCAACACCTAGAAGATTCAAGCCGCTACATGAGATCTCAACAGGAGGAGGCCAGTGTGACCCAGAAACCAAGGTTTTTGGGACCACTCAAGGGAACTAATAAGATTGTGGAAGGTCAAAGAGCCCATTTTGAAGCTAGGGTTGAACCTCTCAGCGACACAACTATGAAGGTATGCTCAATAAACACTATTTATTAATACATATCAAATAAATTATATTGAATGAATTTGCTTAGATCGAATGGTACTTTAATGGCAAAGCACTTCAAACTGCCAATAGAATTCAAACTTACCACGATTTTGGATATGTCGCTGTAGACATCCTCAGTGTAAGAGCCGAGGATGCTGGCACATATACAGTTGTTGCAAGAAATGCATTAGGTGAAGCTCAACTATCGGCCACAATGCAAGTAGAAAGTAAGTTTGATTTTAAAAAATTATATAAAAAACAATATTTAATTATTTTTTATTTTTATAGCAAGAGCAGCAGTTGACACAAGAAGCATGCATTCTGGTGTTTATGACAAAACAAAACAAATGGAAGAATATAGGCATGTTGAGCCAACTTACAATATTGAAGAAATTTCAAAATCCAAGCCCGTCTTCACAGTACCATTGAGCGATCCACCTCCAGTGAATGAAGGAAAGAACATTCACCTCGAATGTCGCCTTGAGCCCATGGGAGATCCTACGATGAGGGTAGAATGGTTCCAAAACGGAAAACCAGTCACTGTTGGATCAAGGTTCCGTACATACTATGATTTTGGCTATGTAGCATTAGATATTGTCCATGTCACCTCTATTGATTCGGGAGAATATACTGTTAGAGCGACCAACCACCTTGGTTCAGCTCATACATCTGCTTGTGTTAGGGTTAGTTAATAATTAAATTGCAAAATAAATAAATAATAATAACTAACGCTTTTTTTTTGCAGGTCATGAGTAGATCAGACATAGTGACAGAGACCCAAAATGAATCATCACTAGAACAGATACAATATCTTGAAGATTCTAAAATGAGAAAACATGTACAAGAAGATGTGACGATTGTTTCACCTCCTGTCTTTACACGCCCTCTTCATAACATTGAAACACTTGAAGGCACAAATATACATCTAGAGTGCCGCCTCCAGCCAGTTGGTGATCCATCGATGAGAGTTGACTGGTTTGTTAATGGAAAACCAGTCCGAGTAGGTCACAGATTCCGGCCTGCTTATGATTTTGACTATGTTGCCTTGGACCTACTTAGTGTTTACCCCAATGATTCAGGTGTTTACACTTGTCAAGCCAGAAATCAACTAGGAGAGGCTGTAACTTCTTCTTCTGTCCGGGTTATTGGTAAGTTGTATTTATTATTATTTAGCGATGTTACATGTTAATATTATAAATCACAAAACTACATTTTCTTTTAGCTAAAAAAGATCTTTTGCTTGAGTCCCAACACCCAGGTGGATTGGAAAAAATACAGTACCTTGAAGACTCATCAAGGTATAAGCGAACTGATACAGTTGATGAACTAGTGATGGTCAAACCAAGATTTGTCACAAAACCAAAATCAGCTGAAAATCTAAGAGAAGGTGGACATGCTCATTTCGAATGTAAACTCGAACCTGTAACAGATCCCAACCTTAAAGTTGAATGGTACAAAAATGGTCGTCCGATCATTGTTGGTCACAGATTCCGCCCAATTCACGATTTTGGCTATGTAGCTCTTGATATCATTGATCTCATTGCTGAAGATTCTGGAGTATATACTTGTCGTGCGACCAATTTGTTGGGTAGTGATGAAACAACTTGCTCACTTAAATGCAGTAGTTCTTCGCAAGTTGTAACATCAACTCAAAATGAATCAGGACTTGAGCAGATTCAATACCTTGAAGATCGATCAAAATATCATAGGTCTGAAGTCGTAGAAGAAACTACGACACAAGCTCCAGTTTTCACAACTTCCCTCAAGCAATGTAATATAAAAGAAGGACAAAGGGCACATTTTGAATGCCGCCTTATTCCAGTCAGTGACAACACAATGAAAGTTGAATGGTTCCACAACAACCAGCCCGTTAAATCCGGATCTAGGTTCACCGAGACCAATAATTTTGGATTTGTTGCTCTAGACATTCTTCACTGCTTACCTGAAGACTCAGGAACTTATACATGCCGAGCAAAAAATGTTAATGGTGAAGCTCTCACTTCATCAACACTCAATGTTTCATGTATGTAATATCATATTGAATGTTTAAAATAAAACTAACAAAATTGTTTTACATTTGTAGCAAGAAAATCAATATACCTTGAATCACAACATGAATCAGCGCTCAACAAACTCAATCAGTTTGAGGAACCTAAATACCACAAACCAACTGGGCCTGAAGAAGCTGCTACTCAAGCTCCAGTTTTCACACAACCAATGAGAGACTTGAGAACATCTGAGAATCAACATGCCCACTTTGAAGCAAGACTCATCCCAGTAGGTGATCCAAGGCTCAAAGTTGAGTGGCTAAGAAATGGAGTGCCAATTTCAGCATGTACGTATATAATATTTTTGGCTGTCAGTTCTTGTCAAGATTTTATGTTCATTATCTTGTTTTTAAATCTATTTTATAGCAAATCGTGTAACGACAATGCATGATTTTGGTTACGTCGCTTTGAACATGAAGTATGTCTATCCTGAAGATTCTGGAACTTATACCTGCAGGGCTACAAATGATCTTGGAGAAGCTGTCACATCGGCCACTCTAGTTGTACAATGTATGTGTAGAAAATCACTACTATTGATAATTTGTGCTTCAATTGAGACAATTCTATTTCAGCGAGAGCATCACTTCTCACTGAGACACAACACGAAGGAGCCCTACAGAAACTCCAGGCCCTTGAAGATTCCGCAAAGTACAAACGCACCGAAGTGCAAGATATTGTTGTTACCCAAAAACCTTATTTCTCAGCCCAACTCAACGGTCCTACACAATTAGTAGAAGGACAGAGTGCTCATTACGAATGTAGAATTGAACCATACCCAGATCCAAATCTCAAAGTTGAATGGTTCCACAATGGAGTACCTCTTCAAACTGGGCATAGATTTAGAACTACCTATGATTTTGGTTTTGCTGCTCTTGATATTCTTACTGTATATGGAGAAGATACTGGAGAATACACTTGCAGAGCTACTAATAAATTAGGACAAGCTGTTTCTTCAGTAAAACTCAATGTACAACGTAAGTTTTCAAAGCATATATTTAACTATAAAAATTCAACATTTATTTCTTTCAAATAATTGTTTTTTATTTTGGTCAGCCAATTATCATATTATTTTCTTTACAGCACGTGCTGGAATTATAAGAGACACTCAGCATCAAGATGCTCTTCAGAAAATACAGTACCTTGAGGATGACTCGCGCTACAAGAAAACAGTTGAACAAGAGCCGACTGTTACTGAAAAACCACAATTCGGCAGACCACTCAAGAACATTGAGCATTTGCCAGAAGGAAAAATGGCTCATCTAGAAGCCACATTGACACCGGTGAATGACCCAACAATGAAAGTCGAGTGGTTCCGAAACGGACGACCCATCCCACAAGGCCATAGATTCAAAACAACATACGATTTTGGCTTTGTTGCCCTTGACGTCCTTTATGCATATGCTGAGGATTCTGGAACTTACATGTGTAAAGCTCGAAATGCTGCTGGGGAAGCTGTAACGACTTGCTCTGTGACTGTTGATTGTAAGCAATTCTTTTAAAAAATACATCAAAAACCATATGTTTAAACATAAATAATGTCATTATAACTCAAGCCACTATCTTTAGAACACAAAATTTTTAGATTTGTTTTAAAATTCTTTAAAAAAAATTCAAATTCCATCAATATTAAATGTTTTCAATTATTAATCCAAATTGTCAGTTTGTCTTGGAATACATTTTACCACCTTTAATGTCAGGAGTTTTGTGCAACATTAGAAACTTTCTTGTGAGGATATTAAAAAAGAACAATAAAAGTGGAGGTAATTCCTTGGGCGAACTGGAGGAATGGACAAAGTCTTAAAAACAGTTTTTGATATCTATCTCCTTGTTTGATGGAGTAATTTTTTTCAGCCAAAGCTGGGCTTCAGCTAGACACTCTTGATGAGCAAAGGCTGAAGAAAATCAGAGAACTTGAACAATTTGAAAGACCGCAGCAAGAGGAAGTTGAACCAGTTGCACAAAAACCAGTTTTCATTACTCCTCTTAACAGGTAAACAATGAAGATAAATAAACAAACTTTTTAATCTTTAACGTTATTTTTTTATGGCTTTTAACAGCTTAGAAAATCTCAAGGAAGGTGATCATGCTCATTTAGAATGTAGAATTGAGCCAATCAATGATCCAAACCTGAAGATAGAGTGGTTTGTAAATGGAAAAGCCATCACAACTGGCCATCGTTTCCGTACTACCCATGACTTTGGATATGTGGCACTTGACATATTATACAGCTATGCTGAAGACTCAGGCACTTACATGTGCAAAGCAACAAATAAAATGGGTGAAGCTGTCAACACATGCAATATTAAAGTGCAATGTAAGTAGACACGTAGTTAATTATTATTAAGTATTACTTTTGATGAATTATTTTTTAATTGCAGCAAGACGCAATATTTTACTTGACACACATCACCCCGAAGGATTGGAAAAAATTAGAGAATTGGAAGCTCAGGGACATCCACAGAGGTTAGAAGTTGAAGAGCCTGTTCCATCCCCACCTCGGTTTGTCACTGAGCTTAGGGTAATTAATTTTTTATCTTTAATTTTGTAACGAATCTAATATAGCTGATGAAATTAATTTTTAGGGTACAAATGAACTTGCTGAAGGGCAAACTGCTCATTTTGAAGCTCAAATTGAGCCACTTCATGATCCAAATTTGAGAGTGGAAGTTTATCACAATGGAAAGCCTCTAGGATCAGCCTCAAGATTCCATATTACATTTGACTTTGGTTATTTTGCCCTTGATATTGGCCATTGTTTGGCTTCTGATGCTGGGGAATATACTGTTAAAGCTGTCAATAAACTTGGATCTTGTGTCTCATCAACAACTATGCAAGTTAAAGGTATATAAATAAATCCATGTGCCTGAGTCTCTTATGGTTATCTAAATATATATTTTTTTATTGCAGAAAAAGGAAGTATTATTCTTGATTCTCAGAGACCAGAGGGTCTCGAGAAGATCAAGAAGCTAGAAGCTGGACGTCCTGAAAAGCCGGAAGTGGTTGAAGCTGCCACAAGGCAAAGACCAGTCTTCACCCAACCTCTTCAAAACATTGATGCTATCGCAGAAAGCCAAACAGCTCACTTTGAGTGCCGTCTTATCCCAGTTGGAGATCCTACTCTCAAGGTTGAGTGGTTCAGAAATGAAAAACTTCTCGAAGACAGCTCTCGAATCACCAAAACACATGATTTTGGCTATGTAAGCATGGATATGACACACGTGAGAGAAGACGATGAGGGCGTATATATGTGCAGGGCTTCTAATGCTCTCGGTGAAGCTGTTACAACCGCTTCAATGAAAATAAAAAGTATGAGGCTTAATTAATTTTTATGTTATGGTATTTTAATGGAAATTTTATTTGTAGCGAAAGCATCAATACAAAGCGAGACCCAACATCCAGAGGGTATGAGAAAGATCCGTCAGTTAGAAGAAGGAAAGGAACCTTCAAGAAAAGAAGAACCAGAACAAGCATTTGAGAAACCAATTTTCACACAAGTGCTTACTGGGCCATCTGAACTTTGGGAAGGCCAAAGAGCACATTTTGAAGCTAGAGTCGTACCAGTAGGTGATCCTACAATGAAATTCCAATGGTTTTGCAATGGAGTGGAGCTCAAAATGGGTATGAAAGTCAGTTTTTAATTTAAATACAAGCATTTATTCATAAATGATTTTTAGGATCAAGATTCCATGTCACACATGATTTTGGCTTTGTAACTTTGGACATAATGGCTACAGTACCAGAAGACTCTGGAGTGTACATGTGCAAAGCTGTCAATGCTGCCGGAGAAGCAGTTTCTTCGACAAGTCTTAAAGTGAAACGTAAGCAAAAATAAAAATGATCAAATGAAAAAAACTAATTTTATTTTCATTTATAAGCACGTTCTGCAATTTCTGGAGAGCCGATTCAACCTGATGCTTGGCAGAAGATCCAATTGAAGGAAGCACAGATGAGCAAAGTGCCTGAAGGCTATGAAGACACTGCTCGACAAATGGCACCCGTTTTTACCAAGCATCTGAACAACGCCGATAAACTCGTAGAAGGTTCACATGTTTACCTTGAAGCCCAGGTCGAGCCCAAAGAAGATCCCAACCTTAGGGTTGAGTGGTTTAAAAATGGAAAACCATTAACAACAGGTCATTGATTAAATAAATTGTACGAAATAAACCCTCAACTATAAGTTATTCGATGATTTTACAGGTACAAGAATCAAGCCCACTTTCGATTTTGGCTTAGTTACTCTTTCTGTAAATGGGGTGAGGCCAGATGATTCTGCCATATACACTTGCAAAGCAACTAATCTTCATGGAGAAGCTGTTTCAACTTGCACGATTAAAGTTGAAGGTGATTTTCATTATTTTTAAATTTTATTATTCCTTATTATTACTTTTTTTTTTCATAGTGTTTGTGTTTAGACATTTTCACCATATTCAGTGCCATTTTTAACCATATAATTATAAGCATGAACAAATTCAAATGGCAAATACATAAATCTATCCTAAAAATACTGAGAGTATGATACCTTCTAAAAAATGCCCAAAATATTAATATTTATTATTTATCTGTAATAATTATTGTTATATTTATAAATACTAACATACAAAAAAATGTTTTATCAGATCGGCATTGGTTGCTTGCAAATTCACTTCGTCCAGAAGCTCTGCCCTTAATCGACGCCCTCGAAGGGCCAAAAACAACAAAGAGCGAAGTTGCTGAACCCGTTTTCGAAGGCCCAGTATTTATTTCTCACTTGAACAATGTAGTCTGCCAAGAAGGAGAGAATTCACACTTCGAGTGCAGAGTAGAACCTGCAAAGGATCCCACCCTCAATATAGAATTTTTCGCCAATGGCAAATTATTACCGACTGGAGCCAGATTCAAAGGCAACCATGACTTTGGATTCGTTACGCTCGACATCAATTCATGCTATGCTGAAGATTCTGGAATCTACACTGTCAAAGCTACTAACAGTAAAGGGCAAGCATCGACTTCAGGATCACTCAGATGCACTGGTAAAATAATACAAACTCATATATCATACATTCTAAAATCAACTATAATGGTAATAATAATTTAGGAAAAGATGGAATCTACTTACAAACTCAACATCCTCAAGGACAGGCTGGACTCGAAAAAGTACAAGAAGTGGATGATGCTTATGCAAACAAATTACAGAGGCCACCTTTAAAAGCGGAAGATGCTTATCCGAAACCGGTATGGACCACACCTTTACAACCAGAATTTAAACTTGGTGAGGCTCAGCCACTTCATTTAGAGGCAACTGTCGAACCCAAAGAAGATCCCAATCTTAAGATTGAATGGTTCTTTAAAGGAAAAGCTCTTGAACATGGTAATTAAATTAAAATGTTTTGCCTGTTTTCATTTAAAATTAATAAAATTAACATTTTTTTTATTAATTAAAGGATCACGATTCAAGATGACATCAGAATTTGGGTTTGTGACACTTGATTTAACAGAGGTTTATGAACGTGACCAAGGTATCTACACTTGCAAAGCCTGGAACAAATCTGGCGAAGCTTTTACATCTACAACAGTCTACTGCACATCCAAAGCTGGTTTGATTGAAAAAACACAACACCCCAAGGGTCAAGAAGGACTCGGAAAAATTCAAGAGCTTGAAGAGTCACTTAGGAAAGAAGATGCTAAACTTGCAGACAGTGAGGAAGGACAACCACCTGTATTTACATCTCAAGTAAGTATTTCATAACTATAACAAAAAAATCTTATGATTCTTCCTTCTTGAAGGTGGGATAATAGGTCAACTCAAAAATTCAGGTTTACGACCCAGTCCTGTTGGACTTCATTGGGCTCACTAGAAATTCTTCGGTTTCTTTCATTTAATAGGTTATCTAGTTTTTTATTCAGTTTTAATTTTCGTTTCTTCTTTTCCCTATCAATGAATTCTCTCTGTTTTCTACTAAATTCTATAATTATATTGGGGGGAATCTTTCCATTTAATTCATTTTGTTTGGTAGCTATGTCTCTCTAATGAATTTGAGTTGACCTATTATCCCACCTTCAAGAAGGAAGAATCATAAGTATAACAAAAAAATTATATTTTAAATTTTACTTCACGAGAATATAATTTTCAGTCTTATTCCCAGAATCCACCACAATTCCTTACGCAGGTATTTCAAAATGTTATTTTGAGGTGGTGGAGAAGTTGAATTTGTTATTTTTAAGGTGGAGGGATAAAAATGATCAAATTTGCTTGTATAAATTGTTTTTATATGTGCACCTACATTAAATTATTTTATGTTATAGTTCCAGAATGTAAGTAATTTAAGTGAGGGTGAGATTGCTCATTTTGAAGCTTCCCTTACACCAGTCGGTGATCAAACTATGGTTGTCGAATGGTTCTACAATGGCAAATTATTAGAAGCGAGTAAGTATTTTTTAAATTTAAATATTCTCATTTTAACGAGTTTTGACTTATATTTTTTTAAATTAAAGGTCATCGAATCAGAACAGTTCATGCATTCGGTATGGTTGTTCTCGAGATACTCGGTACGAAGATTGAGGACTCTGGCGTTTACACATGCCGTGCCACAAACAAATGGGGCCAAGCTGAGATCAGCGTCACTTTGGAGTGTGTTGACATGAGCAAGGGCCAGAAACCACAATTTACCACCCATATCAAGGTGAGGGAAAATGTATAATTATTGCATGTTTCCGAGAAATAATATTTATACCTTTTTAGGTGAGAAATCATTTGACCATGTTTCCCATAAACGAAAGTAATGAATTTGTACCCGATTCGTCCGGAGAGCATTGTCCTAAACTTTATTATTTTGCGTACAATGGCGGAAGATGATCACAATATAAGACAAACAGACAACAATAAAATGCTCTTATACTATTTTAATGTTTTCTTATTCATTTTTATAGTTAATTGAATTAGTTTAAGTGATTAGGCTGGATAACAATCATTATGAAAATGAGGATTTATTAAAACCAAGATTTTTCCATGAATTATCCAAGCAATTACATATTTTTTAATTTGGGCAATCCCAAATTTTATCAGTCTTCAACATTATAATTTAATATTAAAAGGCAATAAAGTCCAAGACTAATTGTTACTTCATCAAGCTTTTGAGGAATAAAGGCTCTTCATATTTAATATATTTTAAAGAATTTAATTAATTAAGGTTTTTAGTTGAGATGAAAAAAAGCTAATGGCACGAGAGGGATTCGAACCCACGATCTTCGGCTTGACGTAGGTGGTAGAGCAGCGGCGTATCAAGCCGAAGGTCGTGGGTTCGAATCCCTCTCATGCCATCAGCTTTTTTTCATCTCAACTAAAAACCTTAATTAATTGTAAAGTATTAATTGGTCAAGCAGACCACGAAAATAGTGAATTTAATGAATTAAAATGAAGTACACTTCACTAAAGCTCTCCGTCGCCATTTCAATTGTCGTCAAGAATCCAAACCGATTACACGACATTTGAAAAATGGCAAAAGGAGGGAAAACTCATAAGGTGGGGTTGAGATGGGGAGTTGATGTCCGAGTGGATCGAGGTCACGATAGCTCAGGTGGTAGAGCAGCGGCGTATCAAGCCGAAGGTCATGGGTTCGAATCCCTCTCGTGCCATTAGCTTTTTTTCATCTCAAGTAAAAACCTTAATTAATTGTAAAGTATTAATTGGTCAAGCGGACCACAAAAATAGTGAATTTAAAGAATTTAATGTTAATTTACTTAATTACTAAGTTTCCTAGTCCAAATGAAGAAGACAATATTCCTCAAAAGGTCAATGAAGGAACAGTGCTTTCTTTCTAATTAGTCTCAAACCGGATTATCTTTTACTATACATAGCATTAATTTTCATATCACTAGTACAACATTTAATATTGTGGTTTATGGTCCAAATATCCCTTATACTCTGGAGTTCTAATACTAAATTACTCAAAGGAAATGATAAATAGAATATTAAATTGTCAACTGTGTGTCATTTGCAGAGTGTTGAAGGACTCAAAGATGGAGATTCAGTTCACTTTGAGTGCACTCTCATCCCAGTTGGCGACCCGACGATGACAGTCGAATGGTTCCACAACGGGCGCCCGATCAGACATTCGACGAGAATCAAACAAGTATCAGATTTTGGTTTCGTTCTCATGGATATTGCATATACACAGACCCACGACACTGGTGAATATGTCTGCCGGGCCAAAAACAAATACGGGGAAGACTTTACAAGAGCGCACGTCGTGTGTGTTGGAAAAGGAGGTGTCTACTATGACACTCTTCAACCCGATTCACTTCAGAAGATCCGTGAACTTGAATCAGGTGCAGGACCAACTCAAGCTGCACCCACTCCAGTAACAGAACCGCCAAGGTTTATAACTCAGATCCAAGATGTTACAGCATTAAAAGAAAGTCAAAGTGCTCACTTTGAAGCAAGATTGACTCCTGTCAACGATCCTAATCTTGTGGTAAATTTTTTCTTCTATATTATCAATGTACTACTTAAATTGATTCAATTTGTTTAAATTCTAGGTTGAGTGGTATTTTAATGGTAAAAAACTGCCCCATGGTCATAGATATAGAACTTTTCATGATTTTGGCATCGTCATTCTTGACATTCTATACTGTTATGCTGAAAATTCTGGTGAATATGAATGCCGTGCGACTAATCTCATTGGATCTGATTCGACCAAAGCTGTATTGAAATGCTCATCAAAGGCAAATCTCATTCTTACGTCCCAACTGCCAGAGGGAATGGAAGGAGGTCTTGAAAAGATTCAAAACCTTGAAGAATCCATGTACAAAACAAGAGAGCAACAAATCAGTGAAACTAAAGGTCAAGCACCAGTTTTTACGGTGCCATTATCGAACATCGATAAGCTCCGTGAAGGAGAAAGTGCTCATTTTGAAGCCAGGCTTACACCAACTGATGACCCAAAACTCAAGGTTGAATGGTTCTGGAACAACAAACCTCTTAGGACTGGTTCAAGATTCAGAACTTTCCACGATTTTGGTTTTGTCATACTTGAAATCTCGCCTGTATATCCTGAAGATTCTGGGGAATATTCATGTAGGGCTTCTAATGAATGGGGACAAGCTGTTACGACGTCTATCATGAAGGTTGAAGGCAAGAGGAGCATTATTATGGAATCACAATTACCAAAAGGCATGGAAGGCACTATTGATAAAATCGCTGAACTAGAGGGCTTAGGGCAGCTCAGGCCTCCTACTCTGCCCGAAGATGATTTGGGAAAACCTCCAGAATTTATTACATCTCCATCGGATCTCACTCTTGTAGAATATTCACTCGCTCACTTTGAATGTAAACTCACGCCAGTTAATGACCCCAGTCTAAGAGTAGAATGGTTTCACAATGGAAAACCACTTACTGCTGGATCTCGTTTCAAAACCATAAACGATTTTGGATATGTAATTTTAGAAATCTCTGGTGTTGACACAAGAGATTCTGGATTATATACATGCAAGGTAATTTAATTATTTTTCTTTATTACATTTAATTTGAATCTTATATTTTCATTTACACTTTTAACAGGCTACGAACAAACATGGAGAAGCGGTAGTGTCGTGCAAACTACAAGTGAGAGGAAGGCAAGGCATCATCATGGAGCCTCAACTTCCAACTACATTCAGTTCAGGAACTGAAAGCATCCAAAAACTGGAAGAGGGTCTTCATAAAAAAGATGAAGTACTTCCAGACGAAGAGCAGCCAAATCCTCCAAGATTTGTTGTTGAACTAAAAGATACTGAGTCTCTTGAAGGTGGCAAAGCTCATTTTGATTGCAAAGTGGAGCCAGTTAATGATCCGACTCTTCGCATTGATTGGTTCTTTAATGGACGTCCTTTTGCAACCGGGTCGAGAGTCCATATGCTTAACGACTTTGGATTTGTTGTCTTGGACATGGAATATGTCTACGCTAGAGACTCAGGAGAATACATCTGCAGGGCAACAAACAAATGGGGCACTGCTACAACTAAAGCCAAACTTGTATGTAAAGGTAAGAAAACTTTAATAAATTATAAAACAAGACAAGAAAAATAATAAATTTATTATTAAAGCTAAACGTGATGTCGTTCTTGATTCTCAACTGCCTTTTGGCATGAGTGGAGAGAAATTGAAAGAACTTGAAAAAGGAAAAGCAACAGAAGCTAGACCTTCGGATGAAGGTCCTCAAGTACCTCCAAAATTTGTTACACAGGTATATATCAATATTTTTAAAATGAAAAACGATTTGTCATTTAAACAAATTTAAAAACTCATTTTACAGATTACATCTGCAACCGTTGGCGAAAATGAACCTGTGAGGTTTGAATGCCGTGTTGAACCAAAGAATGATCCCACATTGAGGATTGAGTGGTACAGAAACGGCAAACTTCTACCTTCTGGCCATCGTTTCAAGACAATATTTGATCTTGGCTTCGTTTCCTTAGACATTTTATACGTGTACCCTGAAGATTCAGGAGAATATGTCTGCCGTGCGGTCAATGCTTACGGTGAAGATTTCACCAAAGCAACTGTATCTTGCAAGAGTGAGTTGTTTTTAGGTTTTCTATTATTTGAACGTTTTATTTCAATCTTGTTTAATGTTAATAGAAGTCCCGTCCATCATTTTGCAAAACCAAGTTCCAAAGGGAATGAAGAAGTCAGAACAGTTGATGCAAATGGAAGCTACTATTAAGAAGTATACTTCAGAAGTACATCTGACTGAAGAAGATTTGTATGAGCCTGAGAAAAAGCAACCACCACGGTACTGTTTTACTATTTTAAATTATTGCACTTCTAATATTTTTAATTTATACAAAAACTGTGAATTTTTTGTACTTCTTCTTTTATAATGTAGTTTAATGTATAATATCAAAATGTTGATAGGTTTGTTACACAAATACAAGATCAAACATCACTCGTTGAAATGGAAGCGACTAAATTCGAATGTCAGCTTGCACCGGTCGGAGATCCCAATATGAAAGTCGAATGGTTCTTCAATGGAAAACCGTTACACCACAAGAACAGATTTACTCCCATCTACGACTTTGGCTATGTGGCCATGAATTTTGGTTGGGTATATCCAGAAGACAGCGGTGAGTATCTCTGCAGGGCTACTAATCTTTATGGAATGGACGAGACAAGAGCGATAATCAAGACCGCCGGTAAACCTGGCATCATATATGAATCCCAACTTCCGAAGGGGATGAAAAGCATAGAGAGAATCCGGGAAATGGAAGCATCATGGCAGCTGTAAGTTATACTGTTACTCTATGAAAATTGTAATAATTGTGTAATATAAAAAAAATTATTTGATACAGATCACCTGAGGCAAGGGTAGAAGAAGAGAAAGAAAAACAGGGTCCCGTTTTTGTTAGTCACCCAGAGCCTGTAACTGTAGAAGAAGGTGAATGTGCAAGATTCTGCTGCAGAGTAACTGGTCATCCAAGGCCAAGGGTCATGTGGATCATTAACGACCACACTGTGGTTAATGTAAGTGGGAAAAAAAATAGAAAAAACATATGAAATGGTTTAAAAGTTTATTAACTCTAAAGTAAAATTAAACTTTATTGCTTGTAATTGACAAAAACAATAGGGAGCAAGGTATAAGCTGACTTACGATGGCATGTGGCATCTTGATATTCCTAAAACACGACAGTATGACCACGGAAAAGTCGTAGTCCTCGCTCGCAATTCATCTGGTGAGGCTAAGGTTGAAACAACTTTGAATGTGAAACCAAGAGGAGATGATTACAGAGGCGTACTCAAGAACTCTCCAAGACGTGAGTGTTTATTATTACAATCAGCAGAAATTTATAAGCATACAATTCTCTTACGCTACCCCTGATAATCAAGGGGCTTGCTTTTAACTAGTTATTACAATTATTTTGAGTCTATTAATTATTATCATAAAGGTAATAATAGTAATGAATTAAATATTATATTTATTCTTTCTCTTTTTAATAATGACAGTTGCAATTATTCTCTCACTAATACACTTAATAATAATAATTTGTACTTATATATAAAGAAAACAGAAACTCTTTTTCTTTATGCACATAAAGTGCACACAAGAGTTCTATTCTTTCAGTAGAATTGCATCGTAACACATTCCATAACATGATACATACCCATAAAAATTACCCACTTTTGTCCCCGGCATCCTCAAAACTTATCGCTTCTTTAATGACAACCCCTGAAGGCTGACGGTCAACTTGTGTCCTCGGCAGGAAGTCGCTCAGGTAAAGGACATCTGTATGTGTTATTTCGTGTCGTTTTGTGCCACAAAACTGCACGAATCCTTCTACACCTAGTTTTCCTATTGCACCATCCTACTCCAATTCTAGCTCTTAATTTATAAATACGGTTTGCATGGAAACTGCGCTTTTAAAATATTTGATTATGTTAGTTTGCTTTATATTTTGTCATCTTTGTATATGATGTTTTCTTCCTAGTTTTCTTCAGACTATCTTTTTAACCTTTTAGTCTGTAATTATTCATAAAGGCATGTTAAAATTTCTATCCAAAATTTTGATTGGTGCTAAATGGTATGTTTAGTGGATAAATATCTATGTTCTAAGTGTGTTAATAAAAATAATTAAAAAAAAAGTGCATTTATTATTTGTAAGTTCATTAAAGACTGATAATTTGTGAAAATAATATATCAATGTTTAAATATGTTTTAAAAACATAATTATGCAAAATTGCATGTGGATGTTTAATGTTATATTTGTCAAAATTCTGTCCCTGTTTAGAAATCTCCGATTTTGTTAAATTTTTCACTGATCCTTTGTAACCATTTCAAACTTCTTTCTAAACTTGGGACTTTGGGACTACTTTAAATACACAATCATTGATATTTGTGGTAATTTAAATGTCAAAGTATGAACATTGTCAAAACTAATTTGTTTTTGTTTACTTCTTACAAACTCAATATTTCCACTAAACCTGCCGGACGTCGTAGGCAAAATTAGGGTATGCGACTATTTTTAAGAATGCTGTCTGAAGTACATTTTTATGATAACAGCATGGTACGACACAGAATTAATCCCCTACCAGCAAGAAAGGATGGAAACAGAATTAGAAAAGGTTTTTGAAGAGAGACAGGCTGCACTTGCAGAACAAAAGGGTGTAGACTTCAATCCAGAATTGAACAAACAGAGGTCCAAAGAGCCAGAACCACAATGGACGAAGTCTGTAAAAAATAAAAAAGGAGAAGAATATTACAGCAAGCTGAGAGAGGTAACCTATCTGATTAATATTTTGCTTGAATTAAATTAAACTGTACAAAATTGCAGTTGGAAGAGGGACAGATAGTGAAGGAAAACAGGCTGAGAGAAGCATCACACCAGTTTGCAATACCTGGGGAAAAAGTTACACATAAGTCAGTAGCTAGAGGAATGGCACAAAGCTATGAAAGTAATTTGTAAGTAACTTAAAATCATCTTTAGTCTTTTTACATTGAAATAAAGTTAAAAAAATATTGCTATATAATTTGTCTAAACTCAGGAAAAAGGAACCAGAACTAATGCCGTGGCAAAAAGGAAGGAATTTAAGGCAAACAGGATACCTCTCACAAGATCAAGAACAATCTGAAGAAGTTGCACAAGACCAGAGAACAACCGTGACCAGAGCACCAGTAGATCCACTTGAAAGTACCGTCCATGGCAAAGAGGTACATACAGCTGTACAGAAACAAACCCAGAAAGAGGTAAAAGATGACCAAGAAATTACCAGAAAAATTTCAACAACTGAAACAACTGAGGTTGAACACAAGGCAACAACACAGGAACGTGTGGTACAAGGACAAGTGGTTAGTTTTATTTTTAATTTTTTTGTAAATTGTTTTTCATGGAATGAGTGTACATTTGTTTGTTTTTATTTTTTCAAGAAACCCGCAAAACCGCCAGTGTTCACCAAGAAAATCCAACCATGCAGAGCTTTTGAAAATGAACAGGCTAGATTTGAGGTCGAATTTGATGGGGATCCCCTCCCAAAAATTCAGTGGTACAGGGAGGATTTCCTAATTCAGAGTTCGCCAGATCTTCAAGTCCACACATTCTCCACAAAATCTATTCTGGTACTCCGTCAAGTTTTCCTTGAAGACTCGGGAGTCTTCTCAGTCATCGCAGAAAACAGGGGAGGGCGAGCAAAGTGCTCTGCCAATTTGGTAGTAGAGGAAAGAAAGAGGGCTGGTCGAGGAGGAGTGGTTCCACCTAGTTTCCTCACAACGGTACAAAGTTCTGCTGTCACTGCAGGCCAATTGGCAAGATTTGACGCTAAAATCGATGGCTCTAAACCTGTAGATGTCTACTGGTTAAAGGTAATTTCTTATAAATAATATATGCTATAGAACTACCAATGATTAATCTTTTTTTCCAGAATGGTAAAAAAATTAGTCCTGATATAAGGTACAAGACCCTAGAAGAAGATAATACTTACACTCTTTTAATTATTGAGAGTGTACCTGAGGACTCAGGAAACTATGAATGTGTCGCAATAAACAAAGGTGGAGAAGCCAGGTGCCAGGCGGAACTACTAGTTGACTCGCCAAAGAAGGGGCCTGGTAAAGTTGATACAAAGCAAGGACCAGAAGTAGCACCAACTGTTGTTGAACCGCTTACCGACCAGGCGAAGAAAGAAGGCCAGCCTGTACTCTTTAAATGCAAAATATCTGCCAAACCAGGTAAAAGAAGTTCATTATTGAATTTTATCATTTCTTGGATTTTACATTCATTAATCCCAAAATATTTCTGTTTCCGACGCCCTTAATATATCAGAATTTTTCCGTGGCTCCCCAAGTCAAAATAATGGTCTATCTCAGCGTGAACTTTACGATAATAATATTAATTCATTTCCAATTCATAAAAGCATTGATATATCTAAATCTCTTATTTTATCTGAAATTTTATTTAATAAATAATCAAAACTCCTGGCTTTCTTGTGAAATTGTGAAACTTCCCTTTTGAAAAGTGATTACGCACTTAATAACAAAAATATAAAAGCAAATACTTTTTTTTGTGTAATAATATAAAATACACAATTGCAGCTGTCTTGTTAACATCCATATTGAAATTGGTTGGCCACCAGGGTCTTAGGCTTTAAGGTTTTATGAAGGAGGGTATACATTTTAGTTTTTTTCTTATAAATATAAAAATCATAATATTTTTATAGAAAATTTTATTTTGTGGCACCTTTATAGCACAACTGCGGGGCACAATTTGGGAATCACTACATTAATCCATATATGTATTTAGTACTCCTGATGGACTATATTAATTATTTTAATTATGATTAATTAAAATAATTTATAAGTGAATTATGACTACTAAATACATACATGTATCAATATAATAATTAAAGAAATACTTTGCTAACAACTCCCTGTGGCCTCTTCATAAGTTACCGAGAATCAAATCCTGATTACACGATATTTGAAAATATAGCAGAAAGAGAGAAAATTTGAAAGGTTGTATGTTGAAATGAGAAGTTGTCTGAGTGGATTGAAGTCACGATAATTCAATTGGTTAAAGCAGTGGCGTATTTAGTCGAAGGTTCTGGGTTCGAATCCTGCTCATGTCACTTGCTTTTTCATCTCAATTAAGGCCTCATATTAAAAATATAATTAATTAAAATCATTTTTATACTTCATAGTTACATGTAATCAATGTATTGAGCTACAATTGCATTTAGAAACATTTAAACAGCATCATTTAATTATTGTAATTAAATATTACAGTTTTATAATGTATTCAATGATATTCTCATATTAAAATATTTATGATTTTTAAATCATTTTGATAACAACCCCTCAAATTAATAAATAGGATTTTTAATTTGCAATTTATAAGTTGTACATATTATTTTTGGAATGACAAGTATCTAGTTGTCATTGTTAGCTCTCTGTATATGAAATGAAAAATTCTGGGTTTTTTTTCTCTTTCATGCATCTTTCTTATGATTCTCATATTTTCCTTTCCTATCTTTGTAATGTGCTAACCTCATGTGTTACCTCAGGTTGTAAATTCTAAGGTTTTTTTCTTTGTTAGAACAGAATTTAAACTAAAATATATTGAAGTAAAGTGATCAGGGATGAAGCCATGTAGGTAAAGAAAACCAACTTGTTTTTCTGCTGCTGAGCTTTCGACTGTATTTGACGCATTCCTCAAAAATAAGTTGGTTTCCTTTACCATATGGCTTCATCCCTGATCACTTTACTTCAATATTTATCAAGAAGACTGATACAATACTCAACTAAAATATATTAATTGAAATGATGAAGATGGCTCATTTGCATTTCACCTTTTGTTTTTAGTATGATTTGTGTTTTCAGTATATAACATTTAATTTGGAATATTATTTTTCAGCTCCACAAATTCAATGGTTTAAAGGAAACCAGGCAATAAAACTCAGTAAATACTTCCAAATGGGAAAAGAAGGAGACACGTACACACTGAGAATATCTGAGGCATTCCCTGAGGATGAAGGAACATACAAATGCGTCGCTTCAAACCAAGCGGGTGAAGTAAGCCTTTCTGCAAACCTCAAAGTTCTTGGTAAATACATTTTACCATTATGCGAAATATACTAATTAAATGGGAAAAATAATTAAATTGATTTTATTCAATTTACAGCTCCAGACAGTAATGAAGTTGCACCGACTTTAGTCCCTATGAGAGATGTTGTTGTTGCTGAAGGAAGCTCTGCACAATTCAGAACCCAAGTCACAGGAAAGCCCACACCGAACATCGAGTGGTACAGAGAGGGCGATTTGATACCTCAATCTGCTGACTTTCAGGTAGGCTTTTAATTATCCTGTTAGATAAATTAAGGTCAACAGCTTAATTGAAGTGTGGGGTGTTATTAATAACTACGTAGGTGGTTTTACTCCAATTCCAGTTTCGTTTTAACATTCCTTCAATCATAAGAAATATAAATAAACTAACATCGAGGGTTTTTTTTTAAATAAAAATTTGTTCCTTTGCCATGATCTACCTGAAATTACATGTTTCCTTTCATATTATATTTTTAACCTGGTGCCCTGCCAAGGTTTGCAAATTTGATATGGAATGGCAAAAGTTCTCATTGAATGGAAAAAAAAAGTTTTGTATATGTAGGGTTAGTGCCAAATGATATTGTGATAAACTGGCGCCCAAGATGACAAGCGTGCATTTTTTGATATATCACAAACATTCCCTTCAGCATAATGAACCACGACAGTGAACTTTCACAAACCAAACTTGTTTTTAATTTCCTTTTGTAAATATTTGATTGCCAAGATAAATGAGTCTAAAAGCTATGGTGTTAGTAAACTGTAAAATGTTTGAAATTACAACTGGCTTATTTTTAAACAGCATTACATCAATCCTTAATGTAAAAATTAAACACAGTGCCAATTCACTGGGGTGGAAAAAATCCTCTTCATTATTATTACCCACAAATAGAAGAGAACAACGATCAGCAACAATTTTTACAAAATGTAGATAAAATGAAATAATACCCACATACATTAAACAAGAACAAAAGACATATTTTAAAAAGTTTAATGAAATTACTAACCACATAAAAACAGAAATTAATCATTTTACATATGCATGTTTATTTTTTCAAGAACCTATTGTTCATTATAAATTCTAGAAAATGTTTTCTTTATGGGTTACACAGGTTAAAACCATTTAAGAATCATTTTCAATTGATTGAAAATGCAAATGTATAACGTTAAATGTGGATTTTTTTTAAAGATTTGGCTTTTAGGCCACCATAGATTGAAACAATTAATATTTATATTTAGCAGGATTGAAGAGTTTGCAAAAATGTTAAAACCTTGCATCTAAATATAAAATGATGACAAAACAGTTTACGATTCCTCTTTGTAATCATGTTCTTGTTATTTATTTGATGTGTCTGTCACTGGTGTTAAAATTAACCCATGGAGGTCGTGTAGGGTGGACAGATAAAACAATGTCAAAAATAATCTATAATTAACGAAAAGCTATATCGACGATTTTTGACTTTGTTTTTCGTTCAAATTACAGATGATTCATGAAGGTAAAAATGTAGTGCTTTTGATTGCAACAACATACGAAGAAGATTCCGGAGTTTTCACATGCAGGGCGACAAACTCAGCTGGGCAGACAGAAACTTCGGCAAAACTCATCGTTAAAAGTAAGAATACATAGATTTAATGTGAATACAACACTTTAAATATAAAACAAAAAATTATGGTGTGGTGCTTTAGGACAATAAAATCAAAAAATGGGAAAATATTGCTTATACAAAAAGTTTTAAGTTGATTTGAAATAAAACAAAATAGCTTGTTATAAGTAGCTTTATTGCCTTAAAAATATTATTATTTAAAAATTAACCGGGCGGAATGTAGTAACCGTTCAAAAGATTATGCAAATGTACTTCTTGGAGCAATTATTGTGAGCTACATTCCTAGAAATTTTAAATGTGTCACATAAGTTACCAGGTCTTTGGCAGAATTTGGTATCTAGTCAGAAGTTACCAAACAACAAACTATAAACAATTATAATTTATTTCTTATTAATTTTCTTTTTAGCTTACGCTTAGTGCCTATGCAACAGTTATTAATTTATTGCAAGGATTATTCATTCTGTGTGCTAGAAATAATACTTTAATATTTATGTATTATAATAACATTCAAATACAATGTAACCAAACGGAAAGTCTATTATAATAAAAATTGTATTGACTTGCAAATGTACTATCTTACTTTCTTTACTTGTTTCCTTTACTCTTTCAAAGGGCGTTTTGCCAAAGTAATGAAGTTTATGCTAACAAACATGAAGAGCACTCTTCCTTCTAGTAAAAGAACGTTATCCATTTAAAGCGCCTTAAAAAGAATTTCTTTAGAAAGGCAGGAGAAAAATGGAAATAGAATCTAGGTGTAGGGAAATGAAATCTAGGCTTGTGAGTACTCTCAATCCATCTATTTTTAAGTGAGGCTCACTGCTCCACATCGTTGTCTATATTTGGAGCTAGCCGAGACCTCTCAGTTCCCAATCTCTTCCTGAAACCACTTGACTGGATAAACTTACAGCCCCTCTCTCGTCACCAGATCAACGACCCTTTCATACAAATATAACCTTATAAAGAAAGTATCGTATATTTATTATGATCAAGAAAAAAAATCTATATAAAATTTTGAAGGCCAATCAGACTAGAATAATATTGAAGAAAAAAAGTTATGGAAAAAAAGTATCTAAATAAAAATTATTTTGGGTTTAATTTATTGAAAGGAAGAAAAACTGTGGCCAAGGGCATATATATTTAGATTTCTTACAAATAGATTCTTTCCCACCATGTAGTTGCTCCGATCAAGACGAGCCTCTAACCACTTATACTAGTAGAGTAATATTTTTGTCTGGGTGATGCTTCTGATTCATCACTACCCACCCTTCTAAATTTTTACAGATTAAAGAGTCATCTCAGAAACTTCTTGGCACAAACCCATGTATATGCAATGAATCATTTTTCTCTCTCCTTTTTTCTTTAGTAAACTAAAGTCCAAGATAGCATAAATATAGGGAGGCTGGGTAGAAAAAGAACACTCAGTTATAAACTGTTTTATTATTATTTTGTTTAACTTATTACATCTTAAACAAAAACTGAATGCTTCAAGGTCTTGGTGACTCAATAGGCTTCTTTAAAAGGAAACTTGTGGTTGGAGGCCTTTATATGGCCCTGATGTCATGGCCTCACTTTCATTTGTCCTCGAGCCTTGAGAAAAAAAATTGCACTATACATGGTCATGTAGGTCTTTCCAAGTTCTAGAAATATTTGAAAACTGAGAACAATAAATTAACGCTTAATGCCAAAGGCTTGAAGCCAAGCCTTACAATACATCGCTGACTCACTAAAATACACTTTTAACAGCCAAGTTTTTTTGTGATAATTTCTTCTCTTAGTTACTGTTAGATAAATAAATTTATTAAAGACAAGTTAAAAGTTGATTAACAATCTGCCAGAGATTTGAACTTTGACACAATTTAAAAAAACAAAACATGGAAAACAAAATTTTACAATATGCTGTTTCTTGCTACAAAAATGTTAGTCAAGCAGATTTTTACAATTTTCTTTAAAATATTTTAAACATTAAAAAACCTGTGAATTCCTTTTGTTGCTATAGTACAACATATTATGTCTGAATAAACACACAACACTAAACTGATGAAGAGCTCCGAGGTGGGTCACTAGATTTGAGAACTGCCGGAGTGAGACTACAAAAATATAACTCGAGTCTCGTACACCGAAAACCCCCACCTCCACTTCTTTGTGGTGGCCTATTTGTGGGAGGGTAGGAGTGGAGAAGAAGGCTCTCTGCAGGAGCCCTCCGGGGTGGGGCACACTTGTTCTATTTAACATTAAGAATAAACAGCAACTATTGTGACAAAACTAATTTCTTCACAGATGAAGAAGGCTGTATGAGAAAGCATAAAACCATTAAAAATATAAATATCGTGGAAATATTTCAGTTTTATACGAACTACCACACCATAATTTAGTAGATTAATATTTATTATGTTTTATGTATCACTATGTGTAAGTTAAACCAAGTATATAATATGCATATTTGTTCATGTACTTACCAATGTAAACAAGATACTTCGTATTTTTGTAAAACCTGCAGCAAATTAATTTTATAAAACAAAATTCTTATATGATTAAATTATTTGAAATTCTGATTTAATTGACATTTAATTTTGTTTGAATATTAAGCAAAGATTTTTTCAAGATTCAATTTTATTTCAATTGAAGATTATTTCAAAGAAAGATTAGAATAAAATAACTGATAATACAACTTAAATTTTATATTGTAAATATTTCTAAACTGTTGATATATTTTTATACTTGAATTTATGCATGTTTAAACAATTCATTTCTAAAATGTAGAAATAAATTGTTTCTAAGCTGTACATATAATTATATCATTACAGGATACCAACAATATACGCAAAAAACTGTAGTTAAAGATCAAAAGGGTGGTAACAAGGATAAAGGGGTCTACAAGAAAGGGGATGTACAAGGGGATTTATCATTAAGTAATATAGAGTATAGTGAAGTTAGTGATACTTCAAGCGAAACAGTGAGTGACAAATTGGAAGGTGAAAGGACAGGAAGGCAAATGACAAGAACAACATGGCTTCAGAAAAGGGGCAGGTCATTAGACACAAGGTCTGCAACTCCATGGAGAAAGCCAAGAGAAAAATCTCTGGACAGCCAAGTAGATAGGAAAAGTGAAGAAGAAAAAAGAGCAGAAAAAACAACAAGTCAAAAAACAACACTTGAGTCAAAACCAAAACCACAACAAAAAGGTGTTCCATGGAGACAAGAACAGGGTCAATTGAAACCTGCCAAGAAAACACCTAAAGAAGTACCACAGGAACCAGAAACGGTTGAGGTGAAACCAGGTGCACCACAGGAAGATGTTCCTTGGAGACAAAAACAGGTTCAGTTGAAGCCTGCCAAGAAAACACCCAAAGAAGCAACACAGGAAATGGAAACTGTTGAATTGAAACCTGGTGCACCACAGAAAGACGTTCCTTGGACACAAGAACAAGTTCAATTGAAGCCTGCCAAGAAAACACCCAAAGAAGCACCACAGGAACCGGAAACGGTTGAGTTGAAACCTGTTGCACCACAGAAGGATGTTCCTTGGACGCAAGAACAGGTTCAGTTGAAGCCTGCTAAGAAAACATGTAAAGATGTTCTTGAAGAACCTGAAACCGTCCAATTTAAACCTTTATCGCCTCATTTTAATGTTCCAGAACAGGTAACGGTTGAAAACATTCAAATACAATCAAATATAACTCAGATTGAAAAAGTTGAATTCAGAGCTGACAGTGAACAATTTGAGACTAAATCAGATGAGCGAAGGGAAAGATTAATTGAACAGTCTGAGAAAGAACAACTTACAGAGAAACGTAAGACAACTAAAAAGAAAGTGTCGGATGATGAAGATTATACAATACTTAAAATCTCATTTGGAGTTAAAGATACTTTAAAAAATGAAGAAGACAAAACTCTGAAGAAAGAGAAACATGTACGAATCACAGATGTAGTTGAAGAAATCCCAGAAGAACTGAATGAAGAAATAAAACATACGCCAGAAATTAAAAGAGAAAAGAAGAAAGGAATAATAAAACCCACTAAACCGGAAGATATGGTATATTCAGCATCATCAGTGCCTGTACAAGAAGAAGAAATGGATGAAGAAGATGATGTACCCTTGAAACCTTACAAAAAATCTGCCGAATTAACTGGAGAAGTTCCTGAGTTAAAAGATAAACCTGAAATTCCCTGGCGAAGACAAAAACAAACAAAAGATTCATTCAAACCTGAAGAACAGGCCCCAGAGTCAGTAGAATCACCATCTGAAACACGCAAAGCTGAGGAACAACGTCCAACACCTTCCTGGAGAAAATCAAGGCTTCTAAAGTCTGAAAAAGAGCCTTTGGTGAAAGAGTCAGATACTAAACCTGAACCACAAGAAAAACCAATGAAGCCCAAATCTCAAGAAGAAGAGCCAAGAAAATTGATTATGGGTAAAGGAAAAATTCCTGACGATAAGGATGAAAGGGAGGCTGTCAAACTAAAGAAAATACCTGAAAAGAAACCAGAAGAGAAACCAGATGAATCTGTTAAACCAAAAAAACCATTGCCAGAAAAATCTCTTGAAAGGAAACCCTCGGAAGATGAAACATTTAAACTTAAACCAATCAAGGATATTCCAACTGGAGAAAGACCAGACGATGTACCAGATGAACCAACCAAGCAGGAAGAGGTGTTGTCTGAAGAACTTTTGCCTAAGAAACCCAAGAAAATAAAATTGAAAAAACCTGATGAGGAAATGCCTGAAGAGGAATTAAAAATACCATTGGGAAAAGGCAAACCACAACCATCAGATGATGAGGAGGGCAAGAAATTTAGAAAAAAGCAAGGAGAGCCTGAACCTCAACCTTCAGAGCAAATTAAATTGAAACCATGGAAAAAAGAGAAATCTCCTGGCAAAGATAAAGAAGCTGAGCCAGAAGTCGGCAAGCCAAAACCATTTGTAAGTGATGATGACAAATGGGATGTAGAGCCAAAACTGTATGGAACACCTCCCGATAAAAAGAAACAGAAAAAACCCAAGAAAAAACCTGATGCTGTACTGGGAGATGAGGTTGTACCTGAGGTAACAGAACAAAAACCTGTTGAAGAACAGGTCGAAGAACTACCTTCTGAATCTGAGACACCCTTGGTATCTTCTTCTGTACCAGAAACTGTGGAGCCAACAGCTGAAATACCTAAGTTAGAAGAGCCTGCAATACCTTCCTGGAGGAAAACAAAGAAACCAAAGGAAAAGAAAGAGGATGTAGTCCCTACCCCTACAGAAGAATCAGTATTGGAAAAAGTACAAGAAGAAGAAAAGCCAAAGAAAAAGAAAACTACATCCAAACCTAGTAAGGAAAAACCAGAGGAACAGACAAAACTGGAACCTATGAAAATTGATAGAATGGAAATGAAACCAAATAAGGTAGAAGTGAGTAAAATTGGAGAGGAACCTCTTTTTGCCACAGTGAAGCTCAAGAAAACTACTGTTCGTCCAAAGAAGGATGTTGAAACACCCAAAGTACCAAAAGTACTACTTAAAAGTAGAATTATTCATTTCCCATGGCCACCAGCCTTGAAAACATTAAAGATAACAGAACTCGAACCAATTTATGTAGACAATGGAATACTATCGAGAAATTATGAGGAAGCGAAACTAGTTAAGAAAACGAAAAGAAGAAGGGTGAAGTTACCAGAAAAACCTGAACCAGTCCTAGAAAAGTATGAACCTTATGAAGAGCCTGTAAAAGAGCCTTTGGTGAAAGAATCAGATGATAAACCTGAACCAAAAGAAAAACCAATGAAGCCCAAGCCTCAAGAAGAAGAGCCGAGGAAATTGGTTATGGGCAAAGGGAAAATTCCTGACGATAAGGATGAAAGAGAGACTGTCAAATTAAAGAAAATACCCGAAAAGAAACCAGAAGAGAAACCAGATGAATCCGTTAAACCAAAAAAACCATTGCCAGAACAACCTCTTGAAAGGAAACCCTCGGAAGATGAAACATTTAAACTTAAACCACTCAAGGATATTCCAACTGAAGAAAGACCAGATGACGTACCAGATGAGCCGATTGAGCCAGATAAATTACTACCACAACCTCCCTCAACACCAGCGAAATCAGCACCAAAGCCAAAGAAATCTAAACCTGAACAACCTCCTGAAGAACGAGAAATACCTTTGGGAAAAGGAAAGCCCAAAGATTCAGAAGAAGATAAAGGGATAAAATTAAAGAAAAAACAAGGGGAACCTGAACCTCAGCCTCCTGAAGAAATAAAACTTAAACCATGGAAAAAGGACAAATCGCCAGAACCTGTCAAAGAAGAGGAGCCTTCTGGACCGAAGCTAAAACCCCTTCCCCAACACGAAGAACAAGAAGAAGTACAACCTAAACCTGTTAAGGACAAGAAAAGTAAAAAGAAATTGACTGTTTCAACTCCTTCCGTAGAGGAAGTTCCAAAAGAATCTCCTCTAGTTAAAAAGGTTCAGTTCAACATACAAAAACCAACATCCCCTCTACCTCCAAGATTTGTTGAGCGCATTCAACCCATAATTTCAGAAGAAGAACAATCGGTGTTTTTCTCCTGCATATTTGAAGGCACTCCAATGCCTACAGTTACCTGGTTTCACAATGGAAATGAATTTAATGCCACCCAAACAGAAACGGTTACTGTCTTTGAAAATGTTGCCACCCTTAAGATCGAAAAAGTAAGAAAGGAGCACATCGGAACATATTCCTGCCGTATTTCTAACCCAGCCGGAGTCGCTACTTGCACAGCAAACCTTGTCATTATAGGTATTTGTGTGTGTGTTAACTATAATGTGTTGTTATTTGAACTCGAATGGTTTTTTTTTAGCTAATTTTTCATACAACTTATCTGCTGTTTTAATTTTTAAACGAATATATTTTAATGCTTTTCATTACACTTTAAAAACAAAAAGAAAAAAAATTGTTAAATTCCATAAAACAATGACATATACTTTAATATTATATTTAATATTATCTGACAATTGAATTTTTTTTACTATTCGACTGATTTGAAAAGACATTTTCGCACTAGAAATGACTCAGGGCATGCTAATATCATATAATTTATTAAAGTGTTATTGCTGTAATGAATGATGTATTATTTTAAATTGCTGATCAAACTCATGCAAATGTTTGACATTTGTTGAAGTGGTGAGGAGCGGTCAGGAATGAAACATTTTAGAAAAACACTTTTTTTTTCTTTTTTTCCTGACTTTTCAACCTTTATTCGGATCAAGTTCAGGGCCTGGGTGAATATAAAACATGTTGATTGGAAAAAAATACAATACGGATGTAAATAATATAAATTTTGAAAGTATTTCATACTCACATAAAGTGTGGTTCTATTCTTGTGGTGTCATATTTGTTTTAAGTGAAATTGTTGTGAATTGAAGTGAAATAAAATTGTTTTTCACACGAAACAAATATGACACCAAAAGAATAAAACCAAACTTTATATGATTATGAAATACTTGGTTCAAAATTTATATTATTTAAATCTGTATTGTATTTTTTCAATGAACATACATTTTGTAATTCATCCAGGCCCTGAAAATGACCTGAATAGAGGTCAAAATGTCCATAAAAAATGAAAAAGGTGTTTTTCTAAAATACTTCATTCCGGATTGTTCCTTTCCGCTTCAACAAATTATTGGACAACCGGTCACTAAATAACAAACTTTCATCCACAAACTAATTATATATAATAAAGAAAAAATATAATTAAATAATAATTAAAATTAGAGTGTGATGATTTCAGTACATAACATAAGGTTGATATGAATTGACTACATTTTACTTGAACTAATACTAAAATGACTTTTTGGTGTAACACTAGTAAGTAAATTAATTCCTGTCATGCAGGGCTTAATGTCCAACCCATTGAGTGTTACGGATGGGGGTCAAATTCTTTAATAAAATTTGTACGACACTAAATAAATTTAATTTTCATATTACAAAGAATCTACTATGGGTTAATTGCTTTAAGTGATATAATCACAAGGTTAAGCAATTTTCTTTCAAGATAACAATTCTAAACTAAATATTTACCGCTTGTCTTTTTATGAGGGCATATTTTATTGCAAGCGCATTAAGTTTAAAATTTATTTTTAATGGAAATCATATTTTTATGATTAGGAAATTTTATTTTATTTTTAATACTAAATTGCAAAATTAAAATATAAATTGTGTACTTTGTGTAGAATTTATGTTAATGGCTCATTAAAATGAAGATTTTGGTTTTTACAGAAAAACAGGAGGTAGGTGAAGCTCCAATGTTTGTAAAGCCTCTCAAACCCAAGGTGGCAAAACGCAAGTCATTAACTGTAATGGAGTGTACTGTAAAAGGGATGCCAACACCAGAGGTACGATGGTACAGGCCTGATGGAGAAATCATACCGGATCACCTTCACAACATCACATTCAATACCAAAACAGGAGAGTCGGTTCTCACGATTGAGGAAACAACTGAAATTGATGAAACCATATATTCAGTTCGTGCCGTTAACAAATTTGGAAAAGCTGAGTGTAGAGCAAATCTTGTTTTGAGTAGGAACAATTTTTTAAATGTTAATTATTAACTGTTGAACTTATTAATTAATGACTTTATTTAAGGTGATGTGCCTGAAGAGATGCAGCCTGAAAAATTAGAAGCTCCTAGGATAATAAAACCTCTTGAAGCTATAGTCGTACCTAAAGATTCAACAGTTAAACTGGAAGTAGAGTTTTCTGGTTTTCCTCATCCAAATGTCAAATGGTATAGGAATGGTAAAGAAATAACTGAGACAACAGAAGAAATAACTATAGTTGAAAACAGAACTACTCTTGTAATTAAGAAGACAACTAAAAAACAAACAGGAAAATTTGAAGTAAGAGTAACAAATAAAGCCGGTGAAGCAAGGACATCAGGCACTGTTAAGATTCTAGGTAGTAATTATAATTTTCCTAATAGAGAAAAGTTTATAATATAAATCTATTGTAGAAATTGAAGAAATAGAGGAAATGGAATCAGTACGAGCTCCAAAATTCATCAAACCATTAAAACCTAAATTTGTTTGTGAAGGAGAAGTAGTGATAATGGAAACACTAGTTGAATCTTACCCTATATGCTCATTTCAATGGTTTGTCAAAGATACACCTGCAAAGGTAGGTTAAAAATTAAAACACAATGACATTACACTATATTAAAAACTATTTTTAGACAAGCCCTGAAGTGAGAATTTCCAGTGAAGACAATAAATCGATCCTCATATTTGAAAAAATTAAAATCGAAGACACTGGTGAAATAACATGCCGCGCTGAAAATGTAGCGGGTAGTGTAACATCTACAGCAACACTTTGTGTTGGTCCTGAATCTGAAATGACAACGCTTCGTTCGCCATCATTTGAACTGAAACCTGTAGCAGCGAAGGTCATGGACGGTGAACCCGTACTTTTCAAAGCGAAGGTCACCGGTCAGCCCACTCCTCACATTAAATGGTGTCACAACGACAAGCCGGTTGTTGAAGGTAAGGAAAAAGTCATAACACAGGACAGCGAGGGTGTCTGCCAATTGGCAATATCAGAAGTTTTCCCAGAAGATAGTGGAGTTTATACATGCACCGCAACCAACACCGCAGGAGAAGCTGTAGCAGCAACCACACTAGTTGTTGAAGGTAATTTATTTTAGGCATCTTTATTATTTAATATTTTCTGCTAAATATTTTGTTTTATAGCGTATGAATACATTCCGGATTCTGAAATTGCATCTGTCTCAGCTGGGACATCAACACTACTTGCAGCACAAAGTGAATCTGAAGAAGATCTTTTAGAAAAGGTATTGAAATTAAAAAGTTTCATTGTTTGATAAATGAATTATTAAAATAAAATATTCTATTAGGAGACACTAGCAGAGCTACCAGAAGAGTTCTCAACTGCACCTGAATTTGTAACACCTCTTCCTAAGATGGTTCAAGCTGTCGAAGGAGATGTCTTAAGGTAAGACTGAAGAAACCTATGCTTAAGTATGATTATTTTGACAGATTTTTTTTCAATTAAATTTTTGTCATATTTTACAGGATGACTGTAAAGGCCAAAGGCTCACCAAAACCAACTATCCACTGGTACAAGGGTGGAGAAGAGCTCCATGCATCAGAAGAATTTGACATCGAGACATTCGAGGATGGAACAAGTATACTTACCGTGCCACAGATTTTCCCAGATGATATCGGCGAGATAGTCTGTGAGGCTCACAATGAAGTTGGAGTTGCTCAAACTGTTGCGTTTATTGATTTACCAGGTAAATATTGTCAAAATGGTTCATTTAAATTTCCTATTACTGATTTTTTTAGGTATTATTTTAATAATAATATTTGCATTTTATTCAATTGTTTGTAGCTTAGACCAGCCGCTTATAAGTAGTTGATTTTGAATTAATTGTCTCATCTGTTATGTATTTTTCAGGCCAACGCTTCTTCTGCATCTCTCCTGCAATCTCCTCCCAAAATCCCCTACAGCATATAAAACATAACACTGCTTTCTAATACATCTTTTACACCTTACAGTTTTAGTTTTCAAATATTCACATAATCTAATTAAACTGTATTTTCTTTTTCAGGTATGAAGAGTTTAGAAAAGATAATGCTAATGTATGTTTTTCGACATTTCTAGGTATTGTAGGCACGAAGGAGTACAGGAAGCCGGAATGGGTGACTCACATGGAAGACATGCAGGAAAAATTGAAAGGTAATAACAAAACGATGTCGGAGGACAGTTTGGAGCATGAGTTTGTGAAACACGTAGACACGCATGTTAGAGACGATTACGAAGAATTTTCCGAGTGTGAAGACTACAGGCACGGGAGTTTTTATCTTCTCCCTCCAATAGAGGAAAAGAGCGAACCGGCATCCTCGATGGACAGTAAAAGTTCCGATGGAGAAAAAAGATCGCTTTCCTTACAAGACTTGAGCAAAACAGAATCAGACAGTGAAATCCGCCCAAGCACTTTTCCAAGATCGAAAGGAGGGCGTGAGTCCTGGAGAGAAAGAGAGAGAGGGCCAAAGCATTCGTTTGCTTTAAACAATACTTTGTACCCTTTAGAACCGCGAGAGCTTGAGCCAGACAGCTTTCATCAACTGCACACTGCAGACAGCTGTGAAGAACTTCAGGAATTCCTTCTATTAGAAAGCCAATGCATGTCAACGGATGCAGGCCTTGCTGCAGCTTTCTTAACAACTTCAGGTGACTAACCTCACTAATGTTATTCTGGTTTACTATGATGTTCAATATTGGCAACCTATAATTAATATGAAAAACGCTCTTCTCTTTGTTTGCCTCCTTTTAAAAATTACATAAAAAAATAAAGTTCTGTAAAGTCACAAAAGTTCAAATAGTAATTCTAAACAAAGTAAACATTCACTAGAATACTAGTAAACCAGAATAAGTGTTTGTAAGTTTTATATTAATGATGTGTTGTTTTAAATTTAATCATTGTGAAATTAACCCTTTGTGATAACTGTTTTAATAGATGAGTAAAGGCCCTGCTAAAATGGTATTAAAGACACAAACATTCTAGTCATTAGTTTGTAAGGTAAGATCCGTTTCATTATAACATTGTAAACTTTGTTTGTTTTTATGCCTGTTTATGAATAGTCACAATGCCATTATTAATTATTTATTCTATTGTTAATTACAGCTCAACAAGCCGTTCCTACATTTGTAAAGGAATGTACCGATTCCCATGTAAATTATGAAGAGACTGTGGTGTTTGATTGCCTGTTTTCTGGAACACCTCAACCAGGTAGCTTAGAAAAGCCACTTTTTCTCTTTTCCCCCTTTATTTTAATCGAAATATTTTATACATTTTTAGTTATTATTTGGTACCATGATGACAAACTGGTGAGAGCGACTGAAAATGTCGAAATCATCATCAAAGAGAATCATACAAGGTTGACTATTAAGAAAGCCAGGGAGGAAGATGAAGGTACTTATGTTTGCAAAGCGACAAGCAATATCGGTATGGCAGTTACCAAGGCAAAACTCAATATAGTCAGTAAGTAAACTGTGAATTTTTGCCCCATTAACAGAGACTTTCATCCAATTTTTACTATTTAGGTTATGAAAAAGTTAAAGAAGATAAAACAGAAGAAATTGTGGAAGAAGTGGAGGTGAGCAAAGAAAAGAAGAAGAAAAAGAAGAAAAAGACTAGCGTGTTAATGGAGGATACTCTAAAAGATTCAGTGAACGTGTCCGAAGTCCAACCCTTAGACAGTGTGACCACTTTCACAGAAACAATAGAATCCGTAAGTATAAATAATAATATATTGTTTTAATTTACAATTAACTACAATTTCATGTTGCACATTTCTTTTAGACAACTGCAAAACGAACAGTTGATGTTCAAGATTCTGTATCAGTAACTGCAGTTGCAACTTGCAAGAAAGTTAGTGAAGAAGAAGAATTCAAAGAGGAGCCAAAAGAGGAAAAGGCTAAACTTGTTGAACCTATTAAAGAGTCGGTTGTTGTCTCTGAGACAGTTCCCGAATCAAAAGTGGCAGAAATGCCTTCATGGAGGAAAAAGAAAACAGAAAAAGCCCAAGTTGTTACAGCACAACAAAAATCAGTGAGTGTTTCTCAAACGGTGACTGAAGAATCCGTTTCTGAGTTTAAACCGGATGATAAAGAACATAAAGAAGCTTCTGTTGTTGAGAGTCAAACTCTTCAAAAGGTCAGTGTATCAAGGACAACTGTAGAAGTATCAGAAATTGAAGAAACACTTGAAGGGTTAAATATAAAAGAATTTGGCCCTTGGCAAGCTCCTCTTAGAGAATTCGCTAAAGTTCATGTTCTGAAGAGAAAAGGTGTTACTGTTGAAGAGGTAATAAAACTACTAACTATATATTATTTTATTTTTTTACTAATAACATCGTTCACAGGTAATGACATTATATGATACCAATGAATTGCCAGCCCTGAAGACAGCAGCTGCACAAAATGCAATGGTTTCGTTAGTGGAACGTGTTGGGCACAGTTCGCTTATATCAGAGATGGTTTCTCATGAATCGCTTGATGAAACACTGAAAGGTGTATTTAAAGCATTCCTCACGATGGTCGATTTACAACATGCGACAGTTCAAGAGGTCATTTCGATGTTCCGGCCAAGGGATTTCCAAGCACCACATTGGGAACAGATTTCTACTATGCCTGTATGTTCTTATCTTAAAATCATACACTTACATAAAAACAGTATGTATAAAAATGAAAAATTTGCTTACTTTCATTTTAGGTGATTGCAGAAGAAACTGCAACGGAATCTGTCACAGAAACAAGTCAAGTGGAAGTCAAAGGTATCTTGAGGCTCAAATTATTAATACTTGTGCTTATTGTTCTTAAAATGTTTTGTTTCTAGTCTTCAATTGCAAATTAATGTGTACATTTGTTAATTTCATTAAAATAAAAGTTTGGTTTGTTTGTTGCATGGTTTATAATATTTTTATATTTTTTTATGTTTGTGTTAATAAATATATAATAAAATGTTTGTTTTGTGTTTTTTATAAATATAAACAATTTAACTGTTCTTTTATTCTTATAGTTTTAAACACCTTTTATTATTATTAATACTTTTTGCTTTTAACAATGCTCGAAAAAATGTCTTTTTTATTTTGTTATATTGTGTTGCTACAATTAAATAAATACTCAAATAATAATAACACAGATATGGCATTTTTGTGATGTTATTAAAATAAAAATATGTCTTACTTGTTGTAAACTTGTTTGTAAAAATAGACCCATTATCCTAACATTTCTTGAATACTTTCCACTTCGAAAAAGAAGGTGCGAATTTGCAACTTTCAGGAATCATATTTTGTGATAATTATTAACAGTGGCTTAACTCAGAGTTAATATAGTTGAAAAATGGGCGAAACAAATTGCCAAGACTTGGAATTTTTATTGCTTACAAAGGAAAGCTACAGATTTTAATGAACCTTTTTTGGTGACACTAGGTCAAAGAATATTAAGTAATTTACATAGTTTTTCCAAATATATTTTTCTGCCTTTGTTTTGTATTTATCTCAAGGTTATTATATATCATTGGATTTATTTATTTTTGTTTATTTTTTATTTGTTAAATGAAAAATCAGGATCGTATGAGAAGGTTATAAAAACGAAAGACACCTCTAACACCTCTAGTAAAGTACGCCAGATAAATAAAAAATTAAAAAAATTCAAATTCATCTTAAATACCCTTGAAAGCCCTTAAATACGAATTTTTATGGGAAAAAAGTATTAAAAAACATTTGGTCGGATTGGCTTATTGCCACTTAAAAATACATATTTTATCCACCATTAGAAAACTGGATTGTCCTACTTTTAGCTTTGCCAACATTTATATTTTACTTCATTATAAGTGAGAAAAATAAACATGAAATCAACAAAACGCGATGTTTGTGTAATTATGTGAGGATTATAAAGTTCTAAAGACCCATAAAGTTTCCAGTAGATCGATGGAGTTGTTTCAAAGGGTATAAAGAATACTGTAAAATATTATATTCCCATAGTTAATTTGAGCAAGTAGAACGGCAAAATAAAAATATTAAAAACAGAAAATTTCAACTAAAAAAAAAAAAAAAAAAAAAAATGGCGAAACCAGGGGCCTATCCTCAAGAGGTGACAGATACATGCTTTTGGAGTGTAGAATTACCAAAAAAAGTTTAGTCCAAAACTGTGACCTACCAACCTCTTACCCTTGTAAGACTTAAAAAAAAAAAATAGAATGAAAAGTCCTGATTTAACTCTGGAATGTAAAAAATAATAATTTACGTGTGTTTTCATTTAAAAAAATGAACAATATAATGATCGCTTTTAGAATGTGTAACTAATAATAAAAATTAATTTGTAGTGTTGACTGTTTGGATTAATAATTTTTTTTTCTAATTTGGGAGTTACAAATACTTTAAGTAAGAGAAAAAAAACTTCTATTTCTCTTGTCTGATTTTTTGGAAAATTTAATTCCTTTATTGAGGTAATCATGCCCTAGAAAATGTAAATAGTAAGAAAGTACTTAGGGAATTGTATGTTTGGTGAATTTTTAAAACACTTCAATAGTCACTGATTCAAAATGAAGTAGAAGTTTTTTCCACAAGACGCAAATTAAAAAAAAAAAATTAAATAAATTATCCCCATTATTGGTAGTTGGCACTCAACATAACACACAGCAATGACACATCTACAAAGAAAACAAACACTTTGAGCCCTGAATATGATTTCAATAAAGATCGAAACATTGGCAAGATTAAGAAAATGTTTTTCTAAACCTACGCCACACCAGACCGCATCTCACAATCTCCAAATAATCATTAATTAACAGCCACTAAATACCACACAAAAATATTGGTTTAATGCATTTCATTCAAAACTAGCTCATTATACGCACAGAAAAAAATTGGAGATCTGACATATTGCCAACTCGTAAAACCCAACATTGAAGGAAGAGTTTTAAAATTCATTCATTTATGTAAAGTCAGAAAAGAGGACTTTCTGTCCTTTTACTTTTTAAAATTTTGATTCAAATTATCAGAGAGAATTTAATATGCAAGAGATACACGGCTGGGACATCCTAGCAATCTCTGCCACAGTTTTCTATTGATCTAAGAGTTGTGCTTTAAAAATTAAAATAACGATATATTATTTTTACAGAAATGAAGGCAGTTCGAAAAGAAAAGAAGAAGAAAAAAGATGAAGTGGAAGGTTTGTATTACAATTTAAAAAACTATATACAATGATTATAATTGTTATTTTATGTCATTTTCATATATAAATATATGTATTTTTATTGTATTATGTATAATTAATTATAATAATACTAACATTAACCCTGAGCACGGAAAAACTTATAAGCATGGTTTGGAAAAAAATAAAATAAAAATAAGTAAGAAAGAAAACAATAATAAAATTGCTGTAGTTTTAAGGCTATAAAAAGTAAGATGCTTAATAACGTTGCTTCTAGCTTTTACTTCTACAATTGCTTCCAACCGCAAAAATGGTACAACCAGAATTTGATATATGTATTTGTGTCTTCAAAATGTCTTCCTAGCTAATGACCATACATCTTGAAGTACAACCTTCAGCTTAATTTTTGGCAGTTGTTTTTTAACTTAATATCAAAAGATGGTGAGTTGCCTCCCAACAGTTTACCACCATGCTTGGCAAATATTTATGAGGTAGTTATGGTACTTTTTAAATTTAATTTGGATGGTATTTTTATTTATTTTATTTTATATCAAAATGCATGGTTTTATGGTTTCAAGTAGTCTTCTCCGTTAACTCTTCTGCTTCTTGGTATGTATCGCTTAATGAAGCAAAGCACTTAAAACATAGTTGCACATTAAACAAAGCTACAATTACATAACCTTTATGGATCGCAATTATTTTGCTCAATACAAGCCATGATTTTACAAAGTAGATGCAGTAATAAACATAACAATGCATAGAACTGCTACAGCACGGCAATGCAATTAAACAACAATAATTAATCAAACAAAAAATTTTAACAGTTTAAAATTGTTCAAAGACATTAGTTCCTATGATGTTTTTAAAGTATATATATATAAACAAAGTGAAAAAATAAGAGAATCACTCCCATCATACCAGAAAAAATATATTCACAAAGTGTTTCATACTTTGTTCCTCACTATTGTTTGTCTTCACTTTGATTGTACTTTGATTTTATATACGATTGATATATTTTCTGATAAATGTAAACAGGGACTGATGTCTTTTATATTAAGTGTAATACAACAACACTAGTGGATGTTTAGCATGTGTCCTTATTACCAAAATACTTACCCTTTCGATTGATTCACAGAAATCGTTGAGGAGGTGGAAGTGATTAAAAGAAGGCGTGGTGAAATCAAGAAGAAACCAAAACAAGAAGACGAAGAAGTAACCATTACTGAGGTCACAGATGATTCTGGACCGGTAACTGTAAAAGAAAGTGAAATAATAATTACTGAAACAGAAGAGAAAAAGAAAGAGGATGAAATTGTCGATGTAAAAACATCAAAGGTTAAAGAAAAGAAAACTAAAATAAAAGAGAAAACAGAGGAAGAAGAAATTATCGATGTGGAAGAGAAAAGTCATAAAAAAATTAAAAAAGTATTAAAACCTCTCAAACCTAAAATAGACGAAACAAGAGATGATGAAGAAATACAACAATTTGAAGTCTATTCGGACCAACCGATGAAGAGTTTGCCTTTTATGACTCCAAAACAAGTCAGCGAATCCACCCCTCAAGACAGTTCATCTTTACTAGAAGTCACACCAAAATCTGGAGAACATGCAAATGTTTCTGTTATACCGCACACCGTCATTTCCAGCGTTCTGACTATGACTGAGGAGAAAGAAGCAGAGTCAGTGAAACCTGGCAAACTTGATAAAGTGCAAGCGGTAAAAGTAATAGACACTGTAGAACCATTTTCAGTGTCAGAAGTAAGAGTTCACTCCAGTATTGAAGAATTCACTGAAAAATTCAAGCCGAAACCACAAGAGGTCACAACTAAATATGTTCCTCAGGAAAGCATTCAAGTCAGTGAAACGTCTGTTGAACAGACTGTCAAAGAGACAAAACACGTTACAGAAAAATCAAATAATGCCAGCATTTGTTTAGAAACCCATGAAGCGATGACTGTTTTAGAAACCAGCACATCAATCAAGGAAGAAGAAATCATTCCTGAGAAATTTCCAGCCACGGCAGTTGCCGGAACTGGTATAATTCCACAAGAAGGGTTAACCATAACAGAAATTAATCAAGGAATAAGGGAAGAGAAATTAAGTGATATGGTCAAACCTGTACCAGTAAAACCAAAAGTTGATGTGTCTTCGACTGAGTCTTTAGTAGTTAGTGAAGTATTTGCTGAAACTAAACCAAGCAAATACTTCCCTGAACTTATAGTTCCTACTGAAACTGCAAGCCAAACATATATTCAGCAGCACACCGCTTTGACTCAACAGATGACACTTCCAGAAAAAGAAGGGGAATATGTACCAAGCAAGCTCCCGCCTGGCCAAAAAGCAGGCTTAGGATTAACTCCTGAGGATTCAATAACCATATCTGAGCAGCAGGTTCATGAAAAGGAAGATGAACTACAACCAATTAAAATGCCTGAATGCACATCAGCCACGGAAGAAATAACTACAAAAGAGGGTCTTATTGTTTCAACAGTTCAGCATCAGGATAATGAAACATTCTTAAAAATTAATATCTTTGAGAGGAAAAAAGCTGATGTAGATTTCTCAAATAAAGAATCACTAATCACAGTCGAAACCACTCCAGCAGAAACTGAAGCTGCATTTGAAAGTGAAAAAGTCCCAACTTATAAGTCAGCAGAAAAAAGTATATCAACTTTAGAGACTTCAAGTGTCTCCGAAACTACTGTCCAAGAATCAACAGGAAGTTTTACTCCTAAAAAGACTCCAACAGCATCATATGCTGAACCTTCTATCAAACCATCAGAACCGCTTATCGTTACAGAAACAAATATTCAACAAACACCTTCAGAATTCACAGATAGTCTCAAATATAAAACTGACGGGGCCAAAACAACAGTTCAAACTGTTGAAGCCAAACAGGTGTCTACAGTTCTTTTGCAAGACAGTGAAACCCCAATGAAGACTCAAGATATGCCTGAAAAATTGATTGTAGGTGAAACGACTACTGACAGATTGACCAAACAAGGTGTAGTAATCAGTGAAACTGAAACTGTCGAGAAAGAGGGTGTGCACAAAGAATTTTCTCTTCCAGCCTTTCATAGTGGTAAGACAGTTCCAACACATCCACTTCAGTCTCTTGTTGTTGAACAGACGCTCATTGAAGGAAGGACTGAAGACATAGCTGAAGAGAAACCTGTTGAAACAGTGGCCAACTTAAGTCAAAATGTTTACCAAGAGACAGTATCTCAAATTGTCATATGCAGTGAAAGTACAACTAGTGAAAAAGAACAATTAAAATTGGAAACCAAAAATGCCAATGTAAGTGTATTGGAAAAAGAAAGCATTGCTGTTACTGAAGTCTTTCCTGACAGTAAGACATATGACTACAAATCTGAAGAATTACCAAGCACTACTACAGCTTCTTCATCAGTAACCGGTCAAACTATAGCTACACAATCAGAAACATTGGTAGAGCAGAGTACAGCACCACTTTCTGAAGTTAAACCTAAAATGAGTACTGCTAAAACTGGGCACGCTCCATTGGAAGGTGTTAGTGTATATTCAATGCAAACGGGAGAATCTGAATCACAATTGACAAAAGATATAATACCAGATGCAAAAAAAGCAAATGTCAAATTACCCGATGAAGTATCAAGTATTGCTGTTCAAGAGGTTTTGAGTCATGACAAAGAAACAGAACTTAAACCACTCGAATCAGTTGCTACAAATGCCCAAACGACTTTCTTATCAGGTCATAAAATTGCAACTCAGTCAGAAACAATAACAAGTCTAAAAGAGGAAGAAATAAAACCAACAGAACTTGATACAAAAAAGGCTAAAGTGGGTAGCACTCCTTTCCAAGAAGTATCAGTAACTGAAACTAACGTAACTGAAGTAGAGCATAAATTTGATGAAAAGCCAGCACACAATGTTCAATGTGCAGATGTTTCCTTAATTCCTAAAGAAGGTATATCAATAACGGAAGTTTTTGCTGAAGATAAGGAGAACGTTTATAGAAGTCAAGACAAACCTGAAGAGAAAAGTGCTGCATTTGATTTTATAAGTCAACAGGTGGTACAGAAAGAAGAAGTGGTTGTTGGTATTGAACCGGGAAAGTTTACAAGAATATCTCCAACAAAAGAGCAAGCTGTTTTAGAGCATACTGTAATCCAATGTGCCGTGTCACAAGAGCAACAACTTGGAGAAATAGAAAGTGATTTCAATGCTCCTGTAAAGCCCAATGAAAAGTTAGCAAAGATGGTGTTTGAACAAGGAGACTACTTAAAAATTACTGAAGTGAATCCAATGGATAAAGAGAGGGTTCTTGAAGAGGAGGTGCACCCTTCAGAGGTTTTTGCAACTCCCAATGTCAAATCTCACACTGTAGCATCAAAGAAAGAGATCCTTTTAGATACAGCAGTTGGAAAATTGTCTGATTTCAAACCAGAGTTGACCTCTGTTACTGAAAGTCATATAGTTCCTCAAGAGACGCATAAAATAGCGACAAAAAGTGAAATAATGACTGAAACTACTACTGATAAATTTATAGAACAAAAACCGACTGTTGCTTCAGCACATATTGACCAGGTACCATTTGAAAGTTTCGTTACTTCAGAAGTGTCTGTCATAGACAAAGAAGGAGAAGTATCAGAATTAGTAATTCCAGAAAGAAAGTGTGCTATTCCAGATGTTGTGTCTCACCATGTCGTGGAAATAGTCCAAACTTTCTCTGAAAGCTCTACAGGTGATATTGTAACTCACACATCAAAAAGGACAACTGCTTACAGCTCTCATATTCCTTATGAAACATACATTGAACAAGAGCCGATAATTCAAGAAAGCGAAGAAGAATTCCAAACCACATCGACATCTAAAAAGAGTGCAGGAGTTGGTTTTGAAGAAGGGAGATCTATCACAATAACAGAAGTGGAAACCGGTGAAGGTGAAACTCCTTATATGGTTGAAGAAGCCCCAGAAACTCATTCTGCAAGACCTGATATTTTGCAAGGCAAGGAAGTAGCCCAACAAAATGTAACTATAACTGAGATTGGGATTGAACCTCTAGATTCTGCTAAACCTAAAGAGCAGCCAAAGCCATGCCAAGCCAAACGAACAGTAATTAGCCAAGAATCTATCCAACAAATGCAGACGGAAGCAAGAATAGAAACAGAACCGCTGAAGACGGACAAACCAGAAGAAGTATCAGCTACATTAAAACACACAACTCTTAAAAGTGTTCAAGTGTCTCAGGGAATAACACAGGAGCAAGAAGAAACTTTCACAAGTAAATTAAAACCTACAGAAAGAAAAGCAGACGTAGATTTTGAAGATAATCCAGTATTAAGCATTTCTCAAGTATTAACAGAGCATAAAGAAGAAGAGCTGTTAACAAAAGCATTACCAGATGTAGTGAAAGCAAAGCCAGAATTTATTCCAAGAGATGTTGCCCAGCAGAGCCAAGTTGTTTCAACTTTTCAAACAAGTGATTTAATACCAGAAAAACCAAAGGAAATGTTTGCACAAGCTGAACACATTTTACATCAAAGCATTTCACAATCTCAAGTTTTAATAACTGAAAATGAAAATGAATTTCAAGAGAAAGTCTTATTTGATGTTAAAAAAGCGAATGTAGTAACAAGTGTCAATGAAGGTTTAACAGTCGCCCAAACTACAGCAGTTGATGAAGAAGAGGATTTCAGTTCGCGTTTAGGCTCCCTAGACATCCTTTCTCCTACCTGTAAATCCGCTAAACCATCCACACCAATACAACAGCATCTGACTGTCACCTCTCATAACCTGGCTGAAGTCGAAGATGAACTGATTTTGGAAACCACTCCTTCATCAAAACAGATTGAACCCAATTTTAAGGAACAATCGACCAATCTAATTGTCACAGAAGTCCAGCCTGATATTAAAGAGGGTGAGTGTGTGTTTGAAAATGTACAAAACTTGCAGACTGGTACTGTTGATTTTGTGTTAAACACTGCATACAGCAGAGAAGAAGTTGTGTGTGATTTAAATGTACCAAACTTGGAATTGACTCCAAGAATTTTAGGGCAAGCGACAAAATCTCAAAACACTCAAGAGGCAGTTCAAATACAGGCAGATGTATTAATTGAAAAAGAAGGTAAGTTGTCTGAGGAGACAACAGTCGATTCTAAGCAAGCTAATGTAATAATTGATACAATTACTATTCCCAATATACAAATGCAGCATGTAAATGAAACAGAAAAGCCACTGAACATTGAGAAAGTAATCAACAAGATTGCAAAACAAGAATTAATTTTAGCATCATCGACACAAGTCTATCAGACAGAAATACTCGACAGTAGTGGCAAATTAACATCACCAAAAAGAGACACAAAAACTATTGATACCACGTATCTTCCAAATGAAAGTCTAGTAATTACAGAACAACAGTGTGATGAAATCACTGGATCATTTGATGCCCCCAAATTGTTAGACGCAACAAAAGCAACCATTCAAATAACACACGCTCATCCCCTTGCTATTGGAGAAACACAGACACAAGAAACAACCCAAACAATGACTGCAGATCGCAAACCAGTTGAGAAAAATGTACATCCTGAATTTATTGAACATAAATATACATTGCAAGTGGAAGATGTAAAATCAAATTTCACTGTTGGACTGGTAGAAGAAGATACTACACAATTATCGACAGCAATTGAAACATTACCATCAATAGAAGTCCCTATTGTACAACAAGTTTTTCTAGGAGAAAATGTGTCAGATTTATTTGTTGTACCATCTCCAACAGAGTTTAATGCAAATCCTTCTGCTATACCTCGCCAAGTAGCCATCACAGAAGTTCCACAAATTGAAGGGAATACACAAGATATTAAAACAGATTCGGCTAGTCATGAATGGGCATCAGTTGATATTGTGCAAAGTCAGGCAATCAGTAAGGACCAGCCAATAACATTTGAAAACACTGAACAATTCACTAAAGAAGTAGTAACAGAAAGAACTGCCAAAATTAATGTATTGCCGAGGGAGACTGCAATCACACAAGAAACAATAGCAGAACAGAAAACTGGTAAATATGAAGATGATCGGAAACAAAGTGTCTCTTTTCTAACTGAATCAGAACCCATTATAACGCCTTTAAATACTGTAATCACTGAAACTCTTACAACACTAGAACAATTAACAGAAAGAGAAACAAAACTCAAAAAAGAGTTAGCAAAAGCAGTCACTCAGATTGAAGATATTAAACTTGCAGTGAATGAAAGCACCATGATTGTTGAAAGTGAAAAAACTCTAGAACAGAAGGCTGAAGCATTTAAAAGCATACTAGAAAGCAAACTCTCTGAGCCATTAATGGTGGCGAATAAATCAGTTACTATCCCAGAATGTAGCTTAGGGAAAGAAGAAGAATTAATTTTAAATGAACAAAAGGCAGATAAAAGCATAATTACTGCCAATACACTGACAACTGAAAGCATAGTTACAGCAGAAACATTAACACAATACCCCACCGATGATGAACACACTGTAATGACACATCAGGCAAAGCAAAAATTGAGCCCATCCGAAGCGATTTGTACAGAAAATGTTGAAGTAAAAATATCTGTTGGAGATGTTAAAAAAGAATCCATTGAAATTGGAAATGTCAATGTAAAGGTAATTGAGATGAAGACACCATTGATAGAGGAAACCAAGTCAATTGAGTCAACAGAAGAATTAACAATAAGAAAACCAACATCAATCATAAAATCCCCAAATCTCGACGTAGCACAGGGCTTAAATACCGAAGAACAAACCATAATAGAAACCACTGACCACTTATCATCACCCTACTTCGAGGAAAACGCACAAACATTAACGGTAATAGAACCGTTGCCAATTGCAGAACATAAAGAATTATTTACAGTACAAGACAAAATTCAAGATGCGAATGCACCCACAACACTTAAGAAATCAAGAGGAAATGAACAGCCAGACGAAACGACTCTCTCTACACAAACATTGGAAACGGAAAAAACCGTTACATTAAAAGAAACGCCAGAACAAAATGGAAAGAAAATTTCGGAACCAAATAAAATGGACGTGCCAGAAGAAATAACAGGTGAGTTTATAACAAGCAATATTTGTGAGTCCAAAATCTAATGTATATCACAACAGAAACAATAATTTAAGATTATATATAAGAAACAAAATAATGGCATGAGTGTATAAGATGTTTAACTTACAAAACCAGAATATATATGTAAACTTAACATGACATCAATAACTCATTAAAACAAATGTTACAGATGAAGATAAAAGCCATACTGACATAAGAACAACATCAAAAAAAGATACACAAATCACTACACGACAAGCCGAGACAACACAAGATGTAAGGAAAAAATTATCACCAGTAACAATGCAGGATGATGGCAAAGAAACGGAAGAAACAGGTAAGCTTTCTGTGCCATATAAAACAGGAAGATTACCAAAGAAACCTTCGGATCGACCTAAAGAAGGAAACGTCAGTGAAAGGACGGAACCGGTAGAGGAAACTAGGGTAACAACGACGAAAAAGGTAAAGAGAGTCTTGAGACCGAAAAAACCGAGAGACGTTGACGAACCGTCTGAAACGACAGAGGAACTGCCACAACCGGTTCAGGAAAAAGCGGTACCTAGGGAAGACCAACCGGAAGAGGTGACCGTGACGGAAATAGTGACAACCGTAACGGATGACAAGGGTAGAAAGAAAGTGCAGAGACGTCGGGTCGTTAGAAAGGAAAAACCGGACGGAAAGGAAGATGTTACCGTCGTAGATGAAACGCCGTCGGAGGGTGTGGATGTGGAGGAACAGCCCGCTCTCCTTCCGGTGCTTAGATCCATTGAACCATCGTTGGTCGAGGATAAGTTTGATAAAGCGACCGTGACCGAAGTCATCACTGAAACAGTGAAAGACGATACCCTCGTCACCAAGAGAAGGACAAGCATTACCAAAGTGAAAGACGGCAAAACGCAGACCTCGGTCAAAGAGAGTGAAAGGACGGAACCGGTAGAGGAAACTAGGGTAACAACGACGAAAAAGGTAAAGAAAGTCTTGAGACCGAAAAAACCGAGAGACGTTGACGAACCGTCTGAAACGACAGAGGAACTGCCACAACCGGAAACGCAACCAACTGCAAAAGATACACCAGCAGGTACTGTTGAAACAGTGCCAACCCTGGAACAGCCTGAAGAACTGACAAAGCCAGAAGAAGGTGGTTTGTTGGCTGAAATATTGAGAAGAGCGGATGAGAAATCTCGAAAAGTAACAAAACCAGATATTGATGAGTCCAAAAAAATGAAGACTAAATTAGTTAAGAAGACTACCAAAAAACCTGTTGTACAGAAATCCGAACAGCCACAGGATATGACAGGTGTTGTACCCCAATTAGATGAAGAAAAACTTGAACAAATTTCTGAGGATAAAAAAGTGAAAGAGCCAACCCATATTCTGGTTGAGGATACTAAAGTAGTAGAGGACCGAAAACCAGATGAAAGTCCCCAAACAGAGGTAAAAGATATTCCTAAAGAACCGCAGTCAAAAGTTGAAGAACCTGAACAGTCAATTCCGGAAGAAGGTGTTTTGTTTGCTGGTGAAGAAGTACCATATGTTCCTGATAAAGAAAAGAAGGAGAAGAAACGAAAAACTGTTATTAAACCACACAAAATGCCTGCTGAAAACGAACAAGGAGAGGAGCAAGAAGGACCTAAGAAAGAACTTGAGAAACTGCCGTCAGCAGTTGAAGAACCTGAAGAGTCAACACCAGATGAAGGTGGTTTGTTGGCTGGTGAAGAAGTACCGTATGTTCCTGATAAAGAAAAGAAGGAGAAGAAACGAAAAACTGTTATTAAACCTCGCAAAAAGCCTGCTCAAAAAGAACAAGAAGATGTGCCAGAAGAACCAAAGAAAGAACATGAGAAACTGCCGTCAGCAGTTGAAGAACCTGAAGAGTCAACACCAGATGAAGGTGGTTTATTGGCTGGTGAAGAAGTACCGTATATTCCTGATAAAGAAAAGAAGGAGAAGCAAAGAAAAAGTGTTATTAAAACTCATGAAAAGCCTGCTGAAAAAGATCGTGAGGAGTCTGAAGTACCTATGACTAACCTTGAAAATCCTGAAGAATTTCATAAAATAGAAAAACCGAAAAAAATTGTGGAAAGTAGTATTAAAAAGGGAGAAGTAAAACAAGTGCAGCCTAAAAAACTGAAAGTAGAAGAGCTAAAACCTGAACAGCCCTTTTCAATTAAACTTAAAAAAGTTAAAATACCTGAAAAGAAAGAAGAAAAGCCAAAGGCAGAATTACCAAAATTTTTACTCAAAAGCAGAATACAAAGAATAAATTACCCACCTGGTATGCTTTCATTGAAAATTACTGAACTTGTACCTCCCATTTTAGATAATGGAATATTGTCTAGAAACTATAAAGAAGCTGAAGAAGTTGTGAAACGTAAATCAGTAAAGAAAAAGTTACCTAAAAAACCAGATGTCACATTAGAGACCTATGAACCAACTGACATTCCTAAACCTGAAAAAGAAGAAGAAGCTACTGTACTTGTAAAGAAACCAGTGGAGAAGCCAACACCAGAGCACAAGGATGATGAACCTGTAAAAATCGTTCTTGGAAAGGGTAAACTTCCCAATGAAGTTTCACAGGATGAAACTGTCACATTGAAAAAAGTAAAACCGAAAAAAGATGATGAACCTGATAGCTCGGAGACAAAGAAAAAGCCTAAAGAAAAAGCAGTTGAAGTTGTAAAACCAGTGAAGGAAGACAGTGACACACAACTACGTCCTATTGAAGATATCACATTCCCTGAAGAGCCTGAGAAAGAAGAGAAACAACCAGTTGCTCCTAGTGAAGAGAAGAAAGAAGCTCCAGAGGAAAAGCCTAAAAAGAAATCTAAACCAAAACCTGAATCCGTTAAACAACCTTCTCCGGAACGATCACTAGTTTTAGGAAAAGGCAAAACACTGGATTCGGTCCCAGAAGAAGATGTTAAATTTAAAATACCCATCAGAGATAAACCTGAAGAGGAACCGGAAACGATCAAACTAAAACCTTTTGTTAAGAAAATACCATCTGAAGAGAAGCCAGATAAAGAAACAGAATTTTGTGGAGAAATCCCTCAATCAAAATCCCCTACAGAAAAGACTGTCAAAAAACTGGAAAAAGTAAAAGTAAAAAAAGTGAAAAAGAAGAAAGACTCACCAGCAGAGACCTCAGAGAAAGATATGCCGGATGAAGAGGTTGAGGAGAAACCAACACCAGAAGAAGAAAAACAAGAGGAGCCAAAACCAGTTGAAATACCTCTTCCATTGGTTGAAGAACCTAAACCTGAGAAAAAGGTTACTCAAATAACTGAGGTTACTTTACCAAAATATGAACTACCTGGAGACTTTGAAAAGCCTGAAAAAGTTAGTGAGCATACAATAATTTCACAAAAGCCAGATGAGAAACCGAAACCATTGGTTCAAGATGATAAACCTGTAGAATTTATTATTGATGAGGGTAAAATTTCACACGATGTTATTCATAATGAAACAGTTACTTTGAAAAAGGCCCAGGCCCTAAAAGGTAAAATAGATGATAGTTCTGATATTGTAGTACTTAAAAAATTGCCACAGAAAGAGTTAAGTAAAAAAGAATTATCGGACATAAAAATTCAATCAGAGACAAAGGCCTTAACGAGAGTTCCATTAACCAAAAAAGGTGAGAGTGCAGAAAACTATCCTTCAAATAAGGTAAGTCTCACAAACATCCCGCAAGACAACTATGAACATCTTGATGATGCAAACCTGATTGAACATAAATCAAAAAGTCCAACACAAACCACAAACATAAGCAAACAATATGAAATTATTTCTGGAAGCTTGGAAGAACCTGTGGAAATGACAAATATTGAAACGTCACATCCATATTTTACAAAAGAGTCAAAAACATCACATGAAGTTCCACAAACTACTCTGCAATCTACTCAACAAACCATGAAATTAGAACAGTCTTCTGAAGATATGGAGGATACATACATGCCTCAAACAATTCCAAAACAACAGGAGGCACTTCTAACAACAGATATTACAGTAACAACAAAAGAAGACCAATTTTCACATGAAAAAATATCACACGAACAAGCAGGTATATTACACACAGATGCCTTCAAACATTTGACTGAGACTGATGTGGATTCTAAAATGTTCACAGGTCCAACACAGAGAAAGGAGAAAATTGACAAAGATAGTACAAAAGAACCGCAATGTGAGTTAGTTGTCAGTAAGCCTGAGCAGAGAGATTTTCCAAAAACTGAAGAACCAATGAAAACAACTGAAGAGGCTGTGAAAACAACTGAAGAGGATGTGAAAACAACTGAAGAGCCAATGAAAACAACCGAAGTGGAACAACCTGAAATAAAAGAAAAGCTTCCCAAAAAAATGAAGAAGAAAAGAGCACCTGAAAAGAAGGAGGAAGAAGTTTTGGAGCCAGAAGAACCAAAAGAAATTATAGAAAAAATTGAAGAGAGTCCTAAAAAGCCTGAAGAAGAACTACACAAGCCAGAAAAGGTTAAACTGACCCCAATGAAAATTGAAAGGAAAGAAACCAAGCCCCAAAAAATAAAAGTCAATGAAGAAAAAGAAAAGCAACCACTTTTTGCAACAATAAAATTAAGAAAAGCCTCTACAATACCCAAGAAAGAAGAGGAACCAAAAGAAATCCCTAAAGTTTTACTTAAAAGTAGAATTAAAAAAATTGAATATCCTCCAATGATTAAACATCAAATAATAACAGAACTTTCGCCAGTACAAGTTGATAGTGGAATTCTTTCTCGAAACTATGAAGAATCTTTAAAAATAAAGAAGAAAAAAGTGAAGAAAGTAAAATTACCAGATATTGAAAAAACTGAATTAGAAAAATATGTCCCATATGAAGAAGAACAACCTCATGAAGCCACACAATCAGAAGATATCAAGCCAGAAAAACAAGTAAAAATGCCAGTTGAGGAAAAAGAAGAACCAATGATCAAAATACAAAAAGGTAAAGGGAAAATACCTCAAGAAGAAGAAAAACATGAAACAGTAGCTTTGAAAAAAATACCTAAGAAACCTCAAGAAGTGACTGAAGAAGAAGAAAAGAAACCTGTAAAACTTAAACCTGAGTTAGATAAAAAACCATCAGAAGAAAAAGATCAAACATTCAAATTGAAACCAATCAAGCCAATTAGTACAGGAGAGCCAACAGATGTAGAGAAACAAGTCATTGTCCCTGAAAAAGCTCCTGAAGAACCAGAACCAGAAGAAAAAACAAAAGTGATGAAGAAACCAAAAGAAACCAAACCAACTGATATACTTGAGCAAAAAACTATTGTACTTGGGAAAGGAAAGCCGAAAGAACCAGAGCCAGAGCAAGAAATTACACTTAAAAAGAAACAAGGCCCTAAACATCCTGAAGAACCAGAAACTATTAAACTAAAGCCATTTGAAAAAGAAAAACCAACTCCAGACCTTGAAGAAAAAGAAATTTCCCTTGGTAAACCAAAACCTATGGACATAGAACGGCCTGAGGAAGAAGTGGAAAAAGTAGAATTCTCAGTAGATGTCAAACAAAAGAAGAAAAAGAAACAGCCAACCCAACCATTAAAAGATGATACTAAATCAGAAGAAGAAAAAAAACCTGAAGAAACACAGCCAACAGAAAAAGATTTACCAGCAGGTACTGTTGAAACAGTGCCAACACTGGAACAGCCTGAAGAATTGACAAAGCCAGAAGAAGGTGGTTTGTTGGCTGAAATATTGAGAAAAGTTGATGCGAAAACTCCAAAAGTAGAGAAACCAGAAATCGATGAGCCCAAAAAGAAGAAAACTAAATTAGTTAAGAAGACTACCAAACAACCTGTTGAAGAGAAACACAAACAGCCACAGGATATGACATGTGATGTACCCAAATTAGATGAAGAAAAACCTGAACAAATTTCTGAGGATAAAAAAGTGAAAGAGCCAACAGATATTCTGGTTGATGATACTAAAGCAGTAGAGGAACAAAAACCAGATGAAATGCCACAACCCGAGGTAAAAGATATTCCTAAAGAACCACAGTCAACAGTTGAAGAACCTGAAGAGTCAACACCAGATGAAGGTGGTTTGTTGGCTGGTGAAGAAGTACAGTATGTTCCTGATAAAGAAAAGAAGGAAAAGAAAAGAAGAACTGTTACTAAACCTCACAAAAAGCCTGCTGACAAAGAACAAGAAGAAGAGCCAGAAGAACCAAAGAAAGAACTTGAGAAACCAGAAGAAATTCCCAAACCAGAAAAACCTAAAAAATTGGTGAAAAGTACTATTGAAAAGGTAGAAGTAAAACAAGTGCAACCTAAAAAACTGAAAGTAGAAGAACTAAAACCTGAACAGCCCTTTTCAATTAAACTTAAAAAAGTTAAAATACCTGAAAAGAAAGTAGAAAAGCCAAAAGCAGAATTACCAAAATTTTTACTCAAAAGCAGAATGCAAAGAANAGAGGAGCCAAAACCAGTTGAAATACCTCTTCCATTGGTTGAAGAACCTATACCAGTTCCCGAAGAACCTGAAAAACCTGAAAAACCAAAAGATAAACCTAAGCTGGTGCCACAAAAAATTGAAAGGAAAGAGGTCAAACCTAGTAAAATCAAGATGCAAGAAATTACCCCTGAACAACCATTATTCACAACAGTAAAACTAAGGAAATCATCTGCCACTCCAAAACCTGAGGTTAAACCAAAAGAACCAAAGCGTCTTCTTCTTAAAAGTCGTATTACTAGAATTAATTATCCTCCAGAAGAGCTTAAAGCAGTTTTTACAGATCTTCCGAAGGTAACTCTGGATCAGGGTGTACTTTCCAGAAACGCCAAAGAAGCTATCAAGGTTATTAAAACTAAAGTGAAAAAACCTAAACTTCCTGAAAAGGAAGAAACAGTTTTGGAAAAATATGAGCCGTATGTGGAAGAAAAAGAACCTTGTGAGGAAACACCTGAAAAGGTAGTTAAACCACGTCCCAGGCCATCTGTGTCTGTTCCTGAACCAGAAGAAACAGTAAAGTTGAAATTAGGAAAAGGCAAATTAGAAGAGGTAGTTTCCGAGCCTGAACAGATAAAATTACGGAAAGTTACACCAAAACCTCAAGAGGAAGAAGAAGTCACAATAAAACCCAAGCCAAAGGAAGTAACAGAAAAACAACCCGAGAAAGTGCCTAAACCAATAAAACCTACTGAAGAATTGAAACCACTGGAAGAATTCAAATTTGATGACATACCAATTGAAAAACCTGAAAAACCAAATGTTGATCAAGAGGTAAAAGAAAAATCTTTAGAAGAACCAAAACCTAAACTAAAGAAACCTAAGGAAAAGATGCCTGAGGAACCTACAGAAGAAAAAAAGATAATTCTTGGTAAAGGTAAGCCTCAGCCTGAGGATGAACCTAAAGACATAACTTTAAGAAAGCCAAAGCCTAAGGATTTAGAGAAACCAGAACCAGAAGAAGTTGTACTCAAGCCATTTGTTAAAGAAAAACCAGAAGATGAGAAGCCTGAAGAGGTGGTGGCAGAACTATCTTTGCCTAAACTCAAAGAAAAGCCACAAGAAGAAGAGCCTGAAAAGATTTCTATAAAAAAGAAAGTACCTAAGAAAAAGTCTCCTGGGGAAGAAGAAGAAATACCAACCACCATAACACTGAGGAAGCCTAGCAAACCTAGTTTGGAAGAAAATGTCGAAACTGAAGTGGTTCTTAAAAAAGTTGAGGAAATTTATACAGAAGAAGAAGCTTCAGACAGTATCACACTAAAAAAGAAAGCACCTAAACCAAAACCTGTCCTAATAGAAGAGGCAGAAGCAGAAATAGTTATAAAAACAGAAGAACCATCAAAAGAAATTGTAGAAACATCCTCAGAAGTTGTAACTCTTAAAAAGAAAAAGCCAAAAGAACGTAAGCCCGAAGAAGAAACGATGTTAAAAGTCATATTTACACAAAAACCAGAAGAGGTTTCTCAGCCGGAAGAAGAAGTTACATTGAAAAAAGTTGCACCAGTAGAAGATATTACTGAAGAATTTACGTTAACTAAAACTCTCAAAAAGCCAGTAAAAGAAAGTGATATAAATGAAGAAATAACGATAAGTAAATTAAAACCAGCTGTCAAAGAAGAAGTAACAAGTGAGGCTGTAGTAATTAAACCAAAAACACCAAAAAAGAAATTTTCAGTATCTGAAGAAAGTGAGGAGCTTACAATCCAAAAAACTGAAACCGTAGAGCCTGAAGAAGCACAATTTGTTTTAAAGAAACCTAAAAGGCCAAGTATACAAGAGGAAAGCTCACAAGCAATAACTCTAAAAAAACCTAAAAAGCCTCAAGTGCAAGAGGAAGAAATTGTTGAGTCTGTAACATATGTTCCAAAGAAAGAAAAACACAAAGAAGAAGTAGAACAAGAATTTAAAATCAGGTTAGGCACATATGAAGAGGAGGAAGTAGAAATGACAGGGAAAGTAAAGTTACCCAGAAAAAAGAAGCTTTCCTTTGCCGAGGAAGCAAGTTCTGAAACTATTTTCATTCAAAAAGAAGAAGAAGAAGAAAAAGAAGAAGTCCAGCTGCCAGTTAAAAGAAAACCTTCTATGACTCAATACTCAATTGAAGAAGTTAAAGAAGAACAAGTACAAATTGGACTTAAAAAGCCAAAACCTAGAATAACAAAGAAAGAGGAGGTGGAACAAGAATTCAAAGTGAGAATTGGTAGTTATGAGGAAGAGGAAATCGAGATGACTGGGAAAGTTAAACTTCCAAGAAAAAAGAAACCATTATCATTCGAGGAAGAGGCTAGTTCAGAGACAATAATTATCAGGGAAGAGGTTGATGAAGGACCAGAAAGTATACGTTTTCCGCTAAGAAGAAAATCATCTACATCTCAGTACAGTGTCCAAGAGGTTGAGGAAGAAATACAATTGGGCTTAAGAAAACCCCGAAAAGAGTCTATCGTTTATGAGGAAGAATCCCTAGAATTAAAAGTGAAGAGGAAGCCATCAAAACCTACAATACAAAGTTTCCACCAAGGTAAATATTTTTATAATTTTATTTTCAATGGGGGCTTTGCAGTATTACATGCTTCTTTTTTTTTGTCATTCAATAGATATATTGCTATTCATGTATTAAAATATAAAAAAATATTTAAATCCATTCAAATACATCATGATTTGTAGCATCCTGAATTAATTTTGATTTTGAATTAAGTCGTACCGCTGTTCAATATGAAAAGTACTTTTTATTTTGTTACAATGCAAAAAAAATTTTACAGGTAAAATAATTATAGTAAAATTTTAACCTTAAACCTCTGTTGAATGACAATTCGCAATTTACAATGCTTTCTTATACTTTAGCTCAACCAAGTTGCTAAACACCTTAAAAAAATGCTGCCTATTTACAATATAATCCAACTCTTTTTAAAATTTAATTACAAATAATACAGTAGCAACAGTGAGTCATAAAGATAAAACACTTATTTTTCTGCTTTTATTAATGCTTCTATGAATCGAAACATATAAGATTAATCCCTGTTTGTAGTTATTAACTCTCCTATGTAAAGCATCAAAAACCACAGGGCTTCTTTTTTTAGAACTGCTTCTTTCCTCAATTTGCATTTCTTTTTTCACGTATATATCAAAAAACTGAAGTATAAAGTATTTAAGCCTATTTAGAGTATCTCTACATAGAAACTGGGGCAATAGATTTTTTTAAAACTTAATCTGCTGGTAATTTAAAGAAAAACAAAATTATTCACATTTTGCAAACTATGTATTTTGCATTTTTAAGAACATGTAATTCATCTGATATGATATTCGATGATGGTTCTGGGGTGGTTTAATTTTATTGAGTGATAAGAATTCAATCCTTTAGCACTTAAACGTTCCTCTATTGTACCATTCTCTACTAATGAATTTCTTGACAAATGTCTGTTTCTTTTATGAAGTAAAGAATTCTTATCACAGGAATGGTATCAAGATTGTTTTATGTTTCTTCTAGACATAATCAACATTGGTCTTTTTTGGATTTGATATTTAACTGGAGTATGACAGATAAATATGCTGGTTAGAGTTTTTAATTCCTTTCTGATAAAATCTTTTTGCTTGCCTCATGCTTGGACTTTTCTCCTAGCATTTATTATTTTTGTTACTTACCCAAGATTCCAGTTCTCTTTTAATGTGGCTGTAGTTTATTATTTGGGTTTGGGCCTGTTGGTTGTTCAGAACCTTCTTTTTTAAGCATGTATATCTGCTACCTCATTGCTTCAATTCCCTCATGACCCACTGTCGGGCTATTTGAAGATCCCAATTTTTCGAGGGTATTAAGGCAGCTTCAGATAAGTTTTGAGGCAATTTTGTAGGTTTAGAGAGCCTTTAGAACTGCCAGATCGCCTGAAAGATTAATTATACAGGAAGAAATCTCTTAAAGAATAATTTCAGTTGCACCTTTGAGATGTTTTTGGCTCACAGGTTTGTATGGTTACCTGTCAGCCTGAAAGGCTCAAAATTAGGCCTGTTTTTCTTTAGGATTGCACATGAGAATAAGGTTGACTCAACTTGTAAATCAAAAATTAACGAGTGTAAAGTCCAGCTTCTTGGAAGCAGAAATTCAGAAATTTTTCTGTTTCACATAAGGTCAAATTCCGTTCGATCAGCTCATTAACTAAGTCTGACTAAGTTTTCGATGAGATTTTTGACCTTCACTTTAGAATGCTTTAAACACCATGAGTTGTGAAAGGAAACTAACTTCATTTTTCATACTATTTAAGAAGGAAAAATCCTACTGCATTTTTAAAATAATATCTACTTAATTTAGCTCTCATTGTATAGATGGAAAAAGTCATGAATGCCTTGCAAAAAATGTGTACATCATCAATAGTTATCGTTAAGACAATAATCTTGGTATTAGGAGAGTTAAAACTATGGCAGCAACTTTTGCTTTAGTTATGTAACATTAAACAGCTCTTATCTATTTTAAATGCTGTAGTTATTATATTATATAATTATTTATTTTTCTGCTTAGCTTTAGCTTTTTTTACTGCTTATTTTTCTACATTATATTTCTTCGTAAGTATTTAGTTATGTACTAACTGCATTTTCTGAAGATAGAACAAATTTTATATATTATCTAGATATTTTTAACTGGTAATTGTTGTTAAATTAACATATCTAACATTCAAATTAACCATAATAATAAATAACAAGAAAGGGGGGTTTGTAATCACAAACACATTCTGTTCAATTTTTTATTAAACATTTTTTCTACAAATATTACACACATAGAAACATAAACATCTAAAATTCCCTCTTATAAATTATACACGTAAATTTTCAAAGTAATCTTGAGGGGAAAACATAATAGGAAAAAAACTGACTGCAAATTGCTAATTTTTACAGAAGAAGCATCACTGCAGATTACAAAGATTGTTGAAGAGTCGTCAACTGGTAAATAGTCGAAATTTCATTACTCAATCCAATTAATAAAATATAAATAAACAAACACAAAAAAATAATTAATATTTTTGTTAAACAAAAGGTGACAAGAAGGTGACTGAGATAGTAGGAACACCATTGTTCTCAATCTGTTCGTACATCGCCGAGACAGAAGATGCGCTTAACTTGGTTGAGGGAGAAAAAGTTTTTGTAATTGGTAAGTCCTATTAAAAAAACTTAGTTCAAGCAAGCTTTAATAATTGAAACCATTTTATCAGAGAGCAACAATTCTGATTGGTGGTTCGTTCGCAAAAATCTGACTGACGAGAAAGGCTGGGTGCCTGCCGTTTATCTGAGAGATGAACCATCTTACAAACTCTACGTACAGAAGAAGCTTCATGAAAAAATAGACAAACTTCTGGTCTTTGAAAGTAAATTTCCTCTGCTTAATTATTGTTATGACTATTTCAGTGTGAATAATTATAATAAATTAGGTTTTGAATTAAAATTAATTTCGTCGTGTTTAAACTTCTTTGTGGGATTTTATGTTCATGTAAATATATGTAATAGAAGAACTTTTTGTTTCTTCTTAAGAACCAGGCCCAAGAGAGGATGTTTTTGCACCTAAATTTACTGAAAAGCTGCAACCTGTTTATGCCCCTGATGGAGCCACTGTCCAGTTTGAGTGTAAGGTTGAAGGAAATCCAAGACCTCAAATAACGTGGTTTAGGCAAACTGCAATAATCAAACCTTCAAATGAAATCCAAGTATTAATTTTTATCTAATTATATATTCTAATATAATAATTATTAATAAACACAAATTTTAGATTTACTACGATGATGACAATGTTGCCACATTGATTATAAAAGAAGTTTTTATTGAGGATGCTGGTACTTTTACTTGTGTTGCAAAGAACGCCGCAGGTTTTGCTTCTAGCTCAACAGAGCTCATTATTGAAACACCTTTGTCGAAACATGGATCAGACACAACTGGGCTTTCAAGAAAAAGCCTTTCTAGGTAGAAAATTTAGAAAAAAAATGGTATTGTAACAGCCATCTGAATAATAAATGTGCACACATTTTAGGGAATCGTCATTGGCGGATATTCTCGAAGGAATGCCACCCACCTTCTCTCAAAAGCCGAAGGCAAAGGTTGTTCCTTTAGGCAGTGATGTTGAGATGGAAGTCAGATTGGTTGCTGTCCCGGAGCCAGACGTAATATGGTTTTTTAACGGCAAACCTGTTAAACAAACTTCAAACCTTAAAGTCACATTACAATCTGATATGCATACGTATGTAAGCACTATGAAGATAACTAAGGTAAAACAAGAACAGGAGGGATCATACACGATATTAGCTAAAAATAGAGAAGGGGAAGCCACAGTCGATACGTTTTTAAAGGTTTATAAACAATATCTCGCAATGTTTTGAGCAGTTTAAGACAATTTACAAATTTTGTTCAGATCAAGACCGGGGAGCCGGAAAGCCCAGTGGTTGTTGACAGGCTCAAAGACATCGCAGTTGCCGAGGATGATGGCATCGTACTGACTGCCCGTGTAACAGGAGTGCCTGCTCCAAAAGTGGTGTGGCTGAAAGATGGCAAACCTGTAAAATTAGAAACGTCCACATCAGGGGATGTGTACACAGCAGTAATCCGCAACGCAAAGTTAACAGATGCAGGAAAGTACACTCTTGAAGTGTCCAATCCGCATGGAAAAGCTACCACAACTGCACAAGTCATTGTTCATGGTAAGAAATTAAACTTCTTTTTTTCAATGTGTGAATGTTGCAAATCAATTAATAATTTTGAGTTTTATAAATATTGACCATTTTATAAACATTGGTGATAGATTTTATTTGTACTAAGTACATAGTAAGACATATTTTGCAATAAATGAACAGTGAAAAATACTATATTTTGCAATAAAATATTGACATATTCAGAGGGGTGTGGTTTACACAAATTTTTTAATTTTATTTTTTGGAATGTACTAACTTTACAATTTTCATTTGCAAATAGCCATTTTTTTATTTTATTTTATTTCATTTTTTAAATATATATAAACAGCTTTATTTAAGTTTGATGCTTGTATTTAAATTTCTTGTATAAATTGATATGGATTATATTTTCTATCTTAAAAAGTTGCAATACAAGATAATGCTGTAGACGGTACTCTTTCTCTCCGCTTTTGCATGATTTAGCTAATTAGTTTAACCTGAACTAATTAATGATAAATATTTTAATATCACATGTACTTATATTTGTACTGCTGTTGCCCGTGAGTACACTGATGAAATCTAAAATCATTACCATTGATTTAAAAAAATTGAGTACGTTGTCATCCAACGCCAGAAAGAGATTACTGGATTCGTTTCTACTTCAATTTAAAAAATGCCCAGACCAAGAGCCTTCAGATAGCCTGAGGACTATCTCTCCTGTTTGGGAGAATAGTTATAAAAAAACAAGATCAAACTCAATGAAAGAAATCAAATCTCAGTAAATGACACCCTTAAATGTGTCACCTATTCTCTAATCTGCTACAATTCTGTTCCTCTTCCAGCAACCAATGTCGTCCAATATTTACATTAAAAATAAACTTCCTTGGAATCCCAGACTCGATTCAACGGAATAAAACTGAATCAACGGTATAAACTACCCAAATTAATCACTTGGCAACAAATTGAAACTCATTATACCAACTAAAACCAAATGCCATTCTTCTAAACCAAAAATAAATAGAATTCGCTTAAGAAGGCATAATGAAAAAAAAGACTAACAACCAGAAACTGGATAATAAATCTGAATTAAACATGGCCAATTACTAAAAGAAGACGTTTTTTGGAAAAAGAAAAAAAAAGTTCTAGCCAAGAGACAGTTATATACTAGATTAAAAAATTGTGCAAAATTGGCTACTAATTTTTTCTAACTTGCTTTTACTTAATAAAATCATTAATTTTTACACAAGACTAAAAACAGCAAAGCCTAGAAAATCTGCTAGGTATCAAAACGTAAGAAAAGAGCTTTAGGAAACATAACAGAAGTCTCAGCAATGGTGGGAGTAAAAACAAGCAAATACACAGGGATACATAAACATAGTGTGTTAAAACATACATGTACATTTATTAAAATATAAGTTCTATAAAATGTTTCCGTTGTTTGATTTACATTATTTTACATTATAAGCTTATTGATAGAATCATCTATTATTCTCTGTTTTAAAACAAACTCAGAAATATTAAAATTTGTTTTTTTATTTTTTCATCGGCTTGGCTTGGTTTTCTAACTTTTCAAATATCAACGACAACTAGTTGATTCAGCATGAGCAGTAAATACTACCTCTTTTTTTTCTGTAAGAAGAAAAAAAATTCTTCAAATTCTTAAGGGTTTGTAGACCATTGAAAAACTAAAAATTTATATGTTTATATTTTGTTTGATCGTCCAAATCTTGTAGGTTTATTACAAAAATATATCTTTCACTTAATTTTCAAGTGTAATTTCACTTCTTTTATTTTAGAAAAATATAAACTACAAGCACCACTGTTCATTGAAAGATTTGAAGAAGTTAAAGTACGCGAGAAAGGAACGATTAAATTAAAAGCAAAAGTGGTCGCAAATCCAATTCCTACGGTTACATGGTTCAGGTATGCTTTATATTAAAAAATAAACACCTTGAAGAAAATTATTTATTAAAAATTACATTGGCTTTCAGAAATAACAAAACACTTTTAGCATCACTGAGGATAACTGAAATGTTTGACGGTGAGCAAATATTGCTTGAAATTGTCGACGCTGATTCTGAACAAGATGCAGGCGATTATAAATGCGTCGCTACAAACTCAGCCGGGTCAGCTACTCACGGCGCAAGAGTTGTCGTTGATGTTGCCAAAGTGTAAGTCACAGACTCATTCCACCGATTATATTAAATTACTGCAATTTTTTCTATAAATTTGCTGATGTTATTGTTATCAGACTAGAAAAAAGCAGAGATAGAGTGAATTTGAAATAAATAAAAATATTCAGTTCCTACTCCATTCTTTTGCAGAATACTATCCACTTCATCAGGATTCTGAAACTACTGTTAATGATTTTCTTTAATTTAATTGTTATGCAGAATGGATGGGTGGATTCATTATTTTCAAACACAAAACATTAAAAATATTTTATGTAGATATTAATGTTTTGTGTTAACACAAACGATATATTTGTTTATCGTGTAAATTATTAAAAATTGTTTCAGTGTCCTGATGAAGTGGATATATTCCTTGAAAGCTTGATTAAGGAACTGAGTGTTTTTCTTTCTTACAAATTCACCTTATCGCTGATTTTTGATTATGTCGATTAACATTTTGCTGATTACGAGCAGCATTATTTCTAATAATACTCAAGTTGTTTTAAGATATACTGATATTTTGTTTAGATCCTTTACCAAAAAGTTATCACCAAAAGTTGAAGTCGACGAAACGTGTACAATCACCCTCGAGTGTGAAACGTCTCACACGGTTTCAACCACTTGGTTCCATAATGGAAAAGAGCTGAGTGGAATGGACAACAGAGATATCATCCAAGAAGGAAGATTACAAAAACTCGTCATAAAGAGAGCCACGCCAAAAGATCAGGGAGAATATACTTGTTCGGTCAAAGATCAAAAAACGCAGACAGACCTTGTCGTACATGGTATGCTTTGGTAATTGACATCGTTCTATTGTATTCTAATTATATTTTGTTCGATTTCAGAGGTTAAACCAGAATTTGTACGAAAACTTGAGGATTACGAAGTCAAAGAACTTGAATGTGCAGTCCTTGAAGTTGAAGTGACATCTGATACGGCCAAAGTTCTGTGGCAAAAAGTAAGATTTCAAACTTCTAAAGAAAATTTAAAAATCCCTATTGACAAATTAATTATTTTAGATTTAGTATTCTACTTAAGTTTTACTAAAGGTTTTATAACCTAATTTTTAATCTAATCAATATTAAATTCCAGGATGGATTACCTCTTGAGGCTAAACCTGGTAAAATTGAAATGGAAAAACGCGGTACAGTTCACAAATTGTTCATCAGAAGTACATCTGTTCATGATGAAGGAGAATATACATGCCAGCTTGATGGTGATGAGTGTTCTGCAGAGGTTACTGTAATTGGTAAGTCCCAACAATATATATTTTAAAACTGTAGCTCGGCATTGATCTTCAAGTTGGTTAACTCATGCTGAACCAGCATTATTTATTGAGTCCTTTTTTTTCCTTGTTTCTTTTAGAATTGCCACCAGAAATCTGCTCCCACTTACAAGACACCAGTGTACCTAAAGGTGAGAAAGCTTCGTTTGAGGTTGAACTGACGAAAGGAGATGCTCTTGTCCGCTGGTTCAAGGACGATGTTGAACTACATTTCTCAGAACATGTACAGTTGTCAATCGACGGTAAAAGGCAAAAATTGAAAATCTACCAAGTCGAGGAAAATGATGCTGGTGTCTACTCGTGTAAAGTTGGCGAACAGGTTTCTAAAGCAAAACTTACTGTTGAAGGTAAGTTTTTATTGATTTAAAACAATGTTTTTACATTTGGTCTAATTGCAACGTTTAAATTTAGAACCTGAAATTGAATTTGTAACAAGACTCCCTGATGTGACTATGGTGCCTGTTGGTTCTGATGCAGAATTTGTCGTTGAGCTTTCCAAGCCTGATGTTGACGTTAAATGGTTTAAGTAAATATCATTTTATTCATTTGTGTGCTTGTATGTTAGAAATAATATTATTTTTTTTACTTAGGAAAGGTAAAGAGATCAAACCTTCTGATCGTTATATCATCACATCATCTGGCACTATGAGGAAGCTTATAATTAAAAAAGTTACACTAGAAGATCAATCAGACATTTCTTGCATGGCACTAAATGTCAGAACAGTTTCAAAACTGAAAATTGAAGGTAAGAAAGCATTGTCGATGATTTAATATTATTAGTTGTACAAATTGTAAACGTGTTGTGTTCTTTTGTTTAGTTATAGAGACAGCACCTAAAATTATTCCTGGAAAGAAAGAATATAAGGTGCAGAAAGGAGAAGATGTCACAATAACAGTTAAATTCACAGCGACACCTCAGCCAAGTGAAGAATGGACAGTCAATAGCACTGTCATCAAGCCTTCTAAGAGAATTCAAAGCAGAGTAGAAGAAGGTGAAGCATCTCTTACAATCAAGAAGGTTGAAGAAAGCGATGTAGGAAGTTACACGCTAAAACTGAAGAACAGCGTTGGTGAAGCTTCAGCTGAACTCACATTAATAATAATCGGTAAGAATTGTTAAAACGAAATGTGTTGGTCATGTTAAAAACAATGAAATAGCAGATTTCACTGCCTCGTTATTCTGTGTTATTAATAATTGTGCATTATTTGATTTGTAGAAGTTCCTGATGCACCTGGTACACCCGAAGTGGTTGAAGTAACTGATAAATCTGTAACCCTTCACTGGAAAGAACCGAAGAATGATGGAAACTCACCAATCACATCCTATGTTTTGGAACATCACGACAAAGAAGAATTTTTAACGTATGAACATTTCTTTTTTTTTAATATTTTCACACAACTGTAAAATAATGTTTTAGCTGGCGTGAGATTTCAAATATTGTCGAACAAACTTACAAAGTCACTGAAGTGATAAAAGGACATGAATATAACTTCCGTGTGTCTGCCGTTAATGCAGTAGGAAAAGGCAAAGTGTCAGAATCATCTAAATACGTCAAAATCGAAATGCCTGGATCTTCACAGCCACCAATGTTCAAGCAGCCACTTGAAGACAAATCATGTGGTCTTGGAAAGTCTATCACACTGAGCTGTGTCGTGACTGGTTTACCCGATCCAGAGATCAAATGGTTTGTTATTATTAAAACATTAAGGATTGTTTCACTTCAAAATTATTATATTTTTAGGTTCAAAAATGGCAAAGGATTGAAGATTAAGACAATAAGCTACGTAGATCACATAGCTAAATTGACTATTGAAAATGTCGTAGAAACTAGCGGCGGCATGTACAGCTGTAAAGCAAGCAATGCAGCTGGCACTGCTGAAACATCTTGCAAACTTCTTGTCCAAGGTAAGTATTTTTACTGGTAAATTTAAAAAACCCACTAATGTGGAAAAATTTCCTTGTTTTTAAATATTCACAGAGGCACCATCGCTCAACATTGACGAGGAGAAACTATCGCAACGCTGTTCAGTATCTTCACAGCTAAAACAGATCGTGGAGTTTACTGGATTCCCCAAGCCAGAGATCACTTGGTGCAAAGATGGTGCTCAGCTATCCACAGACAAACGTGTGACAACTTATATAGATGAAAACACGACTACTCTTGCAATATATTCTACAGACAGAAAAGACACGGGAACTTACACTGTAACAGCTACAAATGTAGCGGGCACAGCAACTCTGGATATCAAGCTACGCGTCATTGGTAAATTTAAACTCTAATCATTTCTTCAGTACTTTTGTGGTCCGCTTGACCAATTAATACATGACAATTAATTAAGGTTTTTAGTTGAGATGAAAAAAAAGTCAATGGCATGAGAGGGATTCAAACCCATGACCTTCGGCTAGATACGCCGCTGCTCTACCACCTGAGCAAAAAAAATATAAAAAAATAAAGGAAAAAGGAGGGAAAACTCATAAGTTGGGGTTGAGATGGGGAGTTGATGTCTGAGTGGATCGAGGTCACGATAGCTCAGGTGGAAGAGCAGCGGCGTATCTAGCCGAAGGTCGTGGGTTCGAATCCCTCTCGTGCCATTAACATTTTTTCATCTCAACTAAAAACCTTAATTAATTGTCATCTAATCATTTCATTATCAAATAAGCTTCCATAAATATCATTTATGTATACTATAAAATAAAAAATACAATTCTTACAATAATGCACAATGTATATTTTTAAAATTATGAAATGTATTTTACTAAGTTTTTCTTCGCACATGTTATATTAAGCGTATTTAACTCAATTAGATAAACCTGGAAGACCAGAGACTCTTGTGATCAAGGATGTTGAAGCCGAATCTGTGGTTGTACAATGGACACCACCTGCCGATGATGGTGGTATTGATATTTCTAAATATTCGCTGGAAAAACGCGAAGTCGGAAAGACCAGTTGGACAAAGGTTCATATTAGATAAACTTAAAGAAAGGTTTTGCAAAAAAATAATCGTTGTTATTGTTAGGTCGCTGATATTGAAAGGGATGTGACTTCGTACATTGTGCAAAGGCTGCAGACAAACGCAGAATACATGTTCAGAATTTTCGCCCTTAATCCAGTTGGCGTTTCGGATCCACTTGAGAGTGAACAAGTTACCATTAAATCTAAATTCAGTATGTTTTTTGTTTTAAATTAATTAAATATTATTTCAAATAATTAATTTTTTTTGTTTTGTAGGCAAACCATCTCCCCCTGTTGGGCCTATGGAAATAACTGGAATGACTGAATCATCATGCACTATCGCGTGGGGAGAGCCATCTTCTGATGGAGGCACCCCAATAATTGATTATTCCATTGAAAAGAAACTAACGTCTGAAACATACTGGATAAAGGTGTGTAATAACTGAAATACTTGAAAAACACAAAAATTTAAATAATTCCGTTATCAGGTGGGGTCATCCAAAGAGCTGAAGATGGTTATAACTGATCTTTTGAAGGATGAGAAGTATGACATACGGGTATTAGCTAGAAACAGAGTCGGTCTAAGTGAACCGCTCAATTCCGATGAGCCGATCTTAGCCGGAGTACTGAAAAGTAAGTTTTTGAAAAGTGTATTGTTGCAATATAAAATTAATAGAATGTTTCATAATCTACAATGAATAAATGTTATATTTTTCACTAATGTATTTTAAAACATGTTAAATAAGAAAAAAATTAACATTTTCCAGCACCTCCTTCACCACCAAATAATATTTTAGTCATGAATATTGCAAGTAAGAGTGTAACGATCCAGTGGGAGCCCCCAACGTCAAACGGTGGATCTGAGCTCACAGGTAAATTATATGAAAAACACGCTGAGAATCTGAAGAAAAAATTACAAAAAAAACATTTATTTGAATTTAGGCTATGTTATTGAGAAGCAGCCTAATGGAACCAGTGAATGGATAAAGGTGGTCACTCTTGATGCAAGCGTGACAACCTACACGATAGAAAATCTCAAAGAGAAGTCTGAATTTTACTTCAGGGTATTTGCAGAAAATGCAATTGGTCTGAGTCTACCGACGACGACAAGTCTAGTCAGCCTTAAGACTCATGCCAGTAAGCCTTTATAGTCTAGAATTACTTTATACAGAACTGATTTTATGTAATTTTCAGCTGTGCCATCACCGCCGACTGCACCTCTTGAAATCAGATCAACCGGAGCCAACTCAGTCATGGTTGCATGGGGTATTCCGGAACGAGATGGCGGTGCGCCAATTGAAGCTTATAAAATTGCCGTCCGTGATATCAAGAAGACTATGTGGATAGAAGTGGGAAGAGTAGGAGCCGATATTCAAAAGCTTACAATCAAAGAACTACAGGTAACTAACATTTCCGTTAGTTTCTTCAGATTTATTTTCCTTTTTTACTACAGACTTTAAATTTACAGGAGGACCACGAATATTTAATACGAATTTATGCTCGAAATGAAGTGGGTTTGAGTGACCCGCTTGAATCTGATGAACCTTTCAAAGTAATACGACCGGCAGGTAATAAAATATTACTACATTCAAACAGACATTTAATTAAAATTCAATAATGTTTCGGGATAAAATCAGTAAAATACAAGATGCAATATACTAAATAAGCACTGATCATGTAGCTTATTGTATAGAATATGTTTATGTAAATACCAGAACAAATTGGAAAAAAAATATCCTAAGCTTACATTTTTTTTAAAGTTTAGTCTTTTTAAAGTTTAGGTATTTACGAAGCTAATTTTTTATTTTTGTAGCCGGAGATGAGGATATGGATGTTGAAGACTCTCGCCAAGACAAGGACACTCCGTCTCTCTCGTTCACAACCACAACGACACAATCATGGATGAGAGAGGCTGGAATGGACCCTGACATCCATAGCTATGCGAAATCATCTCTCCTTAGGAGAAACGAGTATTTCTTCAGGATTTGGTATTATGCGAAACATCTATTCAAATAAAAAGTCCGGCCAATCCTGAGGATCCTACGAGTGCGAGCGCCATAAGTTAACTATCCCTGAGTTAACTATGAGCCCTCTCAATAGACAGAAAAGTGAAGCGAGTACGTTTTTTACTTAATTAAATTATAATTTTAATTGTACAACTCGTCTTCCCAGGCTGTCGAATTTATTTATAGTTTTAACGATTTTGTTTTATTTGTAACTGTTTTCTTTTTACCCCTGTGATATGTTATTAAAATATTTAATTTCTCTTATCGATGTTATGGTGGAAAAAATACAATTATTTTTCATGGGGAACAATGCATGTATTTTGAGTTTTCAGAAAAGTTCTCCATCTCATAAATAAATAAAACTGTAACAAGTGTTAAACCATATAAAATTAATTTTAGTCTATCCTAAACAATAAATTAGTTAATAATTATTTTTTGTGTACTATTTTGTAAACCTCTTTTACATTACAATTTTTATACACACACAAGAACATAAGAAATTAAAATTAGAATTAAAAATATTCAGCCTCTGGAAAAAAAAAACTCATCAGGAAATTCAGCAACCTAAAGCAGGTAATTATATATTAAAATTTAATTATAATCATTTTATTTTAACTTTGATTAAACTTTAACAAACTGAGCTATTTTTTCAGCATTTTTCAATTTTTGTTGTTGATATTTGAAACATGTTAGAATTAATATGAAATATTTTTTATTTTTAGCTGGTTTAATTATCTATAGTATAATGTATGTAGTTGTGTATTTTTTTCTAGCCATTGGTTGGAATGCCACTTCACAAAAAACATACATTATATTATAGAATGAATATTGTTGTAAATTACAATTAATTAAGGATCGAAGTCACGATAGCTCAAGTGGTAGAGCAGCGGCGTATCTAGCCGAAGATCGTGGGTTCGAATCCCGCTTGTGCCATTGACTTTTTTCATCTCAACTAAAACCTTAATTAATTGTAATGAATTAATAGGTCAAGCAGACCACAAAATTAGTGAATATAAATTGTTTTAAATAATATCTTAAAAAATAAAGTTTGTGTGTGAAAACTAACATTTTCCTCTTACTAATTACAAAAATGTTTTCAAAAAATGTTAAATTGATTAATGGATAAAATCATTTGAAAAAGTTTAATGTGAAAATTGTATTTTGTTCAATTTATTCAATTAGAATCAAATTTAACATGTTTGAAAACATTATGGGGGGTGAAGATAGTCGCTTCCATGTAGTGCCTCCTGGACAGGTTGTACGAATGGAAAGAAACTTTCCGACACGTTTCGCTACAACCTGACTAAACGACTATCAAGTTTAACATCCATAAATGTGACATTATCGTGCCTAGATTGACACAAAAACGAACCGGATTTGACATTATATTAGGCAATGTTGCCTTGTTCAGTACCTGTGCCTGAAAGTGTCCATGCATTCCAGAGTGTCTTTTTTTTATAAGCGTGTACATAATTTTTTTTATTGGAGCAAATGTGTTTGGCACTTTCATCAAGCTTTAAAAGACAAGCTTGATGTACCTGTTAAACGAGCTCAAGACGATTAAGAAGAGTTTAGTTTTCGGCTTGTACCATCACCAAGTGTTTTTCAAATCAACAGGGAAGGTTTGAAAAACACATTTAGGAAAGTGGTTCAAGATGAAAAGTAAATTCTTTCACCCCACAGGCATTCTAAGGAACTTTCCTGAGAAAACAACAGTGAGTAATTAAAACTAATATATTAATTTCATTATTAATTTACATGTTAATAATTTCAGCATTAAAGAATGCCAGACGCAAGACGAAGGTCTTAACGGTTAACCGACCGACTCCTTGAAGATGACAAAAATTGACGTACATCAACCTTTTACATAACTTTAACCGTGAAAAAGGTTGAAGTACATAATATCACAGAAATGACGGAAAAATTGTGTGAATTTTAAATGTTTTTTGAAAGACAAAGAAGTGAGTATGCCTAATAAAAAAAACTTTCTGTAAACTTAAAATTAAAATGTATTATTACTTTCAGGTCTTCCGAATTAACACCGAATCACTGAAGGCCTTCAAGATCTAAAGTGAGAAGTTTTAAGGGGTGTTATAACATCTTTTATAATGAGGAAGATAATAAACCACACAATTTAAAAGAATTCTTTGTATTTTTTTTTTTAAATAGACTTACCAAAAAACCATACAATTATAGACTAATTACCTGTCAAAATTAGTTAAGACTTTGCTTTTTCAATCAAAGGAATATTAATAATTTTTCTACAACTGCAATGCGTTGAGAATACTTTTGACTTATGTTCTAAATTATCTCTTTTCACAAATTCAAATACTGCGATACTTTTTTACATACTTTTGTAAAAAAATTTTAAATAATATTTGTTTTATTATAAAATAATGTTTACATTCATCCGACATATTTGAAAATAATCCTAATTGTAATTAAAGATTTTTTTTTACAAATTCGAGTCCATTACACTTCGAATAAAAATCAAATTTCGATATTCTACTTATACAATTTTGTCAATTAAAAAAATATTTGTTTATTTCAGTTGAGTTGGAATGACAGATCTTATAATACAAAATTAAATTCCGAAGTGGCGTCTAGCAATTAGCTAGTGTGTGGTCGGTATTGTGAAAGCATCGATGATCGCTGTCAAGCTGTAGTATGTCCCAAGTATGAACCCAATAAAAGCAACAATCAATGTTATGACATCCAGCAACAATCTGTAAGAAAATTTTAATTACATATAATATAAAATATAAATCATCACATTCCACACATCAAACATTTCTACATAGTCTAATTCTTCAACAATTTGGCTTTCCTTTCCTTAATTATCCTCGCCTAATCCTGAAAGAATAATCAGGTCGAACCATTACCAATTTTTTCACATTGTCGGCTTCTTTCGCCTCAAAGAAGCTCTGAAGAAAGACTCCTCATAGAAAAATGTATTTCTATCCCAACTTCCTTCCCCACCCCTTCAAGATCCAACATTTATATACATAAAACATCAATATCTCACTGGCACTCTCAACACGACACACAAGAATGGCACAATTACACAGAAGAAAAACCCTTTGAGTGAGTAGAAATACTTTGATTGAATATAAAATTTCTACTATTGTATAAATTCTGTTTTTTCACATCCTACATGTATTTGTAAAATTTAAACCATGTTTATAAACCCCAGGCCCTGAAGATGATCTCAATAAAGATCGAAACATTGGCACGATAAAGAAAATGTTTTTCTAAAACATACGTCACACCAGACCGCATCTCACAATCTCCTCTTCCTGGTAGCATCTGCCCAGAATTTCTTCTGTCTGTACTCCTATCTGGGGCATGTGCCTGCTTAAGTGGCAGTGCCCTGTCAGGGGTCCAACCAGAATCCTGGTTCAGTTGCAATTGCCTTCCAGTAATTATTTTGTATTATAATTATTTTTGCGGATGGTCCTATGAATTTCTTCACAGACCTCATACCTGTTGTATTATACCATCAGGTTTTGGACTCATTAAGGATCCATTTTAAGATGTTTCTTCTTTTGTGGCAGGATGCTAAGCCACAGTAGGGTTCAGGACCCAGAGTCCATGTTGGCCACCCTTTTGGCCAACATGTCAATCTTTTCATTGCCTCTATGTCCCGAGTGCCCAAGGACCCATGCCAGGGTCAGGTCATTAATGTTGCTGACTTCCGTCAAGGCCTCCATGCAGTTCCAAACACTCTTTGCCTTTGCTTCGCATGAGGCTAGGACCCTTAGTGCTGCCTGACCGTCAGAGAAAGTGGCTATTATACATTCTTCCGGGAATGTATTCCTAGCCTTTTTATTTCTCTGGCACATTGTTCTTTGTTGATTTCAGACTGGAAATCTGTACTATTTTACCTAGGTTTTCCATCAGTTCGATCTTTGGGTTCATCCCGAAGACTCCTGTACCCTAGTCGGTTTTAGAGCCAACAGTATACCAGTAGAAGTTTCTCTTGAAATCCACATACTAGACTAAACAGACATTGCAAAACACTCTCACGACTTCTAGACAAACAATCAAAACTGAAAGACTGATATGCGAGACGATAATTAAATCTATTTGGACATACGGCATTGAACTGTGGGTTTCATCAAAACATTTTAACTATAGTACTAATCAAATTTTCCCAATCCGAACTCATCTGAAAACAATAAACACCCCCTTCTACATATCTAACAACACATCCTCAAGATGTTAAAATTCCATTTGGTAAAAGATGTCACAATCCCGATGCGTAAAATTCCACAACTCCCTTTTATTACCAATCAACCCCAATCCCAACCCCCACCTAACATACCAAACTATCTCCAATAATCCTCAGGAGATAAAATAACAGTGACCTCGTGACCTGTTGGGCAGTGAGACATAACACGTAGACTCACTAGAAGTGTTGTCTGGGTGATACATATCAACAATTTTACTTGTATTATTTTAAAAAAACTTTGTAAAAAGAAAAAGCTTTATCTTAATGGTCCAATTACAAGAGAGAATTATTCAATTAAAACATATCAATTTTGTCTAAAGATAGTCTAATACAGATGTGCGTAATAAATATTTCAATTATCGAAAAAAAAAAAAAAATGTCTGCGAGTAATTTGTTGGGTGGAAAATAAAAAAAATGCTGAAACATTTCTCACCAAGCAATGTTGCGAGGATAGACAGACCAAAATGATTAGTAATTACAATATAGATTACAAAATATTTCTTTTAAAATAAATTATCAATCAAGCAAGGTTGAACGATGTAATAAAATTATTAGAACAAATTATATTTTAACATAAAAGAAAATACCTCAGAATATTATCACTTGTCTTTAACGGGCCCTCTTCGGGTGGGCACGTTCTTATGGCAATATCACACAAAGCTGGGTAGACCAATGCAAGAGCGGTACTGCTGACAGCACCTACCAACGATATGAAAAGACCAAGCTGAGGTACTACAGCGGCAAGGACAACTAAAAAACAACATAATTATTTATTATGCTATTGCTCAAATATTATTTCTTATTCTTATGGTTTTCTAGATATATATCTATATCTTATACATAGTTATCTGTATACATATCTATATGTTATTTCTTATTATTATTATTCTTATGGTATTGTTGTTTCGGTTTGGACAGGGGAATGTCATAAAAAACAAATAAAAACTGTACTAAATTCTTTAATAAAAATTATATTAAAAAAATCCTTTCTATATAGTACAGGATTTATTTTATAACGAGATAAAAGTTTTGAGTTTAGACCAGTTATTTTCTAAAAACTTTTGTATTTTTGTAAATATTATTTAAAGGAGTGGTCAAGAATGAAGTATTTTAGAAAAACACCTTATTAATTTTTTTTACCGATGTCTCAACCTTTATTCGGCTCACTTTCAGGACATGGGTGAATTACAAAACATATGTTGATTGGAAAAATACATTAAAGAGGTAAATATAAATTTGGAACCAAGTATTTCAGTTTATTTTTGATTCAACAAATTGGTTGTAGTTGACTAGATTTAATGTTATCTAAAATTAACTTTAGTTTATACTACATTTTTTCTTCAAATTGCACACACAGATTTTTGTTATGTAATAAGATCAATTATTAAAGCTTAACTAGCCTTGAAGAATTTAAGTAATTGATTGTTTCTAAAATTTTACAAACCAGAGATATATTGTATGATTAAAATTCTGAGAAATGATGTATGATGGAGTAGTGCGATGTTCAATCCTTTTTTAAAAAAGATAGTTCCTATTAAGTTGTTTTTCAACGATCCAGATTTCAAGCCTGTTAGCTCATCATCAGGTTGAAGGATTTCTACAACCACGTCAAAAGTGTACTTTTGCAATTTATGTCAAGAGACGTAGTTGTAAAAATCCTTCAACCTGATGATGAGCTAAGGGCTCGAAATCCGTGTCGTTGGAAAACAACATATTGTGAGTAGGAACTATCTTTTTTTAAAAAGGATTAAAATTTTGAGTGTTTTATGTTTAATTAAATAATTTTTCCCAAAATGTTTTTATGAGGGTTCGCAACAGCAGTCATTCCCATAAGACATATGGGGTGTCGGTATTTTTGAAAAAAGCCCATTTGTAAGTATGTCGGGTTTGAATGCCGGGCCACTTGATTCGAGTCTAGGACCTTTAGTAATGATCATCTTGTCAATGCCTAAACCATTGCGGCCACCGATGCTCCTTTTGATAAAATAATTATGTTTAAACAGTAAAAAATCATAAATAAGTTATTGTGTTTTAGCTTGGGGTTTTTGTTTTATTTTATTTTACTTTCTTTTTGTAATTCAACATATACTAGAATTTCAATTAATTATTCTTTTTATGTAAGGTTTTGGTTGAGATGAAAAAGTTAGTGTCATGACCGGGATTCGAACCCACAACCTTCGGCTCAATATGCCGCTGCTCTAAAACCCCTTCAGCTATCGTGAACAACGGCTCACTGAGTTTCATTATTTAATATGTCATATCATTATTGACTTACTGAAGGCAGGCATTTTCTTGGTTCATACTTACACTTTACTTGTTTTCCATTATGATACGTTTCCCTTGTAAGCAATGAAAAAGGATAACAAAATTTTTTTTTCTATTCTAATCACTTTTTACGGTCGGTTTAAAAAATGTAAAATTCAAATGGCTTACATGTTAGCAAAACAAGAAGAGACCTCAGGATGATTTCACCGCATATCGGCTTCTTGAACGGTCCCCAAGAGTCATCAATCTCACACCAAAGGAGATCAGCGGCGATGTAGAACTGTAAAGCATACGAAAACACTATACCGAGTGCGACGGCTATCTGGACACCTTCTGTCAAACTGTCAAAAAGAAACAAAAATGACAATATTTTCAGATTTTTAAATTAAGATCAAATAATTGCTTACGGCGAATCGATTGGAAGATTAAGTGACACGCTTCCTCTAACTTCTTCACCATATTTTAAGTATCCAATGAATCCCATTGAAATAAGAATCAGCATTACAATGAACATTCCAATATTTAGTACTCCAAAAGGTGAACTGAACTTCTTTTGGTTCCTCATTTCGTTTTGAAGGGGAATGACCTAAAAAAACAAGGCAAATTGATTCTGATTTTACACGCGTACAACATCCAACTTACTAGACTTATTCCTTCAAAAGCATAAATGGTTGTGCCAAAGAACAAAGGCAAGGAGTACCAGTCGGCTACAGCCTGTCTTGAAGATATTGATGGGAGATCGGTGGATGACAAATACAATGTCAGCACAATCCCGCTTAACAGGAAAACATTCGATAAAAGCGATATGGGGGTGAGGAACTTTAATGTGCGTATCAGACATGAAAGGAGAACGGGTACAAACATTATTGCCATGTAGAACCGAACATCATAATCAATTCCATGTGTAATTAAAACCTGAAAAAAAAAATAGAAACAAATCAATATTTCATTACAATTATAATAATGAAACAAGTTACTTTTTTTGCAGTTGAAGATACAAATACAAAATAAACACAACAAAAACCAAGCTGTGTGATAACTATGAACACTTTGACAGATATCCTAAAAAAATATTAACATAAAATAAACGTATGATTTACAGAATAAATAATAAACAGTGAAATGTTTTAATTTATATTATTAGGAACGAGAAGAAGGAAAAGAAAACGTGAAGCAGTGATGCATGAAATGAGGACTGAGGTCATTTGTTACATAAAAACTGTTTTTAACTTCCTCGATATTAATGAAGCAAATATTTTGAAGAATTCTATCGAAACATTTTCATAAAACTAAACACCTGACTGCATGTGTCCATCTTTTAAATGATTTTGGACCGCACTCGAAGCAGAGCTCAACGGTCTCAGCGAACGACGGGTCGACAATAAGTTTCTTCTTCTCTCTAATATAATGTGCAGAATTCAACTGGGAAAACAAAAAGGATAAATTGAATTTTGATCTTTTTAAACCTTACAGGAAAGGGATTTACCAAAAGGTGGTTGCTGTAAATGCATATTGCTCCTAATATCACAGTAAGGATTGGTGCAAGTAGAAGGCCGGCATGCTTAAAAGCATCACCCATGGCAAAAAGCCCAGCTCCAATGTTGCCTTTAAGTAAATGAATCAATGTTTCTAAAAACCTGAAATGCACAGTGCAGTTTAATACAAATTACATGCATTTCGTTTGTTTTAATTAAATTGTGAGATTTCTCCGTATGCTCTGTGGGGTGATGAACCTGTAATTTGACTGTTTCTGAAAATTTTGGACTGCCTATCCTTACTGGGTTGGTCTGAGCATTTGGCATTTCAAACTCACAACTGACACAATTTATTTTTAACCACTTTATGCTGAACACGAATTAATAAATTGAAAGATATTTTAGATTATTAGATAGATGATCATTGATTAACGGTTGTAAACATAAATAATAACACCCAATAACCATTTACAACAGAAATACTGAAGATGACAAAATGATGAAACAAGTCTGACAAACCAGCTTGACGAATATAAACAGACCAAAATGATCGAGAACAATCAAATTACAAATTTTCATTAAATTACATTTCTTATTGAAACGTGAAAAACTATTAACACTATTAGTAATATTTTAACATTCCAATAAAATCTTAACCATTTACAATAAATACATTTATGTAGTGAAATATTATTGTGTGATAACCTGAAGCTTGATTGACAATGCATATTAAAAAAAATAAAAAGTTAAAATTTGTGAACTGGGTAACTTCTGTTCTGAACCTCACAAAAAATTGGACTGGAACAAATAAAAAATGGAGAAATGTTGGTACAAAAAGACGCCAAAATTGAGCGCCTAAGACAAAAAGAAGTTGGAAGGAACTTCCAGGAAACTCCACGTAGAAGAAAAAAGTACAAGAAAGGTGAATGTGTGTTTCCATATCATACTGGAGAGTTCTAAAAAATTATCAATAAACAATAAATTTAAAAAAAGTTTAACTTTTTGTAAAATTTCTAAAAAAATTTAAAAAAGTTTAAAGAAAAAACATTTGGTAGAGAAAAGAAGTAAAAAGAATATGAAAATAATGAAAATTATACTCCATACTTCTTAAAACTAAAAAAGCTAATGCAACATTTAAAAAAAAATTGATCCGATAACTTTTTGAAAACAATATGAGATGCAGAAAAAAATCTTATAAGAAAATAATTGTTTGATCTTGTCTGTCATTAAGGAAAGTTCTTTTAAAAAGTAAAGTCCTGTTACTTAGGCGTTTGTTTAAAAAATTCTAAGTTGTTTACCAACTTTATTATTCCATTTAAAAAGTACTCAGAGAAAAATGTAATTTTATGTCTGAAAAAGTGTCTTTCTTCCTAAACTTCTGTTCTGAAGTTCACAAAACATTGGACTTGGATAAAAAATGGAGAAATCTTGACCCAAAAAGGCACCATAAATGATAGGAAGTTAATGGATATGCACGAGAAAGAAATGAGATTTCACATAGTGCTGGAAAGTTCTAAAAAAATTATCAATAAATAATAGATTAAGAATTTATTTGTATTATCCCTAAGAAATTAAAAAATCGTTCAAAGAATAAATATTTCGAAGAGAAAAGAAGTAAAAAGAATAGGAAAATATCCCAACTATTGATGGCCTTATGTTACAAGAATAATTTACTTCTGAAGCTTTGAAAGCTAATTGCAATCATTTATTGGAAAAATGGTTATTTTTGAAAAACCACGTTGGATGCAGAAAAGCCTGAAGAATCTTGTAAGAAAATGCTTTTTGATCTGCCCTGTTCTGTAAGAAAGTTCTTTTACTACTACTTCTTTTACTAAGCCCTGTTACTTAGGAGTCACATACACTGTTCTTTCTTCCAAAAAAAAATTAATTAATTTAAAAAAAGTTTATTCTCTTTTTTAAAGGTATCTTAAATATTCCTTCAAAAATCTGCTGTGTTCAAATAAGTTATAACATTAAAAAAAAAAGTGATTTCAGGCATTTCTGCAATTCAGGGATTGACTGCTTATATTGCCCTTGAATATGATGTAAAAGAATTGTATATGATAATCAGTGGAAAATAAACCAATGTAACATGTCATCCACAACAACCGAAACGGTAGTTGGACAATTAAGCCCTCTTGCATGACAGAAATTACTTGCACAGTTGACTCTTGATAATTTGAAGGGACCTCAAAAATAATTCGGAATCAAGAGGAAAGAAAAAAATAAGAGTTGATACGCATTTTTAGAAGTTATTACTCAAATTGTACATATATATACTATCGGAAAGGTTGACAAAATGGAAATAGATCAACTATACAACTGAACAATGTTATACATTATTAAAAAAAATTTTGAAATGGTTTTTGTTTCACTGTAGCCTGGCGTCCTTTGTATAAAGCGCTGAGAACACACTGAACATAACAATCTAGAGAAAATTCAAAGAAACTTTAAGCTGTAAGGGAATAAACATGTGCAATTTTAGAAGAATATTACAAAGAAAAAGTCTGAATTGTAAAGAAGGGAAGAGGCTCTTTTTCTCCATGATATGAAAAATATTTAATTAATTGTTAGTTTATCTATTTTTTAACCCCAATACTACTGAAACAATTTTTTTGAACTTGAACTAAAGAAAACAATTAAAAACCAAATACTAAGTTGAAAAATACTATAAGCATTATTTTTACATTTACTTATTAGCATATAAAATCTCTGATTGTTGAATTTTTTTTTCAAAATCAATAAATAAATATTAGATTTTATATTAAAATATATGTGTAAATTATTTCTCAATTAGTCAAAAAAAGTATAATTTCAAATACTCCAAGTTTATAAAGATTTCAGGTAGTAGATTTTAGCCAAATACACAGTGCATTACATCCTTTATTCTCTCAGCCCCAGTCATCCCCAGGTAGCCTCCCCTGGAATTCCCATTATCTAGACTACCCCATAAATCGTCCAATACACCTGAAGTTTCCACATAAAAAATGTGAAACCACAAAAAGGCAAGCATTACTTAGTTTTGCCCTAAATACTTCATGATTATTTAGTTTTAGTTAGCCTAGATCACATTGCTTTAAATGTCATTATTTTTTTAAATTATGAGATAATTTATAACAATGATATTTTTCTTATTTTAACTATTTAGCTTGTCTGTTTTGGTTTATTGACAATTTGACTTCAATTCTAAAATTTATGTTTAGATTATTGAATATTTATGTTTAATTTTTCCTATGTGTATTTAACATCCATCCATGGTTTTATCTTTTTTTTAATCAAGAAAACTTTTGGTAACTTTGATATATTTAGTTTAACCTGAAAATATTTTTTTAAAGTTTTAAAAATATAAAAAATTAAATTGCATGTCTGTAAGAGTTGGAAGAGAACAGTATTTGCAATTCTGTAGAAAAAGGTGTTAATTTTTAGGAAAGATAAGATTCCATACACCTCTAACAGTTGGCTGTTATGTCATACCTATTAAACTTGAATTTTATGTAAAATATATTATTGTACAATAATAACTTTTTAAAAAAAGCTTAAAAAGTAGCATACCCATTGAGTGGTTTTCCAGGTTTCTCACTAGTTAAATGCATAGTTGGTTCTTGTTTTCTTGCAAACAATATCACTCCTAGTAAATAGTGTGTTTAAAACTAATTCAATTTTTCATCCTGAACTTAATGTATTTTGTCCAGGACAGACTGATCATGCTGTCTAGTGCTTGATATGCAATTTCATGTGAGCATTAACTATTTTGACTGACAGACAACCCTGAGCCTGAGTGACAGCAGACTGCCCACTCCTTTTGCCTAGCTCAGCCCCTCCACTTCCAAAACAGCAAAATAGTTTCTACAGAAAAGAAGAGGAAATTGAAGATTACTTAAAACCCCAGACCAACTATCTCTTCCGATTGACAACTCTTATTCAATTTAAACTCTGTAGTGATCCGATCATCGTTTTAACAAACTTTTATCCCACTAAATATCTCTGATTGTAAAGAAAGTAATAAATATTCTCAACAAAAGATTTCAAAACTCTATTTAAATTATTTTTTATGCAGACTCAAATACGAAAAAACAGTGACACTGATTGATTAAAAATTTAGTAAGAGGTAGAATATTTCAGATGAAGCAATTATTGAGCCAATAATCATTGACCAAGATAATTATGATAGTTCAATTTTTATCTGATTAGTTGTTATAAAAAAAATAAACAAAATTAATCTAGATCATTGAATTTTTTAATTGTAATTTTTTCAATGATGTTTGTTTTGCAATAATCTAATTTATTAACTATATCATGGTTTAAGAGCAAACAAGACCAAAAAAAATGCTTCGATTAAAACAAGTAGTTTTAGCTTAAATGAAATTTTAAATTTAGAAAAAAAGACATTTTTTTAATTTGAAACTTTTTCTTCTTAAACTGTATGTTATATTTGTAATTCTTTAGCCATAAGGACAAAAAAACATTTACTTAATGATTCTCAAAATTGATTGATAATATTCAGAAAAAAGTACACTTTAATGCGAGAAAATCTCTAAAAAATCGACTAGGAATTGAAAAAACTGGAGAAATCCTGACCCGAAAAGGGCACTAAAATCAAGCACTGAACCCAAACTGAAGTTGGACGCTATGCACAAGAAACCTGAATGCATGCTTTCACATAAGGCTGGAAAGTTCTAAAAAAAATCAATAAATTATAAATTTAAAAAAAATTTAATTTTTTGTAATATCCTCAATAAATTCAAAAATAGTCAAAAGAAAAATCTTTTGATGAGAAAAGAAGTAAAAAGAAATTGAAAATGAACAAACTGTTGATACAGTTTATACTTGTATTGAAGATTTTAAAGCTAATTTCAATAATTGAGCGCCAAAGACAAGAAAGTTGGATGATATGTATAAATAACTTGAAGGTGCATTTTCATATAGTACTGAAGAGTTCTAAAAAAATTAGCAATAAATAATAAATTAAACGAATGTTTAATGTTTTGTAATATCCCTAAGAAATTCAAAAATAGTCTAAAGAAACAATATTTCACAGAGAAAAGAAGTAAAATGAATTAAAAAAAAGACCAAAATGTTGGTACTCCTTATACATGCTCCTTCTGAAACTACTAATTTCAACAGTTAAAAAAAATAATCCATTGATCTGAATATTTATTGAAAACATTATTAGATGCAGAAAAGTCTAAAGAAGCTCGAAAGAAATTTTTTTTAAACCTCATCTGCCCTTAAAGAAGCTGTTTTAATAAATAAAGTAGTTACATATACTGTTCTTTCTTCAATAAAACAAAATCCTTCTCAGATATTTACTTCATTAATTTTTATTAAAATAACATTTTATTCAAAAAGTAATCAAAGAAAAATTCAATTTTATGAATGAAAATGTGATTTTTCAAAGTACAAAAAAACTAAAAAGCCTTAATTCATGAACTGTTCTGAAGAGCTCACAAAATTGGACTTGGATAAAAAATGTAGAAGGCCTGACCCAAAATACACCAAAATGGGGAACAAAAGGAAGTTGCGGTTAGGCCTGAGAAAGCTAAATGTGCATTATCAATAGTGCTGGAAAGTTCTAAAAAATTATTAATAAATAATAAATTAAATGAATAAGTAAAGTAATCCTTTATTTATTTTGTAAAATCCCTAAGAAATTCAAAAATCAACGAAATAATATATCATTTCAATATATACTGAAGAGAATTTTTTTATTGTTTTCTAACTTGAACTTGCAATTGAACTTAGACTGAATAAAAAATGCAAGATTTCTTAGCCAAGAAATTGTCAAAAGGGTATGAAACTCAACCATGAAATACAAAAGGAAAATGGCAGATATGTACAAGAAACCTGAGGGGTTATAAAAAAAATCAATAAATGAAACTAATAGATTTTAATTTTGGTAATATTTTAAGAAATTTTAAAAGAGCTTAAAGAAAAAAATATTTTGATGAGAAAATAAGTAAAAAGAATATGGAAATGTTCAAACTTGTACTTTTTATACTTGCTTATTTCAAAGCTATGAAAGCCAACTACATTAAATTTTCAAAAAATATTTCCATTTCTCTGATTCTTTTTTAACAACATCAATAGACATAGATACAGAACAGCCTGAATCTTAGAAGCAAATAATTTTTAAGTCCTGTATGCCTTAAAGAAAGTAATTTGAACAAGTAAACTAAGTCCCGATACCCAGGAGCTACACTGTTTTTTCTTCTAGACACAGAAAAGATTATACTTACTAAAATTAATAGCTATTTTTTGTTCTGGGTTAGTAATATAAGTAGTATAAATATTATGGTATTTTTCTGTTAGTATATGCAGTAATATATATGTTTGCACACCAGTACATGATGGAAAATTTTAAAAAATCCGTGTGTAACGAAATCACACTGTTTATGTTAGTTTTAATTGAAAATATTGAAGTTTTTCAGTTGTTTTTGTTTGACTTATGGGCTAGGTTCTAATTAGTTAATCACCATGATCAAATATTCATGAAGTAAGTGATGGAAATACCAGTTGACTACCGGCTTAAGAAAATATGCAATTATAAACAGTTCCAGAAGGTCATTCAGGATGTTTTTGGGGCTGTTAATTATGTCACATTTCTTTTTCTCTAGGAACCATGTGCATGCTTTAGAAATGTGTGTTTTTAAAAACTCTTTATTATTCGACGACTGAGTGTTATCTTGTATTATCATAAGATTATAGATCACGGTCAAGTGGAAAAATTTTTAAATTGTTTATTGGATTACAACAATTTTTGTTTGTTTTTGTTTTTTACTTACGATGTTGGATGTGAGATTTTTGATGTGTGTACATCATGAAAAGAACTCCGTTTTTGTTTTGTCACACTGGTCGCTTCTTCTTTCTCTTCCATCTTCTTTGGAGCTTCAAACATCACATAATGATCTCAAACAGTCGTACAATTTGAATTTTAAATATATTTCAAGTATGCTTTTTCGAGAAGGACTAAAAAAAAAGTGCACCACTTACCTATTTGAATTTGTTGGACAAGTCCATTTTCACCTTTGAAAAGAAGTGGCTCAGATGCCATTTCGACAACAGTTTTTTCATGTTTACTTTGCATTATTATCAAATTAATCTGACAGTTAATTAATTAAAATTTAAAAAATTAAATGTTATTTAAAACAGCGTTTCTTCGGGAATGAAATATTAAATCCAAATGTTCATACGCTAAAGGAAGGGGAAAGCTCACACCAATGAGAGATTTTGCACTATTCCCCACTATTATAAAAAATGTCATATTTCTTTATTGTTTTATTCAAGACACTGTTTACACTGGCTATCTAATTTTTTTTTAAAATGCTTTTTACCAAACAATAAATCTTACAAATGTAGTAAATTTTGATAAAAAATTCAATATGCAATACTACTTGAAAAGTTAAAATAAAATGGTTAAACTAATTTTATAAACCACTAGGATACTTTTTTTTAATACTTCCAAAATTAGTTAAAAACGACATATTTCTTCTTTTATAAATAGGTCACATAAATTTGTTATTTCTTGGCCGGCTCCAGGGTCAAGTATAATAAATAATGACTTGAGCACGGTGGCAAATATAACACAAAATATTTTATATTAATTTAAATTGACTGTTTGATACATGCCTAAACATTAAAATCATTAAAAATTCAATATAAATAAATAATTTAAAAAGTAATTGTGCTGAATATTTCTTTAGTTAGTTCATGTCTTGAAAATATGTGTATAACAATCAAACTAATAAACTTTATCATAAAAGATTAGGTTAATCATAAAATATATTTTTGAAGAGCTTTTAAATGTAATAGACCATTAAAATTTATTTGAAATAAAAATTTATTGATTTTAAAAAATAAGATATTTTATTTCATAGTGGCTTAGTGACTTTAGACTTCTTAAAATTAATTTGTATACAATTGTAAAAACAATGTAAAAACAATATTATTACTAAAGGCATGTTCTCATAATTAAAGTTTTGTTGTTCAAATCTAGTCGATAAACTAAAGCTGAACAAAATTTGTCATTAGAACCTTCTGCTCAAAATATAGTTACATCAATGAAAAACTGTTTATTACCTGTAATAAAAATAGAGTGGTGGACATACAGATTACTGAGATTTAGATAAGTGTCAATAAATAAACAAATGATGTATTCAGAGACTTTTTTTGTTTGAAACGTATAATTCTGCATATGTACATGGTTGTTTAATTTCCACGTATTGAATATTACTACATGTTTTATATTTTTTTTATTGTTGATTAATCAATAGACCATTATTATTTTTATTTAAAAGGCTTGCTTCTATTTCACTGATGGTGCTTGGAAACTTGTTTTAATGAGAGTACTTATCACATACCTCTGCCTTAGTTATAGTCAAATTTCTTAATGTATGAGTTGAAGGGTTTAAGTTGATCCTGAATAAAAAATTAGGAAAAGAGCCAGAGGTTAACAGACCTCTGGGAAGTGTAGAATCCATAAGCCTCAAGTTTGTCATCTTCCAAAGTAAGTCCTGGTTTTATTAAATGAAGATTTTTGAAAGGTGTCCTCCTTGCATCTAATCGATTTCGCAGCCTTGTTTATTGTCTTCTTCACAAGAACAATTCCTGTGACAAAAGTATTCAACCAATCTTTCTTTCTTCAGTCTTTTTGCTTGCTTAAATAGAGCATATTTGGGCACAGATAACTCGTTGATATAGATTTCACATCTTCTACCAGTACATTGTAATGTTTTTTCACAATCACAAGATCCCTCTTAATACAAGAGTGTATTAATTTTATTATTTTATAGGGAGGGTGGGGTTTTTTTTTAGCTTAAAACTATCTAACATCTTCAACACATTCGCACAAATAAATACATTCACCAATGCATTGCACTCAATCTGGCTAGTTGGTGGAGTAGTCGATATTCCTCTGTCTACCTACAGACAATAAAGCCTAAATTAGGGTCGATGGAGTAATTTTTAATTTGGTGAGGATGGCCTTTTTCTATGAGTCAAGTCTGAAGGATTTATTATTGCTTATTTGATGAAAAAATTAAGACTAACAAAAGTCAAAGGACTGGTCTGCAGGGGATAAACCATTAATGTGCCTACACTGGGTGGTCTGCCAGCTGCAGAAATGGATTTTCACAAAAATCACATGACGAAACAAATCTGACAGACAAACCTAACGAGGATTGTCAGACTAATATGATATGAAAGGATTAAATTACAACAAAAGTTCAATGATGAGAACATGCTTTATGTTACTGACATGAATCAGCAAACATGTGACTGCAAATAAATAAGACTATTTATTTAGAAATCGTGAGATGCGGTTTGGTGTGATGTAGGTTTCAGAAAAACATTTTTTTTATGTTTTTCTGAAACCTACATCACACCAGACCGCATCTCATGATTTCTAAATAAATATCGATTAACGGTCACTAATCACCACACAAAAATAAGAATGTACGTTTTTAAGTGCATAGAAATTAATATTTAACAAGCTAGTTTAAAAACAAATCAAGCAAACAGATAATCGTAAAATGTATTTTTGATTAGTTGATACTGTTAGTTTGGAAATTGTGCTGAATACATGCATAAACAATTATAATTAATTCTTAAATTTTACAAACACTTTTAATTCACATTGTAAATATTTTTGTGAAACATTTAAACAATTATAATTCTGTAGACCATAATAAAAATAAAAGAAAAATAATTATTATTTTACTACATATATCTTAGAGACTTTATCATTAGAATTCTTATAGATAGAAAAAAATGAATAAATAAATAAAAATAAGCTACAAAATAACAAAAAATTCCAGCAATTATAAAACTTTTGATTAGTTAATCATCAATTATATTTTTGATGATGTTAGTTTAATAAACTATATTATAAATAAAAATTCTTATATTTTATTGATGTTATCATTAGAATTTTTAGAACTTACTCTTGTATGGATCAAAGTTTGATGTAGTTTTTTATTATTATCACTAAACTAACACTGAAGAATTACTAAAATGTCAGAATGAAATATTCTGTGAACAAATAAGGGTGTAAATGAAAAGGTGAAAGTACTCATGTAATTAGTTTTCAAGGCAAATTATTTTAACAAACAAACTCATTTGTATTTCTTGGGCTTCTTTTCAGGAACTAGACAACCATCAAAATCATTTTCTTTTTATTGAAAATTTGATTCAATTTGAGTTTGAAGGTTATCTAGTTCCTGAAAATAAATGCAAAAAATATATAGTCAACAAGTGGAAAAGAAGAGTAAAAAACTCATTTGTGTTTTTATGTAGAATAAAATAAACAAACCTATGTTCACAATTATTTTCATTTTATTTATTTTAAATATGACATTTTGAATAAACAATTTTTTTTCATATGTTTCCATTCAATATCAGTCTAAAGTCTTACATTTTTATACATTAATTCTAAAATTATTTAGCCCGTTTTCAAAATTTACACACAAGGGTATGGAAAGGACAGAACTCTAATGACACAACAATTAGGGCCCCAATAATGCCACGGATCTTAAACCAAGTGAAAACTTTTATGCAGAAGACATTTCGAGTTAATAAAAAAAAAGTAAAAGGTAAGCAAGTCTACAAACTAGTATGTCCAAACGACAGATAAAACTGTATTCGCGTATACAGAAAACATTAGAAAAATGTATGAAGAGAGCGTTTATCCGGAGATAGACCTTAACAAGAAATGTCACTGTGGTTGAATTTATCCTTTAAACAAATCTTATCCACTTATATTAAGGACCTATAAAATATTAGAATTTAAAAATTTCTTAATTTTCGTTTTATAGTTGAGAAGACATTCCAGACAGAATCCGAGGAAAGTGATTTGGAGCTGAAAGAGACTCCATCCACGATGAAAGCTGACATTTTGATAGATAAGGCTCCAAAGTTCACCATTGAACTAAATGTCTGTAGTTATCCAATTGCAAAACAAAAAAGAAAAAAGTTCAGATTGTAGGTGTAATAAATATGTAATGTTTTTCCAAGGGTACAAGCATAACTGAGGAAGGAGGCTCGGCCTGCTTCGAGGCTCAGATCGAACCCTCAGATGATCCAACTTTAAACATAGAAGTGTACCATAACGGTGAGCCGATGGCTTCGACGCACCGTTCTCGCATAAGTTTTAATAGCGGGCATTTCTCACTCGAAATGAGCCATTGCTTGCTGACTGATTCCGGTGAATATTCAATCATTACAAGGAATGACTATGGCACGTCTGTCTCATCCTATCGGATAGATGTAAAAGGTAACGTATATAAGGGAACTTTTAAAAGTAAAGTAATTTCTGTCATACAGGAAGTCTTAACATCCCCGCACAATGAGTCAAATTACTTTAACATTCTTTTGTTTTCGAAATATAAATTAAAATTCCATGGGTTATGCAGAGGTTCGAATCCAGAACCACAAATGTCCAATCATGGTCCTCAAGTGTTCTTTTTTTTTAAACTATAACAATGTAATAGAAACCTAATAAAATAAAAAATACCTTATTTAAATTGTATTTAATATAGTTTATTTATTTAATTTTAGTTTTAATTAATAATTTATTTCATTTAGAAAAAAAAGAAAATGAAGGACAAAACTATGAGCAACTTGATATGAAATCAGAAACTTCCCAAGAGACTGAACAACCAAGCAGGCCACTTAATCAAATGAGCAAAATCCCAGTAATTACTCAATCTCTTAAGGATCTTGAAGAGATAGTAGAAGGCCAAACAGCACACTTTAGGTGCCAGGTGATGCCTATAGGAGACCCAAATTTGGTAATAGAATGGTTCAAAAATGGAAAACCAGTCCCACACAGTTATAGGATAACAAGGTGTCACAGTTTTGGTTATGTGACCCTACAAATTGGGCATGTAAGAAGTGACGACGAGGGACTTTATACTTGTCGAGCCTCAAATCCACACGGGGAGGTGTCGAGTGAGGCAAACTTGAAAATCATAAGTAAGACATTGTTCTTACAAATAATTTAATATTTTAATAACATGATTCTTTATTTCAAGAGAACCATTGGCTATTGGAGGGAACGTTTCATCCCCAAGCATTACCGCTTATTAACGCTTTGGAAGAGTTGAAACGACGAGGGAGTCACCCTGAACCAATATATGATATCCCCATCTTTGAGACACAACTGCAGAACGTAATCTGCCAAGAAGGGGATTCAGTCCAGTTCCAGTGTAAAGTACATCCGGCGAAAGATCCATCATTGAAAATTGAGTATTTTGTGAGAGGAAAACCGATTCCATTTGGTGCGAGATTTAAAGGCACTTCTGCTTTTGGTCTTATTTCATTTACGATAAACAACTGCCGACCAGATGACTCTGGTGAGTACATGGTCGTGGCTTCGACAAACAAAGGGAAATGTTCAACAGCTGCAGTGTTAAAATGCTCAGGTGTGTAACCATAAAACCATCCAAAAATCGCCTCAGAGTCACCATTCTTTTAATCTTGTAGAAAAAAGTGATATCAACGTTCAAACGCAACACCCACAAGGAATGGCAGGCTTGGAAAAAATCAAAGACATTGACAATAGAGCGAACTCAAAAGTAAATCAGCAGCATATGGCAAACATAGGTTTTCCAGCCCCAAAATGGGTTAAAATACTGCAGCCAGAAATCAGGCTTGAAGAATCACAACCTTTACGCCTTGAAGCAGTCGTGGCCCCAAAGCACGATCCAAATCTGCAGGTAGAATGGTCTTTAAATGGGAAATCATTAGAGCAAGGTATCTTTCTACAGCATTTAACAGTTAATTAGATTTACAATTAAAAATATTTTGAAGTATAATATTTCAAATTTTATAGCATATTTATGTTTTAGGTTCAAGATACAATATTACATCTGAATTTGGATCAGTCACTCTTCATCTGAATGCTATTTATGAGAGGGACCAAGGAATTTATACATGCAGGGCATGGAATAATGTTGGGCAGGCTTTTACATCCACCTCTGTGTTCTGCACGTCAAAGGAGGGCCTTGTTGTGGGCACACAACACCCAAAAGGAAAACAGGGTTATGAAAAAATTGAACAACTGGAAAGATCCCTGAAGAAGGACGGAGTGAAATCGTGCGATCCTGAATCAGGAAGTCCACCTATATTTGTAAAACAGGTTCACCTTCGTTCTTGTGTGTCATGATAACGTCTATTTAGTTGTAATTTGGGTTTTTAACAAACAGTTGTCAACAGTTTGAGGACATTGACAATCTCAATGAAGGAGAAACTGCACGTTTTGAGGCCACTTTAAAACCAGAAGGTGACCAGACAATGAAAGTGGAGTGGCTTTATAACGGAAGTGTACTCAACGCTAGTAAGTTGTGTTTTAACATTGCTTTAGGACCTGTTCAAAAATTGGATTTCAGGCCACAGAATAAAAACCGTCTATGCTTTTGGTTCTGTGGTATTGGAAATATTATCTTCGACAAAAGAAGACTCAGGAATTTACACATGTCGTGCAGTAAATATGTGGGGCCAGGCAGAGGTTAACGTTAGGCTGGATTGTGTTGAGAATCCAGCTGGACAAATGTCCCAGTTAAAGAGTAACGTAAAGGTAACAAAAAATAAATAGTTTTTAATGTAACAGAAGTAGAACTTTTTATTTTGCTTTTTAGGTGAGAAACAACTTAACAATCTTTTCAGTGAACAACAATGACAACCAAAGAAATATAGATGAATGAGAATCAGCTTTAGTGACCTCCCTCTGTGGCAGAAGGAGGCCGGGCATAAGTTCATATAGAGTTAAAAGATAAAATGTTGTCTTATCGATTATAATTCGCCAGTGGAAGAGTTTTGCCCAAAAAAGGAAATAAAATGATAGATTTCATTTTAACTCTTTTAGATGCAATAAATTGTAATAAATATAAAAGCAGTGTAATATTTTTTAATATGGTTAATAAAATAGTCAAATTACCTAATGGAATAGTACAGAGTATAATATTTTTGTGTTTAAAAAAAAGTACATCATAAATTCTCTTTTTCCATTCATGTATCAGCGACATAATCCAAAATGTATACTCGTTACATTCTAAAAATATATTTTTCATTATTTTGAACAAAACTGGATTCATCGAGAAGTACTAATGCTGTGAAATTTGTACTTGCAACAGGCCAAGTAATAAAAATCTAACTGGATCTTTTGAGATGAGATGATTTCAAAAGATTTAACCACAAAAAATTACTGATATTGCAAAAAAAAAATATATATATATATATAAAATAATAAACTAACAAAGAGAAATGTATACATAGATATTAAAATATTGATTAGTAAAGTCCCTGGACCCTTCTAGAAATCTATGAAGGAGAATCATCAGAGGATTTCAGTATGATTGAAACTTGAGCATGGGAAAGGAAATAACTGGCTGACAACTTCATCTTCTTTATTTGTTCCTATGGCTCAGGGATTTCACAGTAGGATCTGTTGCAGTGTTGTATCCAGGCTTTTTTCAAAACACTCCAAATAATAGGAAATCTTTATCAGACAAGGTAACCGATGACTCTGGATCTGGTCATTTCCTTGGAAAATATAAAAGATTGCTGAAGGAAGGAAACAACGTTGTACTTGACGGATGCTGAATGGAATAAAATTTATTATTACAATTGCTATTTTTTCTTGATTTTAAATTAAACAAATCTCTTTCTGGAATTCGCAGGTTTTTGCATCATCTGGTGCAAGTCACCCACCCCCAGCTCGCCTGCACCATTGGTCCATTCAAGTACCATCATCCCAGCTAGAGTCCGGTGGATTCAGGTATTATACTCAACAGCCTGATTCATTGTACTTGTGGTTAAAAAGCTGCACTCTACACACATGGAGAGTGAAGACCCTAAGCTGTTAGGGAGAGGATGAGGAGAATTCTTGGGAGCTGATTGATCCCGAGTTCCCTGAGTGTTTTCTTAGTACGCTCAGATATGCATTCTTGCATCTGTGAGGTCGAGTAAACTCCATTGCTGGCAGCAATTTATCCAGTTGGTGACATGTCAGAGCACCTCTGTGCTGGATCATCAAACTACATCTAATAAATTTGGTCTTCCTTATTGCTTCTCTCATCGAATTGGTCCTAAAGCATTGTTATATGCAGAAATGGTTGCTCACAGCGTTGCCAGTGAAATCTTATGATTTTTTTTGTTATATCCAAATTTCTGACCGTATTGCATGAAATTCAAAATAAATGTTCAAAAGTAAAAAAGTTTGAAAGAGAATAATTTTTGACATCAACATATGTTATTTGACATTTCATACTTTATAATTTTGTGAAAACATGAATTTTTACAAATTTATTCAACTAGAATTGGCATTTCCTAGTAAACCAGCCAGTAAATTTAGTTATTTAATTATAGTTTTAAATTTTAAGTTTAACTTGAAAGTTTGAAAAATAAAATGAAACAATTTAATTTAAAAAAAAAAGTTGCTTTAACAGCAGTATGAACACCTGAAATGTACTCTACACTGTAATACATCAAAAGTTTAATCTATCAGGAGATAGTCAATTATATACGCAATGCTCCATATAATATTGCAACAATTATTATTCTTTAAAAATGCAAATGACCAAACACACCTTTATTATTATATTTTGTTACACATTTGATGAGTTGAGTTTTATTGCAGATGTTTATAGTTTAAATTAGTATTATTAGTATTTCACATCAAAATCAGAAATGTAAAGTGTAGTTGATTTTAAACAAAAACAGTTCTTCTCATTTGTACAATTTGTCTAAATTTACTTTGTATTAAGAATACACAGAAACTTTAAAAATGTGAGTAATCTATCTGCAATAATTTTGTAATCCTGTTTGAACAGAAAAATCAGCAAATTTTGTATTAAATTATGCTCAGAAAAAAAGTGTGGTGTGGGACATTTTTATCATACGATCCTTGTGATAAGGATGGAGTATGAACATTGCCAATTGTATTTAAAATGTATGATTAAAATGTAGCGCAAAAAATGACATTGGCTTTACGGGGATTGAATTTCAGCAAAATGGCTCATCTTTAATCACTTCAAAGCTTTTCACACATTACTACTTACTTTTCGTTTTTCATTGGTATTTAATACATCTGCATTGAAAAATTACAGGTCGTCAAAACCCAAACAGGGTGTTATAAAAGACATCATGGACAAGGCAAAAGCAGAGCAGAAGGCAAAATTCGACCACTCAAAGTCTATGGAAAAGAAAGACAGAAATAGGAGTTTTAGTGAAAATGTAAAATCATCCCTTGTACCGTTATCTGATTTACACAGGAATTCTATTTCTGAAAGTGAAATAAAAACTGTCTCGTCTCGATATGGAGACTCGATAATGTCTATTAGATCAGTTACACATCCGACATCGTAGGTCCTTTTGGTATTTTTGCTTTTGACCTCATGAATAGAACAGTAGGAACATCACCTTTATTAATGTGTATAGCTACTTGGAAACAACGATCCACGTGTTGAAAGGAAATGTCGGAGCAGGCCTGCTAGCGATGGGAGATGTTCTTAAGAACAGTGGGATTTTATTTGGTCCTATCTTGTTGATCACTATGGGAATCATTTGCACATACTGCATTCATCTTCTGGTAACTCTACAAAAGTGTGCTCTACTTATAGAGGCCTATTAACAATGAAATTTCAGCTGGTTTGTGCGAATAAATGCGCAATCAAATGGCGACTGCCGGTAGACCCAACTTTTGCAGAGACTATTGAACTCAGCTTCAAACTAGGACCAAAGATATTTAAGCGAACGAGCCGGCTTGCAAAGTAATTACATTGGAAATTAGCTATACCATTTTAAGTATCCTTGCCATTTATTTGATAAATTAGAGTTTACTTTATTTAATAAGTGTGAGTCACCTAGAAAATTGTAACAATTTTCATGCAACTGGTGATTTCAGGTTATTCCTAAAAAAAAGTTCACAATTGCTTTTTGATTTTATGAAAATCACTAAATCTTTGGTAGAGCAGAATTAATAAACGAACTAACGTTTATAGTTTTCATAATTTGAGAATTTTTAAAACTTATTTGTCTATATTTTAATCATGTTTGGTTTACAAATTATTTCCTTCCATAAAAAACCTTGCACCATAGATAGTACTAATTTTCTTCTTAATCTACAGGTAAAATACTTCAGCAAGAATGAAAGATGATTATATGATAAAAAATAATAATGCGGTAACAATTAACTGTCAAATATTTAATTGTAGAGTACAAACAGTTGGCATCAGACAGAACAAGGTGTGGCTTGTCCATGAATATCAAAGATATTCTAAGACAGCAATGATGGCAAAAATTTGATTGGATGTCTGAGCATTTGATGACTTTCCACACGTGGTTTTTTCCTATCTAGAACAAATGTATTTATTTGCATGAGTGTTTGAGTGAATGGTTGGGTTTGTGGTGGAATACAGAATTCCAACAAACTAGGTTAGATCATACTGAGTGAATGTATTTATTAGCGTGATTGGTTGAGTGGGTCTGTGGTGCAATATACAGTTAAACATGGGCCTTCCCTTCTGTGGCACAGGAATCCACACTATCAATGAGCACCTCGGACAGAAGAATAAAAAGAAAATAAGGGAACAATGGAACTCATTCATTGGACACAACACAATCCAAGAATATACTAGCAAACTTTGGACGGAAACAGGTAACAGAAAGCATGAAGGAAGTAGGAAATGTGAATCCTAACAGGATTCTTAACAGGACGGTCCAAACTAAATGGACATCTGAAGAACATTGGCATAACCCAACAGAGCAAATGAAAATTCTGCAAAATAACAGAAAAAGGAGGAATTGTTTTGGGATGTATAATGTAACCACAGAAGATATTTAACCACTGAAACTGGACCTGCTAATCAAGTTCCTTGATGAACTAGAACTCGCCGGTGTGCTATAAGTACAGAACAAGGGAGCTCTTAAGGGTGCAGTATAATATACACCCCGACTAATACATTTACATCTACATCCCATGGACATATCTTTAGAGTTGTGGGCAAGATGTCAGCGTAAAACTTTGGTCCTTCAAAATTTCAGCGCTTCCAGTATACTTGCCAAACTTAGGTTAGGCTACAATGTAATATACATTTGGGTGTAGATGAGCTGAAGAATCTTTTCACCACGTGTGGAAGGACTAATTTAAATGGTAGAGTCCCAGAAGTTCCATCAAAAATGTAAAATTGTGAGGTCCTACTACTAGAGAGTTCTTTTTTGTTTTTGCCAGATTTTAAGTATGTAACTCTTTCCAAAGAAAAACAAAAAGAAAAAATAACTATTTGACTACATTCCACAGCATACTTGCTTAAATATTTCAAAAATCCACTAGAGAATTTTATCAATCAAGAAATATGAGGTAATAGTCTTAACAGCTAGCTTGTTAAAATTAATATATTTTAAAAAATCTTGTCATTTCTAAAGTATATATATGTATATACTTCCTCTTTTGACTATCCCCTTTTTTTTCTATATAAATCTCAATTTCAGTTAATAAAAAAATTATGGTTGACTATGCTTTTGATATGAATTTACATTATTAAATTTCTTGTCTTTTTTAAATAATTTTATTTTTTTAAATAGATTTACATAGTTTGGGAGCAAATAGTGATGATATATCCTACAATCATTAAAATTTAAAATACAAGCATTAATTACTTCTATTCAAAACCAAATATTTTACAGAAGTCTCCTCGTTTGTTCTTTGATTGGGACACAACTAGGGTTTTGCTCAGTGTATTACCTCATTATCGGAAAGGCTGTTGGTCGAGTTAGTACCCTATAAATTTTAACTCATATTTTAATTTATAAACCGAGGTTTGATGTTTTAGTATTTTCAACTTGCGGGAATTAATTACGACATAAGAATATATTTGAGCGTGATCTACCCAGTGATATTGGCAATGGTTCTTATAAGAAGTCTGAAGTTTCTAGCACCACTGTCTCTTATTGCAAACATTTTTATACTCTTAGCGGTCACAATGGTATTGATCGTAGCTTGCCAAGACTTGCCTAACATAACAGAGCGCGAGGTTCTCAGACCAGTAGAAAGGTGGCCGTTTGCTTTTGGAACAATTATTTTCGCCTACGAAGGTATCAACCTAGTAAGTGAAATGTGATTTTTGTTCAACATTTATGTTTAGAAGCATCATAAAATTCAGCTTAAAGGAAGCACAAAGACAACCATACTATTTAGAACTTGTCAAAAAAAAAAAAAATTGGTGAAACATTTTGAATCAGCACAGGGTCACATACTGAGTCTATATACATTGTTGAGTTTTGATGTATTTCAAAACATGTTGGCTTTGTGCCGTCTTCAGTAAGGAACTGTCTTGTTCTTCCTCACTGAAGATGGTGCAAAGCTGAAACACTTGAGTAACATCAACCACTTAAGTGTAGATGGATCCAGTGTTAGTTCATCACAAATTAATGTTGTTAATAGTTAATTACACATAAGAAATTTACAAAATCAAGTTTAGAAAACCAATTGAAAAAATAAAAAGTAATATGTAAAGATGATCATTCTTGCAACACAAAATGTAATTATAATTTTGTTCTTTTTGTAGGTTATTCCATTGAGGAATGAAATGAAAAAACCATCAACATTTCAAACATTATTTGGAGTTTTAAATGTATCGATGACATTGGTAATTCTGCTCTACACCACTTTTGGACTAATAAGTTATTGGAAATATGGGAATGACATTTTGGGTAATGTATCTACAAATCTTCCTGAAGGGCACTGGTAAATAATTATACTACACACCTACGAAATAAAATTATAAAATTGGAATGTAATACATACAGGACTACATTGATATCAGACGGCTCACTATCTGTGGCGCTACTTTTTTCTTATCCATTACAATTTCATGTAGCATTTAAAGTAATATATGAACTCCTAGTTGAAAAATTGGGTGCTTGGGTAGAGACCGGGAAAAGGATACTGATTTTAGAAATACTAGTACGTTTCTTCTTGGTAACATTAACATGTAAGTTATATACGTGTTTAAGTACATTTTCTGCAAATATTATTAGATGGAAAGTTATAACATGGTCATAATAAATATATATTTTTAGGCCTCTTTGCAATGTTTATTCCACACTTGTCTCTTGTTATATCATTGGTTGGGGCCATGTGCAGTTCGTGGCTTGCAATTTTACTTCCTGTTTTGGCACATATATCACTGTACTCACCCTGGAGTAAAAACCATAAAGAGAATAACGTCATTAGGGGCTCATACATTTGTAAACTGTGGTTTGGGTAAGTGATTTTTTTTTCTCCTTTATTTAATCTTGTTGGTGTAATAATTTTTTTCTTCAGATTATTCATAAATATAATCTGCTTATTTGTCGGCATTGCTGGCTTCATCTTGGGAACTTATGTGGCAACTGTAGACCTGATATCGAAGATAAATGAAGACTATATTGCTCGCCCACCCCATGTTTAACAAAAAGGCACATTCAAAACAATTTGGTTTTACCTTACTCTCATTTGTTCCACTTCAAGTAACATGCACTCATCGAAAATACACTAAATTACAAAATTGAATTATAACGTCAATTAAATTACATGCTTATTAAACTGCTTTACATATTCCAAAAATACTAAAAAATAAAAATAGCATTATATAATACATATTAAACACACTTGTAGAAATTAAGCTTAATACCATAATAACCTGTTGCGTTTCCATTTAAATTTGCTATTAAAACAATTCAATTTTTAAGTTTGTGGCTGGCCAAAAAACAAAAAATAATTAAAAAAAAAATAAAATAAAATAAAAATGTTAACATCTGAGTATCTAGGATGCAGTTGGTATATGCTTTTCTAAAAGGCTTTGCCACAGAATTTACTTAATTCAGAATAGGGCATACTTGGCTCTCATATAGACACAGTTTTAGATGAAGATCCATCTAGAATTTCTTAAATAATGGAAGGGTGTCTTGTCTATAGAGAGAAATAAGACCTATGATTTCCACTATGAGGTTATATGAACTTACAGGGTGCTGATGTTTTTGAAAAAACATCCATTCGTAAGTATGTCGGGTTTGAACTCATGGCCTCTGGATTCAAACCCAGGACGTTACCGAGTGAGAAGTCGCCGTGTTTATTTTCAACAAATCTAATGAAAATATAAACGATAATTAAATAAAAATAGTCCACCATTGACATATATCAAATGCAGATTAATAAAATAAAATCTCCCTCTGCCAACCTAACATGTGACAAAATCAATTACTTTTTTACACATAATAATTGAAATATTTGTGGTGTCCAGCTTGCCTAATGGTTATTTGAAATTCCCTATGGTGCTGCACACACTCAAGCTCACATGCCGCACAAAATTACGCTGCAATCCATCAGGGCATGACAGTACCATACCATACAAAACCGAGCCATAATTAATTTTATTAATCATTTTTCTTATAACTTATAAAATAGTATTATTAAAAAGGACAACAGGGCATATAACACATAACAGAAAACATTGTAATTTCGAGAATATAAAAATACATGGATACACATACTATTCATCTTAACTATTAGTGCACATTAGGAATATTAAAAAAAAACTTCATTTAAAAACAATTAAACATATATGTTTACAATTTTAACATCACAAAACAATTTACAATAATAAAAAAGAAATATTAATCACAGCACAAGTTACAGGCTTTATTTTTCACTTTTTTTAATGACTTTTTGTACTTATTAGAAAAATGTAAGAATACATTTTTTTAATCTTTGGTGTATATGCATTACATAAATTTACATAAATAATATGCTAAAATTTTTTGAGTAATTTGGTCAATTCCGATCGTTTTGGGTTGACTATCCTCATTGGGCTGTCAGACACGTTTCAGCATTTCATCATAATTAGTGTCGAGTCTGGGTGATTTGAGGTATGGAATTGAGAATAGGTAGACCAAAATGATCGGTAAAGAACCAAAAATATAACTCCACCGCCTCGCAAACCACACGGAAATCTCTCAATTTTTAAATCAAATACTCGTATTTATTTTTGTATTTGAATAGACTACTGTTTAAAGAAGGCATTTTATTTTCTTATCGATTCCAAGCATGGTCCCAAAAGTTGACATATTAGGGTATTTCAACATGATATTGTTTACTGGATAAAATGGTTGTTCATTTTCCCATGTACACAAATGTTTACCACTGGCCAAACTGTATATGGCAAAATTGTGATTTTTGTTCGATAAATAGAATAAAAGAAGATATTTATTTAGGATTGTATACAACATAAAAGAAGTTTTCTTCTGTACAGGTATATCAACAGTTTTAGACCATAAATAATCACCACTTGGAATGGCCATTGCATTCAATGAAAACGTATTGTCGACCAAATTGAGTATGTAAACATAAGGAAGTTTTTTATTCAGAGTTAAGGAATATGAATTAGGAATTTTAAGTACGTTAACACAACCAGTTAAAAGGTTTACAACAACAGGGGTAAAATGGTCTTCATCAATGAAACCGAAATATTTAGAAGTAAAAGAAATACTTCCTTTGCCCCTTTGTGAAATGTATGTGGATTGAAGAATGGTAGCATTGGCAGAATAGGAAGTGACCGTGTCTAAAGAAACCAGGTTAAATTGTTTTTCTGTGCTAAAAAACAAAACTGAACTACCATTAATCATGATTTTTCGTTGAAGAACGGAAGTATCGCGATCAATAACTAAAACACAAATGTCAGAAGATATCCATACATATTTTTTTACAAGAGTTATCTTGACGATATAACACGTATAGGAATGAAATTGTTTTATAAAAGTATCCAATGAATTCACATCCTGGTTGATTGTAGTTTCTGTAACCGCTATTGCCTTTTCGTATTGAAATCTTCCATTGATATACTCATAAATTACTATAATGTTGTTGAAAGAGATGAAAAGGGAATCTTGAACCGCATACAAACAGTTTATACCGTAGTTTTTGTCGCTAATTTTTATCGATTGGAGTTTTTGAAAAACCTTATCTTTCAATTGGAATATATCTACAGACATCGTGTGACTGCGCAGTGCTTGAAACATCCATATCTTATTGAACATAACTTGTAAAACAGAATTTGATATAATAATTTCTGAACATGTCTGGTTCATCCAGTTCCTTGTCAGTGTTAGCAAGAAGTCACTGTAGACAAAAGCCCATTTACAAAGAGGATCCAAACATCCGACTCCTTCACCTGGGAATTCACAACAGTAAATTGAAACAAAAAATGTACTATTATATTACTATACCTTTTTTTATGACATGCTAAAAATAAAACATTTAATAATTTGAATGATTATGAATTAGATTTTTCATCTTTTCATTAAAAAAACATGTAAAACAGTCATAGTGAGATAAGCAAAATAAATTAGTCAATACTTAACAACTTGCAATTATCAAAACACCAATGAACATATTCCATCGTGTGCAAAAAATGAGCTGGTCTAAAAATAACAATGAATTAAAATGGATATTTAAACCGATAATCCAAACATACTTGGTTTTTACTATATGTACTGCCAAAGTGAGTTCCCCCTGTTCTGATTCTTAGAGAAAACATGGTTGTTTTATTGATGGTTTTGTGCCCCCTAGGGTATGTTGATTGTATTTATTAGCATGTATTGTGAAAGGGCAGAAAGTGGAATATTTAGTTCCCATCCCCCCTCAAATAGGTTAATGTGTACCCGTCACGGGTGTTGGCAGGGGTCAGACGTCAGTTCTTAACCGTCCTGCTAACAAGGTTGGGCTAAGCGGCTATCAGCTATCATTTCAGCCCACAATGCAATTAGTTTCTAGATCTATACCCACTCAGTAGTAGAAGAAGAAGAAAAATAATTTTATTCTGGGACTGGTGTACCCTAAGAATAATTTACATGAAATAAAGGAAGTTCCTTCTATGAAATTAAAAGTAAAAAAAAAGGTAGAAATCTTGACCCAATGTTTATCGGTAAGGCAGGCCAGAAGAGAAAATTACAAAAATATTATACAAAAATAACAAATGTTAATGTGAGGTCTCTGCTTGGAGGGAGAGGAGGTGATTATCCAGGTGGGATTTAAAGGAGGAAAAGGAGGCAGCGTGACGAATAGAAAGGGGAAGGGAGTTCCAGAGTTTAGGGGCTCGGGTCAGAAAGGATCTTTCGAAGGTATGGGTTGTATGTTATGGAAGGATAAGGTTCATTGGGGATGAACGGGGTCTTATGAGTGTGATATGAGTTGAATTGGAGGGATTGGATGATGTAAGGAGGACGACGAGTGTGGATGGACTGGAAAAGAAAGCAACCTAGGAAATTCTGTGCACGGAAGGAGGCAAATAGCCAGGAAAGTTGTAGTACCCCAAGTATTTGTTTTTCCTGTCATCAGCATTCTCACACTACATTCATGCCAATAAATACATTCACTCTCAACACATGCTAGGGATACAAACGAATGGTACTTTATAATAAAACAAACCGTAGAAATGGTGAATGATGAAGGGAGTGCTGTGTTCAATCTTTTAAAAAAAAAGGATTAAAACAAACCATGTTTTCTCTGAGAATTGGAACAGGTGATGCAAATACTCGCTGCCATGTCTGAGCACAATTGGTTGGCATTCTTACATGCTCTACACATGAAACCAAGGAATTGCACTATTGTATTAGGTGGGTAATGAGCAACTTTTCTCTGCATGCTTTGGCTTGGAAGTAAGTTTCTGTGTGTCAACCTCACATGGCCTACCCTTAATCGGGAGATGGCCCTTCTGCAAGTCAAATCCTCTGAGGTTCAAACCTATAGTGCTCTTGATATGCAAGAGCTTCTCTGCTGGATCCAGCCCACTGATTTAATCATGTACTTTATTGCGTTTTTAGCATAAGGGGGCTGGATCATGGTGGTTAAGTCCGGAGATTGGAATGCCCCGAACTTAGCCACCTCGTCGCCTTTTTTACCCTGCAGACCGGGTACCCAGACATTATTTTGTCGAGATGCTCCAGTTCATAGTCTCTCCAGTAAGAGCACAATGGGAGGGTAAATGGAGAACCTGTCAAGAACAGCAGTAACCACGCTGAGGGAGTCAGTGCAGACAAGGAACAAAATTCTTATATATTTATTTATATATTATTCTTATTTTCAAGGAAGGTATGAAATACATTTTAACATTAATATTTTATGATTAGTTAAAATGATGTACTAATATAGAAAATAATATGAATTACTGAATAAAAAATTTATTTCAGCTTATTCTGAAATGTCAAAAAGCATATAATTGTTGTGGAAACTACATTATTGAGCAAATAATTCAATTTTTTTTAAAATTGCCATTAAATTTATAATAACGATTTTACAATATATTCAATACCACACTTTTTCCTCAAGAAACGAGAACAGGGATATATTAAAAATTTGTCATTATCTACTTGCAATGGCATCAAATTATCACCGCAGTAACAATACTTTCCATCAGACAGTCTATAAACGGCATAGTTGTCCAATTTGTTGTTATATGGGAGAATTAAAATAAACTTATTCAAAATGATTTTAAGTTTGAGACAACGCAAATGCCAAAGGTGAACTGTAGCGTGTATATCCGACGACCATAAACAAGCACCATTTACAAGATGAATAGCTTTGAATATGTAAAATGTACCATTACTGTGAAGAATGTAAACATAAGGATGAATTCTATTGAGCGCTAAACAATAAGAATGGCTAACGTTAAGAACTTGTAGTCTCCCAGAGGAACAGCCTACAACAACTGGTCGAGAATTATCTTGATCGATAAAAGCAATGTAATTATTATTAATAGAGATTGCTCCTTTAAATTTATAATAGGCATTTATGCGCCTATGCAACTCACCCTGTTTAAAAAAAATGGTTATTGTATTTATTGATACTACAGCAAACATGTTTGTATTATTAACTAATGTATCTTCTTCACTTGTGATTTTAATTGTTTTCAATACAATTGTATTTGTTAAATCAACGACTAATAAATCATTGCCGTAAGACAGCCATAAGTAATTATCTAATAAGACTATTTTGCTGATATCTACATGACAAGTGTGGTATTGTTTTAAAAAATCACCTAAAAGCATTGAGTTTGAGTTAGTTTTCAGCCCACTTTCAGTAATTGCGATCATTTTTGATAAATGGAACTTCCCGTCGACATATTTAAAAATCTCTATAGTATTACCAAAAGACAAGAACAGAGAACGTTTTATCGGGTATAAATATTTTATGTTAGCCTTCGTGTTAGAAATTTGCAAAGACTGTAGCTTTTTAAAAACCTTATCTTTCAACTCATAGACTGCTAACGTTTGATAATCCGACAATACTTGGAACATCCATAAATTGTGACATTTCACTTGTTCCACGTTGCTTGGAACGAATGTATCAGAATAGCTGTGGGTTCTCCAGTTCCTCGTTAAACTTATCATGTGGTGACTGTAGACAAAAGCCCATTTACAAACGGGATCCAAACATCCAACTCCATCACCTGAGAATTGACAACAGCATATTGAGCGTATATTTCAATCATACCTAATTTGAACAATATCAGTTAACAAAATTAATTGTTGACAAGTTTAAAACTGCCAATTAACTATTGTAATAGTCATTTTGTATTATTTATAAAACATGTTGACATTACATTTCTCTCAAAAGAGACAATTTTTGTTTTAAGAGTTTTAATTTTTTTTCTTATAAATATATGCACAATTAACCTTCAAGCAGTCAAACTGGGGTAGTTTGTACCCCAAGGGATGTTTTCTTTTCTTAAGTTTTGCAGAAATCACAAAACTGAACCTCCTAGCCTTGTTCTATTCTAAAACAATGTATAGAGCGGACTGGACAAGGAGACGGGTGAAGAGAAAAACCCATCCTATGGGATCATAACTATCGCATAAAACTTGCTATATTAGCCTTTTTTTAACGGTTATTTTAATACTTTTTTCTGTCAATTATGCATATTTATAACTTCTGATTTTTTCTAGATATTCTTAATTTATTAGTCATAGATAATTCACTAATACGACTATTTTCTAATCCTAAGAGAAATGTACTTTTTTTTTGACAGGTGAAGAGAAAAACCCATCCTACGGGATCAAAACTATCCCATAAAACTTGCTATATTAGCATTTTTTTAACGGTTATTTTAATACTTTTTTCTGTCAATATTGCATATTTATAACTTCTGATTTTTTCTAGATATTCTTAATTTATTTGTCATAGATAATTCACTAATATAACTATTTTCTAATCCTAAGAGAAATGTACTGATTTTTTTATTCAAGAAATATTCTTCAGCCTATTGGAACATTTCTCATAGGAACTCACAAAAATGGTTGCATACATGTTTTAGATCAAGTTTTGAGTTTTGCCATGAGCTACAGGAAGTTTTTCTCATCTCCTCAGATGTCTTAGATTTAATTAATTAATTCACGTCATTAGAGAAAAGAAAAAGACAATTGTCAGCGATCCGCGCTGTTTTTTATTACAAGATGAGTGAATATACCACACTTGATAAAATACTGCATCACTTTCAAAATAGATGCTTGGTTTTGGGATATAAGCAGTAAAACTACCGAATATTTTATCAGTATCAAAAATAGGACTCAAAACTATTTTATTACGAGGTATTACGATGAAATTAGACTGTTAACCTTGTCAAATCTAAGAGTCTATTTTTAGAATGACTATCATACTAACAGTCATGGCAATACAGGTATTTTAAAGAACTAAATGTTTAATGAGGTACAATTTGATTTCAATTTTTTATTATTGCTTTATTTTATTTTTTGGCTTTACTTTCATATTCTTTAATTTTTACTCTTCCTTCACTTTTTGGATTGTTTTGTTCTTTTGTTGCTTTATTTATGTTTTTATTCACCTCTGGCAAACATAATTTTCCTCCTGTACTATGCTTATTTTATAGTTAGTTATTTTATTTTATATTACTCCATTATAACAAATATTATTATAGAAATCAAACATAGGAACTTACCCTTCTATTGGATTGTTTTTCTAATTTTATGAAATTGTAATAAATTATATGCAGTTAACTGTTTAAATTTTATGATTGAATTATTGCTATTGCAAACAAAAAATATTTTTTATGAGTACCATTCATTTCCCACTTCCTACACAATTTGTTAACAAAACATTTTGTTATTAAAAATTTTTTAATAATAAAAAATAAAAATGATGGGGTAACTTTGTACC